GGATCGTTTCTTATTTTCTTTCATGTTCATTGATGCAACTTATCCGTATAATTATCTATAAGGCCAATCGAGATTGAATTTAAATCGGTTATCTTCCTAACTTTTAGTAATACTCAAAGACGTTTACTTCTGATTTCATAATCTTCTTGTTGGCAATACTTGTAAATTTTTGTTTTTTTGTCAACAACTGTAGTTATCTGTGTTTTGCTCTTTTGGATGCCTATATATTTCCTGTTGTTTTCACTCATGGTCTTACAAATCTTACTGTGTTACCAATGAAAGGTTGCTGACGCCTCCAGACACACCACTTTTTCCTTCATTGGATGACCAACCGCCAGCAGCTAGTGTTGTTAGAAGAGGGAGACCACAGAGTCAAATTTCGTTATCTAGATCATCCACGGTATACATCTATACTAAATTGAATTTTATTCTATGTATAACGCCGTCGATCTCAGATCAGATCTACTTGCACTTCCTAATATACTATGTATATGTGTAGATGGAGAAGAGCCGACGTAGTAGTAAGGGCAGTGCAAGCCCAAATCGCTTAAGCACATCACCTCGGGCTGACAATATGCAGCAGATAAGGGGAAGGCAATCTTCAGCACGCCATCCTAGTCCGGCGTCTGGTCGACGATCAGCTACCCCAGTTAGGAGGATTTCTCCTACTCCAGGGAAACTCTCAGGACCTGTATCAAGATCTCCGACCCCAACTTCACGAAGGATGAGCACTGGGTCAACTATCTCGGCATCGCCAGTTGTCAGGGGAACTTCTCCAGTCAGTTCTAGTCGAGGCAACTCTCCTTCACCCAAAATAAAAGTGTGGCAGTCAAACATTCCTGGTTTCTCCTTGGATGCACCTCCAAATCTCCGAACTTCTTTGGGTGATCGACCAGCATCCTATGTAAGAGGTTCCTCGCCAGCATCCAGAAATGGCAGGGATGCAGTTTCAACACGCAGCAGAAAATCTGTTTCTCCAAGTGCTTCCAGAAGTGTCAGTTCATCTCACAGTCATGAGCGTGATCGGTTTAGTTCTCATAGTAAAGGCTCTGTAGCATCATCTGGAGATGATGATCTTCATTCTTTACAGTCTATTCCTGTAGGTGGCTCCGAACGTGCAGTTTCAAAACGAGCTAGCCTTTCTCCCAACAGTAGAACTTCTAGATCTTCAAAATTACTGTCACCCGGTTCAGCACCAAGAAGGCCGTTTGAGTCTGCTCTTCGTCAAATGGTACACATTAAGCAGCATACCACTTTTATTTTCTCCACGATTGTAGGATTTTTCATTACCTTCAAAAAGTTCATGTTTTACACTGCTTGTATCAACATGTTTGCACCCGTGGCTTAGTTTTCTAACTTAGAACCAGCTGTCAAAACTTTAACAGAGATTTTCGTAATTTCCCCTTGTTGAATTTGCAGAGATATGTCAAACGATATTTATGATCTACATTTATCCTGCAGGATCATCCTAAAAGCCATCATAGCATGTTTAGGCCTCTTGCTTCTAGCCTTCCTAGCACAGGCATTTATTCTGGGAAAGGTAGTTCGTCTTACCATCACATTATGCTAAGACATTCTACTGCAACAGTGGGGAGCAGTTCAAGTTCTGGCCAAGTTACAGGATTCATGCCAGATACCAAAGGGACTGATCCAATCCCTGTATTCCAGTCTGAAGCTGAAGATTTGGCGTATCTTGATAAACATGGAGAAAGTACGGCCTTTGGCATGGTATTATCAAATGAAGGTAGTAGACATGAGAGTCATGAGAGTTCTTTCAGTGATCAGCTTGGTGATATGGATCAAGTTTATGCTGTTGAATGCGAGTCTAGCGTGAATGAGGAGGTCAGCCACCATGTTTTTGATGTTGATGACAGTTCGACTCATGGTAGTTTCCAAGTAGGCAATGAAATTTTAGAAGGGGTCGCTCTTGAAACTATGGAGGTTTGTGGTAGATGTGGTTCTCACTATCGTGCCCCTGAAGCAACTAGAAGCGAGATAAAAATTTGTCCAGAGTGCAGGGAGGAGCACAGTTTTGCGGAAACAGATTCTCCTGGAACAATAAGAGTTCTTGATGAAAATTCCCCAAAGCAGTCTCAGCAAATTTTTGATGAAAACAAGTCATATGTTGAAAATATTCCTATGATAAATGTGCTAGAATCGCTGCCTGCTGCTATGGTTGAGGCAGAAATGATGGAGACACGACAAAAGATTGAGCAGTGTGATAATTCCTATGAGCAAGAACAATATCATCTGCATGAGAGCTCTATTTCCAGGGATTTGGAAGAGGAAACTGTAGATACGCTCAATTACCAGGATGGAACTCAGTCATCCACTGGCTGTGGTCTATTGAGTACAGACACAAAAGATTCTGAAACTCGGCTTTCTGATAAGCAGCATGATGTGAAGATTGGGTCTTCAGGACGTGGAGATGTTCCTTTGCTTATAAAGAGATCGGTCAGTATGAAGTCACCTGTTATTCAAGCTAATAGCTCAAGTTGTTTCACCAGATCATATGAGGGATTTTCTTATTTAAGGGATAGAAGTATTAGTCTTAGAAGCTCCACAGAAACTGCTTCTGCATCTTCATCCTGGGATTATGGTTCCTCTATAAGAAAGGGAAGCCATATACGACAGCGAAGCGGGAGTACACTTGACTTGGAGACTCATAGGTATGATACCAACTCCAAGTCCCTGAGCACTATGTCATTTTCATCTGGCATGTCAAGCCATGCTTTGCAGGCTCTAAATGTCATGCCAGAGGACAGTTTTGAAGTTTGTGCTGCCCAAATGACATGTACACACGATGAAACTCACATAGAAACCCAAGATTCCGTGTGTAGAGAAACCAATGTGATGAATGTTGGTTTCGGTGAAAGCGTTGGATTAGTTGGTATTTCAGCCGATGTAGTTGGTTATCTGGCAGAGCATAATCCGGTGGTAACTGACGATGGATGTTGTGAAAATGGAGATGATGTAGCCAACACTGTGATAAACAAAGGAGAGATAAGAGAATCACCGGCACATGTAAGGAGCACATCGGATTTAGGAGCATCACCTATCACTGATGACAGCGCAATGAATGATCACTCTAGGCTTCAAGAAAATGATGGAAACGAAATGCCTCACGGTTTATCCACCACGACAGCCTTAGAAATAGAATCTGAGAGTTGTGAACCCGAGACACCTGGTGTAGTGGTTCATGGTAAAATTCCAGAGTCAGAATGCAACCAAAATGCAGTGGATGACTGCTCAAAACAGAGTTTGGCACATGCTTCTGTGGACCACCACAACTCCATGGTTCCTGTAAATGAAATTTTAGGTATTTACTCGCTTGCTCATCTGATACTGGCATCTCACTGCTTCTTCTGCTTTTTGTAATATACATTTTCTTACAACCTTACGAAGTTGAGACATGGTTTCTTGCTCTATGCAGACGAGTCAACCGTGGTTGTGGAGTGTCCTGATGGAAAAGAGCCAAGGAGCCTCACGCTGGAAGAAGCGACTGATACAATACTTTTCTGCAGCTCCATTGTTCATGATATAGTGTACCAGGCTGCAACATTAGCAGTTGATAAATCAAAGGATGTGCCAAATGAAGAAGAAAGGTTGCATCCAACAGTGACAGTACTTGGAAAGTCGAATGCGAACAGGAGTAGTTATGGACTTGGCGGAGGAACAAAGGCAAAGAAAAAGAGTTCCAAATCTGCAAAAGCGTGTCGGAAGCAAACGGAAACAGAGGAGTTTAAAGAAGTACAGATAGAGAATGATGAAAATGCAGGTGAAGCAGTGATGATACGTAACGTTGGAGTTCCTCCTAGTAAAGGAGAGAACTTGAAACCTCCTCCTAAGCTGGAGTCGAAATGCAATTGCTCAATAATGTGATATTTCTTTTTGGTTTTACTAGTACATTTTTAAGTTGTTTGTTCATAAAGTTTCGTGGTTGTTTATTTTTGTTGTTGTTTGGGTTTTGTTTGTTTTTTCTTTTCTAAGAGTTTAGTGTATTTACGTTTGTTGCAGCTAATTTGTGAGAGAAGGATAAACACGATTTGGGTTGCCGGGTTAGTGGCATGAATTGTAAAGTTTTTGTTTTGATTTGATTATTATTATCTTGATATGTACCAATAAAAACTCTTATGTAACTCAATCTGCTCCTTCTTATGAATGTATTGGTTTATCTGAAAATTGGATTCTTCAATTGTTTCTTTGTTTCTTTGTGGTTGCATATGTAGTCTTTTTCAGCAAAAATACTCAAATTATAACGATACTCAAAACACACAATAAGTGTTCTTCTCGCTCGACATTAATTTGGCCTAAGCATGCATTGAACATATCTTCAACTACTCGCACTAGTGTTAGCCCTGGGCAAAATATTCGTTAGATTCGTTTCGCTTCGATATTCGTTTCGATTCGATTAAAAAAATTCAAATATCTATAAGATATTGAACCGAAGCAAATATGAAAATCTAATATTCGTAAAAACCGAAGCAAATAACAAATATTCATTTTTTTAATGCCGAATATCCGCTTCGCTTCATATATTTATATATATGTATAAATATAAATTATTATATAATATATAAATAATATGTGTATTTATAGATTTGGGTATATATTTGATAGGACTATTATTCAAATTATTATATTTTAGCTCGTTTGGTTATTATTATTATTATTTTTTTGCTAAATGTTGCTTTTAAGAAAATAAAACTTTACTAGAAAAATCATTATTAAAAATAAAATGTGAGAATTCTATGGACGGTGGTTACATTTCCTTCTTATTTTGAAAACATGTCAAATAAAAACCTCTAATATTTCATATTTTGCACTTTATATTTATGTACTATATGTTTTTAGTTTCAAAAAAAAAATTAGATGGGTCGAAGCGAAGCGGAGCAAGTAATTCGCAAATATTACAAAAAATATTCGAATATTTGAAGTTCCGAATACTCGAAAATTTACAAATCGAAGCAAATAGCAAAATCAACTATTCGGTCGAGGCAAAACAAATAACAAATATCACAAATTTTTCGAATATTCGCTTCGTGCCCAGGGCTAACTAGTGTAGTATAAATGCTTCTACATTTTCTGAGTCGGCTTTAGGTAATCCACTTCAACCATGGCTAAACACCTAGCCTAAGTGAGATCGTTTTCGAAAACTCTAGTCTTTTTCTCCACTCTGGAGAGTCATAGAAGTAGAACTCTGCTCGGTGTCTTTACCACTCCAAAACTTACCCGTGAGGGTCAAGAATCCCGAACATGCATCGATGACTCTTCTAATGATAGCTTTGCGTTCAACGTGCTCACCAATCTCAACAAGCGATGGGGACTTAGCCAAGCCCTGAAAAGTTATGTAGACATGTGCCCTTCTGGCATTGAGTCTCCCACTTGGGGGCTTCTGATCTTCTTCCTCAGTTTGTATCGCCACTTTCAGAATCTGAACCTGGGAGAGACCACTCTGCACTATCTGCATTAACAACAGTTTTGGTGTTAATAATTATTAACAACAGTCATGGTATGTCGCTAATATGCAAGAAAACAAAACAAAAAAACTTACACCAAAGAGCCCTTTATCATTTGAACAAATCAAAAGTTCCAAATAAAGAGAAATCCAATCAGTGATTCGCCACTCCGATTCCTTGAGCTTCAAAAGCAACAAAAACGTATCACTGCTTAAATGATAATGAGCAAAACAAAACTGATGCTGTGTCTTAATAATAATAATAATAATCTTACCACGTAAAACCCGTTTCTATCATCATTCAAAGCATCTTCTGTTGGCCAATCAGGTAATTCACCTTGGAAGACACTATCATCTGATAGTGCGCTAGCATGAAAGTGAGGTATGAAGACCTTGTTGGTGGTCGCAGACGCCGCTAGGCAACATTATTAACCAGCAAGTAAGAATTGATTTTATACTCTTGGACTTGTATTAACAAAAAAATTGAACAATGCACCACAAGTCACCTGTGTTTTTATCTTTTTTAGGTCTAGCAACAGAAACAGTCAAATCCAAACTGGTATATGCTTGTTCATCAACTCGAACTTGAAAGGTGGTTTCCTGCGATGAGATAGTTGGATCGAGTGCAAGAAAAGTAAGGTAGTAGGAAGCCATACGGCTCATTGTCCTGTTGAATTTCTGTAGGGTAGCGAGGTGGAAGCATGACCCCTAGATGAAAAGAGAACATTAAAAATGTGGACAATCAATGTTGATCATGAAGCACCAAAAGAAGAGAGGAGAGACTTGTATATAGTTAATTAGTTACCTCCAAAATATTGTAACGATGAAGGCCCAACAAAGCATAACGCTTGACCAAGAGTGGATAAGGATAACGAGAACCATCTTGACAGTCGAATGGAAGCAGTGCAGCAGTAAGTACTACTGGACTTTCATACTCATCGCAATCGAAGCCCTAAGACCAAAATAAGTGTTATAAGTATAGAAACCCGAGCTTCATCTAATTACAACATATAGCAATCCCATAAACAAGACAATAGAACCGTACCTATCATCGAATAACTTACAAGCTACTAAGAGAACTAGGATGATCAGGGTTAAGGTTAATAACAATTCGACATCATAGATATTATCTGAACAAGAAGACGAAGATTAAAAAATTACCTCGGATTCCGCCACTACACGCCAGTAATCACTCATATGACGGTCGTATTCCTCCGCCGTAATAGTATAATCATCATGCTCATCCTCCGTCGGCATATTCTCCTCCGCCTCCGTGCCTTGCCTGGTCTGGCTGCTTTTCTCTCTTTTTTAATCGATCCAGGCGACCTAATGGCCCCTACACCCCTTAAGTCGGAGTAAACCAAATAATTGATTAAAAAATATATGTAAATTCAATTTTTTAACTAAAGAGAATAAATATACTGAAATAATTTAATAACTAAAGAAAATAAAGAGGATAGAACGAATTTATTTTAAGAAAAAAAAACAAACTAAAAGTATGTAAATCACTTATTCGTTATTACATCATGTGAAAGAAATTGTGAACTAGAAAATAAATTAATGGCGGGAAAACGAGAAAGAGCGGTATGGTATTGACCTTAATTAAAATTCACAATTTCTCACTAAAAGGTTAAAACCTCTCATGGATTCCGATTCAGACTCCGATGGTTCTCATGTCTCCGCCACCCCTCCCCGACTCTCACCGCCATCTCCCCCGCGACCACCGCCTAAGTATGTGCCACTGGTCTCCCGGAAAATTACGTCTTCTACCTCTCGCTCGAATCCCAAAGCACCTACTCACCCGCCTCCGAATGCTCCACTACCGTCTTCCTCTACTCCTCCTACTCCTCCTCCTCCTCCATCTCCATTATTTACCAATCTCCCTTTCCGGATCTGCGAATCCCGACCCGCTACGTTTTCTTCTTCTTTTTCCGTATCGTCCTTTTCCAGACTCCGCAGCAGAGCTTCTTTTACATCTGATGAGAAACTCAAATCGGACGGTGTCGATTTTGTGCCGGATCCACCTCAGGTGGTTGTAGTGAACGCCCCTCCAAAACCCGTTAGGCGAAAGCCTCCTAATCTCATCACCGATACTATAACTTCTCCGTCGGTGAAGCCTCCGGTGTTTCGTACCACCGGTAACGGCGAGGGTAATTTCGTGAAATTGAACTTAAATGGCAAGAGAGGGAAGAAGTTTCCCAGCAAATACAAGGGCGTCTCCAAATCTAGAAGCAATTACGCTTTCAGAGGGAAGAGATACAAAAAGAAAGAAGCTGACGGTGAAGGCGAACCCTTGTTGGAGGAAGAGTCTGATTTGCAGAAACAGATAGAAGATGAAGCTAATGGTTTTATTAGCTCTGTAGAGGATGCGATTCTTGCTGTGAAGACTGAGGCTTCTGATGACAATCTGACGACGCTGTTGAATTTAGTGTATGGTTATGATTCTTTTCGAGATGGCCAGTTGCAGGCGATCAAGATGGTTCTTGGTGGGAGTTCAACGATGCTGGTATTGCCTACTGGTGCTGGTAAGTCTCTCTGCTACCAGATTCCGGCAATGATTCTTCCGGGAATCACGCTTGTTGTGAGTCCTTTGGTTTCGTTGATGATCGATCAGTTGAAGCATTTGCCTTCAATTATTAAGGGTGGTCTCTTGAGCAGCAGCCAGGTTTGTGCCACAAAATGTTCTTTGTATTGATGTCATTTTATAGTCTTTAGTAGTAGTTTCTAATGGAGTCTGCTTTGGGGATTGTTTTCAATAGAGACCTGAGGAAGCAACAGAAACATTGCGGAAACTTAAAGAAGGCATAATAAAGGTGTGTTCTATTTGCAAATTTTGGACGGCTTTCTTTTTGATAAGACTGCGTGCTATTGTTTAAGGAACCTAGCCACGGATAGAGCTAATGGAAAGTATTTGATTTGGAAATACCTTTAAATTGGGTTTATTGTTTAATCTCAGGTCCTCTTTGTATCTCCCGAGAGACTTCTGAATGTAGAATTTTTGTCAATGTTTCGCATGTCTTTATCTGTGTCACTTGTTGTTGTGGATGAGGCACATTGCGTATCAGAATGGTGAGCTTCTTCGCAACTGGTAGACTGCGTTTCTCTGTTGACTGTTGTATCTACTGCATTTCCTTATTATGTTTGTCTTGGTTATTAAGAGATATTCTAAACAGGTCTCATAACTTCCGCCCTTCATATATGAGACTCAAGGCATCAATGCTGTTTTCTGAACTCAAAGCAGATTGTATTCTTGCAATGACTGCAACCGCCACTACCATGACTCTTCAAGCTGTCATGTCTGCACTAGAGATACCGTCAACCAATCTTATTCAGAAGTCACAGCTGAGAGACAATTTTGAGCTGTCTGTTACAATGAGTGGAGCTAACAGGTAAGTGCTTTGTTTATATTTTCACGTTTTTTCTCCTCCTCTTGTTGTAACTAAGTTAGATCTGAAATCAAACAGAATGAAAGATCTATTGATTTTGATGGAGTCTCATCCATATAAGGAGATTAGAAGCATCATTGTGTACTGCAAATTTCAGGTGAAAGTGCTTAATTATCTACAATTCTTTTTCACGCTTTACAAAAAAACATTTTTGATTTCTTACTGTATCATCACGCATGATGCTAACTTAAGCAACTTTGGGCTGTGGTTGCGCAGTATGAAACTGACATGATAAGCAAGTATTTACGCGATAACAACATCAATGCAAAGGTTGTTTCCATTTAAAAACCTCCTATATACCTGTATCTATGGCTGATTACTCTCTAATCAATCTTAAATTGATCTATCTAGGGTTATCACAGTGGTCTTCCTGCGAAGGACCGTGTTCGCATACAGGAGTCATTTTGTTCCAACAAGATTAGAGTGGTAAGAAAACAAGTTCACTAATTTTTGTACGTCCAAAGTACCACTGAAAGTTAGGCAGATGTCAGTATTCAAATACGTTTTATTTTATGGAAGGTTGTTGCTACTGTGGCATTCGGCATGGGACTTGACAAGGGAGATGTTGGAGCTGTAAGTCTAATGCAAACCCTTAGCAGGCTTGAACATATCTTCAAGTACTTGTAGTATACATGCTTCTAAATTTTCTGAGTCGGCTTTAGGTAATCCACTTCAGCGTGCCAGGAAGTTTGGAAGAATACGTTCAGGTTTAAGATTTTTTGTTTCCTGGTTCCTTTTCAAGCTTAGTGTTCAGTGTGCATATAAGGTTCTCGAGAAACTGATTGTAAATGTTACAGGAAATTGGACGTGCTGGTCGCGATGGGCGGTTGTCTTATTGCCGTCTCTTTTATGATAATGACACATATCTAAAGCTTCGGAGTCTTTCACACAGGTGATTGGTGTGGGAACTACCATCTGTCGTGGTATTGAGTTTTAGAGTAATTTTAGCTTACCTTTGGATTTTTCCCTTCTTCTTCAGTGATGGTGTCGATGAATATGCAGTTGGAAAATTTCTCACCCATGTGTTTTCCACTGAAACAAAGCAACATGAGAAGATACGCTCACTAGTCATTGAATCTGCCTCTCATAAATTTGACATGAAGGAAGAGGTATTTCAAAAAAATGAATGTCAATCGTGAAACCCATTACCTTTATATTATTAAGTGTTTGATCTTGTGAGGTGGTTGGGGGAAAAAATTATTTTAGAAAACATATTTTGAATTTGCATTGTGGATTTGGCAGGTTATGCAAACAATTTTGACACATTTGGAGCTGGGAGAAGTGCAATACCTACGTATGTTTCCACAACTTAACGTCTGTTGCACTTTGAATTTCCACAAGGTAGGGAAGCTGTTAGCTAAATACTTTCCTGTTTAGTGACAAGTTCCAATATTTTTTAATTTATGGTGTATGCTCGAGACTTCTGATGCTCAGAACATTGTTATGCTATATGTGCAGTCTTCTCCAGACACTCTGGCTGCACGAAATACCATAGTTGCAGCAATTCTGAAGAAGTAAGTATTTTATTCATTTTCTTCAGGTTTGCTGGTCAATCGATTCTGTAGAAGTATTATAGTTGCAGCATTTCTCAAGACTTCTCTGTTGTTTCTAGGTCTCACGTGAAGCAAGGGTTGCATGTCTTCGATATACCAGCTGTGGCCTCTAGTATATATGTTGCAACAACAGATGTCTTGGCTGAGATTCAAGCTCTGAAGGTTGGTACCACTTTTCTCTCAAATATGAATATCTGGCTTAGTACCAGATATCTTAAGTTTCATTTCATCTTAATAACCATATTTATCTAAACTAGGGGGCCATACTTGAATTGCATGCATAAAAAAGTGAAGAAGAAAACTAAGTCTACAGAACGGAAGGACATATGAATTAACCAGAACTGATAGACGCATAAATTATCTTCAGGAAAATATGAATCTAGTACAATATAGAAGAGATACTTATTTAGTATTGTTTTGTGATAAAGTTTGATTCTATCTCTCTATGGACTATTGGTGTAGGCTTTACTGAGAAAACACAATTGCTTCTGTTCTGTTAAGAACTCTTTCGTGTGAGTTCCACTTGAACTCATCAATTTAACTGATATTCCTGATCTCTAATTGATGATGTTGAGTACTTGATCTTGAGCTTTGATTTTCTAGCACTGTTAATATCGTGTTCTTTAATATGTCCTTAAAATCATTGTAGATGAAGGGGGAAGTAACTTACGAGTTGAAGGACCCCGCCTTTTGTTACACAATCTTAAAACTCCCAAAGGAAATATGTTCATTGTCCAGTCATCTTACCAAGTGGCTCACAGAGATTGAAAGTTGCAAAGTAAGTTCTTAAATTTATCAACTGCAGCTAACAGCTCCAGACCTTTTCATGGTTTATCTTGATTTAAGTTCCGACATGTGTGCTTATATGTAGCGATAATTTTGCATTTGATATAGGTGAGAAAACTGGATATTATGTCTAGTGCAGCGGTGGCTGCGATAAATGTTTCCAGCACTTCAGAACTTAGTTTTGGTGCCAAGCAAACACTGAGCCTGCAAACCAGAATTTTGGATTACTTCAATGGTGACGAAAAGTGTGACACTCCGAGCAAGACGACTCAGAATTGGTATTAACAAGATATTTCACTTCTGTTCACATCTTTATTCAAATTTTGAATAGTGCATAGCAAAAAAAGAAATTAAAACTGGGACTGTCACATACCTTCCCCCAATTATTTTGGTTTGTTAAAGTTATATTTGCATTAAATTGATCAACACTTATATTGTGGATGCAGCGCCTTTCTACGAGCAGACATAAAGGTGAAGATCCAAGAAGCCACCTTGTAGTTTATGCTTTTATTTTTTATTTTTTTGCCATGTATCCAAAGAATGATTAGTTAATATTGTGGAGGGTAAAACAGGTGTTTTTGCAGAGTAATCGCCAGGCCAAATTCACCCCAAGAGCCATAGCAAGAATAATGCATGGAGTTGGAAGTCCAGCTTTTCCAAATTCAGTCTGGTCCAAGACTCATTTCTGGTACAGTCATCATCATCATCTAAACCAAGCCATGCAAGTAGTTGTTTGATGATTGTATATGTGATTTGGTTGAAATATGGTTTTGCAGGGGAAGGTATATGAGCGTAGACTTCCGTGTGATAATGGAAGCGGCACAAACAGAGCTTCTCAATTTTGTAGACAGAAATGCTGCTTTAGCTACATAGAAGACGATATCAAGTGGGACACGGACGTTACACAGCAACTTGACCAATAAATAAGAGAATCATAGTGAATCACAGGTAAGAGGTTCTCATATTCTTCAGCCCAGTTCGGATGAAAATGATAGTTAGCAATAGACAAAGATGTAACATGAGAGAACAAGAGGCTTTTAACTATATCTAGAAAATGGCCCTTGCTTTGTCTGTATCTAAAGCTGTATTCTAACTTAAGATTCATTAAAATACCTAATAAAGAGAAATTGTGTTACTTGACAATGCTGAGAACTTTTTTGATCGACAAGAAAATATTTAATCTTTGTATTTAAAGAAAGATTTGATAAAATAGAATATGTACATAGCAAGCTGCAGTCATGTTTAACATTAGATCATACATAGTGAGTTCATTCCTTGGCCGGCAACCCAAAGTAACCACCAAAAGGCGGGTAAGCATCGAAGTTCATCGGTATCTGGCTCGGGGGCAGCTGTGGTAAATAACTTGTAGTCATCATAAGCTGATCTTGATATTGCTGATCAGCTCTAAAAAGACTCTGCCTTCTCTTTTGGGCATCATGCAGACCACAAGCCATCTTGGTGAAGACACGAGCCGTGAGCTCGCTGTCAGAGCCAGCGTGATGAGCTTTTCCGACACGCTTCATCTGAAACGCATCTGCTATTTTCTGTAGTCCGTAATGGCTACTTAACCCGCTGCATAGCCGAGCTATTTTCTTGACGTCAAAGACATCTCCCAAAAGCGTCTCGACAGCTTCCGCAAAGCCTTGTGGAGACTCAGGCAACGGTCCTCCTCCGGTGAAGCCTTTAACTAGATAAGCCTCGTCGTACAATCCCTGAAAAGTCACCCAACTAATCTTCTTGTCCTTGTCCATAAGAATGTTAGAAAACTCCCAGAAGAACTCGTTAATCCCAACTCCTTCATCTCTTATCCTGTCCAGATCGAGGCCATGACTTCTAAGAAACGCGATAGATTTCTCGTTCTTGACGTCCTTGGATTCATCAAAATCAGAGAAATTAACCTCCCATGTTCCAAGGGTTCTTCCTTGACCGTCCAACATCGTAAAACCCAATTGAATCAGTTTGGTATTGTCGACGTTAAATATCATGTCTGTGTACCGAGACTCCTCACTCGCTTCTATGGGAGTCTCCACTAAACATCCAGGGAACTCTGTATCTACAGCGATGAAACAACAATTTCTCAAACCATCGCTTATTGCATTCATCTCAACTTCTTTGTTCCATCTCCAAACTTCGCCACTACTTTTCTTCATCTCTCTGATTTTAAAGAAAACCAAGAACGCGTTCGACAGAAACTGCTTCGGCAAGAGAAAAAGCGATTAATGAACCTGAGTTTTTGCCTGGTTAGGTTATTATTTATATGAACCAAGAGAGAGAGAGAGAGAGAGAGAAAGATTTATGAGTTTTCCATTTACTGGAAACAGTTTCCTTTCTTGTTCGACACGAGTTTCCCATTACTCATATATATATTAAAGGCCCAGAAAAGGCCTGTTTACACTTTTTAACACTAAAAACCAAATTAGATTCATATTACAAAATTAAAGTCTATTTTCCCTTATTTCACTCTGTTTCTAATTCCAGAAAACCTTTTTTTTTTTTTTTTTTCTTTCTGGGAGCTCATTGCTTAAAGCATACCAACTTTGAACAAAATACTTGAAGAACATACCATTTTTTTTTTTTTTTTATTATATAAAATCTTCTTCATCAGAAATCTTTTCTTTTCTATTCTTTATGGGAAAACTAAATTGGGTTATAGTTATGAGTTTTGCATTTACGTTTCAAGCATCAAATTTTATTTCTGTCCTTTGCGAGCAAGGAACCGTTCTCTCGCTGCTTCAATCCGACTCCCCACATTTTCAGTAGCTGCAGGTGTTTCTTCATCGTTCTTAGACGGCAACTCCGTCTTCTGCTCAGCTTCTTTGATAGAAGAAGCCGGTCCACCGCTACATCACAGGTTAGACAAATACCAATCAATTACTGAACGCTAGAACAAAACTGGACTTAAGTAGTAAGAGTAAAATGTTTGTATATGTTACCTCAACTTTCTGACATTTAATTTATCGATCTTTCGTTTGATAGGAGCCACCCATGACATTTCTACTGCACAAACATTACGCATGAACGGCCGTGTGGTTGAGATCAGCTCATGGTACACTACGTAATTAGGCAACATTCCGTCGTTTCCAGCAGTCAACGCAGATGATGGATGCACCTAGAATCAACCGAGAAAAATCAACATGTGGATGATCGCACCAGACTGGATAACTTAGACATCCTACTTTAGTTTGCAGTTTTGCTACAAATCTGAGCTAATGATATAATAGAAAATATTACACTGCAACAGATAAAAGGAGACTTGAGAAGTAATACCTGGACTAGCTGGGACGCAAAACTAAGAGTCCGGTATCCATTGTGACGAAGCATTCTCTCAGCAATTTGGTTTGCATTCCCAACGCATAGAGCTTTCCTCAAATTCATGTAGTTGTCTCGGCTTGAGTTCCTTCCATGTGCACCAACTTCCAATCGATCTAGTTTGTCAAGGAGACCAATTATTTTAGTGATGGTTGATTAGAAATTATGACACACCCAACTATCGCATGTGACAAGGGAAAGGAAGGGAGAGGTTGACATAAATTCTGGTTCCATAGGAGGTATAATAACACCCTTTAGGGGTGAAAGGTGAAAGCCATTGAGTGAGTATTAAGTTGATTCTATGCGTATTTTGTTGTGTCATGAAACCATACCAACCTTTGGATATCTTCTGCATAATCTGACATAATTGTCTTCTAACATCTTTGACAAACACCATCCCTCGCACCTGCAAATTATTTTTCAACAAAAGTTATCTTTCTTTCTGAAGGCATGTGGAACCTATGTAATAATGTACTAAAAGAGACTAGAACAACTACCTGCAGGCTATTTTCTTTGCACCATACAGGATCATAATTATAACGGTCCCAACATTCGAAAATCTGTAGCAGTTGAATGTGATCACCATATCCGGATCCATCAGGAAGATTAGAATCATCATGCTTCCTCTTCTTGTCATTGGGTTTACTGTCATACAAAGCACAAACCATAATGACAATTGTTGACACATCTGTACTAGTCAATGTAATTTTAAAATTTCATAATCTGACTCAGGGAATTGTAGATCGAAAAAACTAACCTTCTAGCAGGAAGAAGTGTAGTCTCTGCTGACAGCATCGCAACCACTGTTAGAGCTTGCGATAAGCAACCATTTTCATTCGCTTCTATCAATGTTCTTGACAATGATGGTTCTAGTGGAAGCTCTGTTGAACCACAAATATGCTCAGTATGAAATAACAGCTCAAACTAAAAAAAGAACACAGTTAAAAAGTGCGCCAAAACATACCAGACATTGTCCGACCAATACTTGTTATTGCACCATTCTCATCAATTGCATCCATGAAATACAGTTGCTTCAATGCATCTTCTAATGACTCAGCTGAATATTATAAATTGGAGGTAAACCATAGAAATATTATCTCACTGGAAATTCAGAAATATTACAAACCAAAAAGAAAAACAGCAGATTGTGCACCACAAACCATCAATCCATTTATTTTGTGGAAATATTAATAAGAGGCATCTAGCTCCAGATAAAAATAAGTTCTTACATGAAGGAGCATCAAGAAAATCGAACTTGAGAATGTCAATATCGGGAAGATCCAACGATTTCAAGTATAGAACACTCCCAGCAAGAGAAGTCCGTTGTATTTCAGGAATTGTTGCATCAAGAAAGTCATCTCGGTAGACTGCCAATGGGTATAACCTATAACATTTCCCAGGTCTTGTTCTGCCAGCACGTCCAGCACGTTGATTAGCTTGCACTCTGGAACACCACAATGAAACAACAATAAGCAAATAGAAGCTCGATGAAAACTTGAGTAAGAAACCACTAGGATTCCTGAGTCAAAAATGTTATATATGATGAGGTTCTATTGAACCACTATAATTCCTTTTTGAGCCAATTGCAGAAATCTTTTCTAGTTTAGGCTATAATTATCATCCCACATCAACTACAAGTTCACTATATGCACCAATAGATTAATACAAGGTTCATATATAGCAGGCCATTTAATGACATGAATGAAGGTTGAACCAGACTTATTTGCTTACTTGCTAATTTGAATAACATCAAGAGAATACATTCCACTTGATGGGTTATATTGTCTTTGCTTCACATACCCAGAATCAATCACATACCTGTCAGAGAAAAACAGGGATAGGCTGAGGATACTATCGATCTCCAAATTGTCAAAACATTACCTAAAAAATTTGCTTAAAATGCATACATGAACACCTGATACACACGAAGATGACTGACTACCAGTCGTAGTAAAAGAAAAAGATGACTAACGGCAACCGTGACAGGACAATCGGAACTAACAAGCAGATTCAAGAACGCAGTATATGTAATATTCTCATACTTAATTCAGTTTTAGATCGCTTGAAAAAGAGATGGCACGACCTATTCATCTAGCCTTAATAAATGTCTCAATCACCTGTTTTAAGTCAAACTCCAAATATATATCCCATAGACGTGATTGTGAACATGTACTGACATGTGAAGTAAACTAAAAGGAGCAAATATAATCACAAACAACGTTGCTGGCGTCAAATATATCTGCTTAATTCCATTAATTACACTATTGCAGTTGTCAATCTTCATGATTACTATTGAATGATACTTTTATTCAGCTTCTTACAGGACCTGACTTAACAACAACATGATAAAAGTATCAATATGTATGCAGTAAATAAGTGACATACGCTAGATACCAGACATGAAAACAAAAAATAACATAATAAATTTTAGGTTTTAAGTTTCTTACACAACCCCATCCACAGTAAGAGAAGTTTCAGCAATATTTGTAGCAACAATAAATCTGCGGCAGTTTGGAGGAGGAGGACTAAATACACGAACCTGCATAAGTGGTGAAAGTCAAGACAAATTACCAAAACCTTTTGAGATCACCAAGATATCTCAATTGCCCAGAAGCAAAATTCACAAATGGATCTGGGTACAATATTCTGTACTGAGATTCTAGAAATATTTACCTGCATTTCAGGTGGTAAAGAACCGTGAAGAGGATAAATAATAGCATCCATACAGGATCCTTCTGCTAAGCTTCGTACTTTTTCCTCTAGCTTTGATACTAATTTTTCTATATCATCCTATTAAAACCAAGATAGAGTAAGACATGACACAAGAATCTAGATAGTTCTGCCAGATTTCAAAAAATAAAGTTGAATGAAATGAAACAGACCTGTCCAGTCATGAAGATTAGGATATCACCTTCTGGCTCACGAACATGTATATCTACAAGTAACAACAAGGTTTTTTTGTAATGTAAGGGGAAAATCGTGTCAAAAGTAATCAAGTAAGATAAACCAGATAAAACTGAATGACAACAAAAACACTCGCCCTTGAACATACCAATTGCTACTTTCAGAGATGACTCAATATAACTGACAGGACGCTCTTTGCTGTATAATATTTCCACGGGGTATAATTTCCCAGGTACATTCAACACAGGGCAGCCCGAAAAGAATTCAGAAACCTTTTCACCGTCAAGTGTTGCAGAGGTTATAAGAACTTTAAAGTTGGATCTGCGGATTCTAACCAACCGTTTCACTAAACCCAAAAGAATATCCCTGATAACAATGGACCAAGTTAAGATATATTCTAGAGCTTTTGGGATTATCTGAATGAGATCTTAATGCTATACTAAACAATGTTACGATAAAAGGTACTGAGAAACGGAGATCAAATATGACTACAGAAAAGACCTTACGTGTTTAAACTTCTCTCATGAGCCTCATCCAATATGATTACAGAATAATCATCAAGCATTGGATTTGAAAGACTCTCACGAAGTAGAACTCCATCTGTGAGGTATCTGGGAGCAAGAAAACAATCCACAATGAGGAAACCAAAGACGAATCATGTGAGATTTTGATTAACGCTAAACATTTACACATCTTCCATTACTTAATGCGTGTTTTGCTCGAAGTTCTGTCCTCAAAACGTATAGCATAACCAACATCTTCTCCAAGAGGTACATCAAGCTCCTGTGCAACCCGCCTGAAGACCATAGCCATAAAAAACAACTTCTAAGATGTTCTGACATCTTAAAAGACCAACAAAAGACTCAAGATGAGAATAATGCGAGAGTGAACGGCAAAAATCACCTAGCCACGGAAACGGCAGCCACACGTCGGGGCTGAGTAACGGCGATGACGCCGGATTTTGTGTAACCATGCCGATGAAGTATCTGCGAGAGCTGAGTACTCTTCCCGGAACCAGTTTCTCCAATTACAACTACCACTGGATTCTTATCCACTGTTTCCACGATCTTCTCTTCAAATTGAAGGATCGGAAGATTCGCCATATCACAGAGATACACTCCACTCACAGAACCTACCAAGTTCAGCAATCGACGAAAAATGAAACTATATCTGCTATTTCTACTTAGCTTCAGCAAAATTCATACTCCGGCGAACGACGCGATAGATTCACAGTACACCGTAACCCTAATCGCATTCCGGCACTACGAGAAATTTCGAATAAACACAATTTTCCTAAAACCTTCGATTCAAAACTCTTCCCTCTATATTATTTGGGGATTGCACATTTTGAGAGAGCGAGAAAAATGAAAACAAGCGTAACACGAAACCCTCTCTCTCGTTCAGCGGCTCTTGTTCTTATATTTTATGAATTTCATATCTCGTCCTTTAATTTATAACAAATTTGCTTTTAGAGTAAACCAATTCTTAGTTCTCTCATCAAAGTTAGATAGCCTACATGGTAGTACATACAGTAGTTACATTGCAATTTGTATAACGGGGACCCAAAAATCCTTGGATATAAGCTACATACACCTATACAAGCATCTTTTTTTTTTTACCTCCAAGACTTTCAAAAAGAGATATTAAGTCTTGAGATGGGGAAAACATAGTACAACTTTACATCAACTAAAGGTAATAAAAACATGACTCAACACTGGTAAACTGAGAAGCTCTTGCTTTTCCATAGAAAACTGAATGCTCTTCCCATTTTCTTTCTCGAGGCTGATTTACACTGCGGTTTTGACTCTGTTACAGCGGCTGCAGCGACAGAGAATCCACCCTCGGGGCTTGTGACTTCTGTATGCTGTGGTTCTGTGAGATGGGTTTGATCCCTTTGCCTCAGTTCCCTGAATAGTGTTAGTAGCTTCTGTGCTCTTTCCCTTCCCCTTTGAGTCCCGTTTACGGAAATAGATACCAAAGAAGGTATCACTCCTTCTTGTAAAACCATCTGGCTACAGATCTCGCTGTGATTGCATAAAATCAGAAGCAAAGAAACAGCTTGTTCTTGCTCATTTGGTTCACCCGTGTCAAGAATAGTGCAGAGATTGCTTACAAGCCCAGGTACTGAAACCATCTCGTCTTTTCCTACCTCATTCAAAACCAAATTTAATAGAACAGCTAAGGACTTCTCTGTCCATCGTTGCTCATCACTGACGGTGAGTGATTGTAGCGCATTTACAATGTCAGCTGATAGAAGGCAAGGGATATTGGGAGGGTAGGTGGAAAGGTGAAAAAGGGAGTGAAGGGCATCGACTTTGCATTGGACTTCAGTCTCAGTCCAAAGAAGATTCACCAAGAAAGGAACTGCCAGACTTGAACCTATTAAGGGCTTTGCTTCTTCAAGACATGAGAGGTTCAGATAAAGTGCGGCAACTGGACCATGCGAATGTGGATTACAGAGCATTTCCTCTAGCAGAGGAATTATTCCTGATACTAGCATCAACTCCTTATTCCTGAAATTCGAAAAAATCACATAAATGAGATTTAGTTCTCCAGTTTAAGATAAGAATGACCCAATTTATCTTTTGTTGTTGAATTCTTAGCGCACTTGTAAATATTTTGGTATTCCGAAATAATAGTGATCGCGAATACAAAACATATTTGGTAGTAACGCGCAACTGAACGTGTATAGCATATACTAGACTAATTGTACTTATGAGCTTGATCATTGAGAGAGAAAAACATGACATCATTATCTCACATAAAGTTACGAACAGGAATATAGAAATTAAGGAGTACCTGTTGTTGTCCACAGCCAAGTTAAAAAGAGCCATGGCCCCAACTTTCTGGGCTGAAGCGTTGTTTTCGTTGAGAGCTGATCCCAGAAACTGAAGCAATGCTTCAACACACCCATTTTCCCCCATGAGAACCCTGGCCTCCTCATCATCTTTTAGCAAAACTCTAATTTGCTCAACAACTCTACATTTCTTCCTTAAAGTATCAACTGCACTCAAAGTGGTCAGCAATTCCGTACATCTTTCAACAAGAGTAACTTGATCTTCCTGGTATTCTGATTCGCAAGCTTCCTCTTTAATGGTTCCACTCTCTTCCAAAGGAACCACCTTCATATCCTTCAACTTACAAGAACCAACACCTTTTGCTGATCGAGTGTCGGTGGACTCGGACACAGACAACGCCAGCCTCCAATAGTTAAGGTCTAGAGACTCAGGGGGTCCATCAGGGACCTGCACGCCATTCTGTTCACACCAGCTAGAAATTAGAGCTTTGACACAATAGTTAGGCGTCAAGCATAGATGAGAGAGCTGCTGGTGAGTTTTGGGACATGTGTTGTGTCCATCGCTAAGCCATTTCTCGATACAGATTCTCTCATACGTTTGTCCAGACGCGATGATGACAGGGTCGTACATAAGCTGCAAAGATATCGGACACCTCAGTTCTTCTGGCGGAACAGACATCTGCACAGATTTCCTCTGGTTATTGCAGGATCTGAAATTAAAGGAACTCAGTTTTGACAGCTGTCGGTCAAAAGCACGACCATGGGCATCATCAAGAGAACCCTGAATAGTTGGTGAACAAGGCAATGAACTACTACCCTGTGAATCATTGTCGTCCCAGATCTCACTTCTGAATAGCTTTGAGTATTTCCTCATGAGATGTAATAGATAAGCCACTATTGATTCTTTCCTCTTGTCATCCTCCATTCGAGCCCTCTCAATGAGTTTCTTGAGGCATCTTCGCTCTGTGAGAGCTGCTCTTGAAGAGGTGATGCCTAGTCTAGTAGCAGCTTGATGGAAAACCTCAAGTTCATTATTATCAGATGAGCTCTCAAAATTCCCTCCTTGTTGCAGCAATCCAATGATTTGATCGCCAATTTCCTTCTCTGATGGATCAAGTGAAAACTCGGTGTTCTCTAATTCCATTAAAATCTCCAAAAGCTGCAAAGTATGATATACAGGTTTAAATAAAAGCACTGAACTCTAGAGATATCGCTTCTCTGCTCCCTCCAGTTGCCATGGGAGAAGAAAACAAGAGTAGCAAGATACGGGAACACGAAGAACTAACTACCTGAGATCCAATAGACTGTTGGACTATATCTTCAACACGCCTAAGGCTATCTGTAAGAGAAGACTTGGCCTTCTCAAATTTCAAAACTACTGAATCCCCTGTTATAGCCTACATGTCAAACCAGCTAGTTAGCGAGAATCACAACAAGGACTGATTGGTTCTGAAATCTTTAAAACATAAATATAAAAGCATACCAAATAAAGTTTACTAGATTCAGTGCAATGGCGTAGAATGTTCTTCACTTTTTCTAAAACCACGTGAAGTGAACACAAAGCTTGAATCCCAGATTTGCTTCTCGGCCGAGCAGCTTCAAGCGACGGGAAGATAGAGATAATCTTGCAGTAGATCACTGAAAGGGCATTACACATTTCTCCATGTAGCTGAAAAACAAGAATCTTTTAGCCACTACCTTACACTTGCAGCCATATGTAAGTCGTATTACAAAAGACAGCACAGCTCTTTTTGTACATCACAGGATGAATCAAACGAAATCAAGAACCAGAAGAGAGTATTAATTGAAACAAAGACGGATACATATCGACATCAAGATACAGGACCAAGAATTTAATGTATGAGGGGGGAGAGAACATTATTGAAAAACCTAAAAGAAGGTCTGATTCAGATACCTTGGCATCACCAGGGGCAAAGAAATTTTCTTCAACCTCATTAACATCCATTGCTTCAATATCTTATGACAACAGCTCTATACCGGCTTACAACTCAATACTACAAGAAGAAAAAAGGACCTGAATCAGTGAGAAGTTAACAAATAAACGAATCTATAGAAGACACAAGCCAGATCAGTGTGTTCCGGAAATGCAAATGTATTATTCCCAGAGAAGTATATAAAGAACAGAGCAAAGAAGACGAAAAAGGTAACAAAAACTGGTTAGTTGGGGCATTTTAACAAACAAATAAGCTGCAAAAACCCAAAAAGACAAGAAAAGAAAGATTCTTGGTTATCAAGAAACAGAGGAAATCAGAACACAAGAACAAAAACTCAAAAACCCCTCTAGAAAAAATCTGGTTAATCCCCTCTCCCCCACCACAAATCTCCCAGATGAACACAAAGCATCTAGATTTTTTTCTGAATAGAGTAAAAAACAGAGGAATTTAAACGTACCAGAGATGAATCTTTTAATCTGCATCTGGTAGACGTAGACATAATAAATAAAAAAGAGAAGTCGATCACAGAACCAAAAAAACAGAGAGAATCAAAAGAAGAGCTATTTAGTGAAAAAACGAAATGATTAATATATGGAAATGGTCCTTGGAGAAGCTGTATTGTGGGTAGGTTTCAAAGAGGGTCTGATTTACAAAGTTTTCTGAGCTTATCAAGGCAAAAATTTTATCGATCCCAACAATCAGAGAGAAGAGAGAGCTCTGAGCTATCTGATACCGATTGGAGATTTTTTTTTTTTTGGATTGTATTGTGTTGAAGAAAATAAATAAAATTAGTGAAAAAAATAAAGGAGAAGTTATTCTCAAGTCAAAATAAAGCCAAAACTTGCGAGTGGCAATTGCAAGGTCGCAAAGTACACACAACAGATTTGTTTTTTCATTTTATAATATTAATTAAGTTTTTTTATTTGGTTCTTTGTAAATAAAAAGATTCTGTTTTAATTCTTTAATCATTAACTAATCCAACTCCATTAGTATTTTTTTCAAATGATTTTGAAAAATTACTAGATTTGCATTAGCAACGGTATTATTAGGGAACATTATTATGTCACCGGATTACATTTTTAAAAAATGCATGAAAAGAAAATGCAATGTAGTTTTCAAATGTGTGTTGTGTTTTATTTACCAAAAACAATGATCATTCTAATATGGATTTTTACAATTTTAATCGTAGATGTAGTTTGTTATTTTGGTCGACTGGTAGGTGAATATGAGTAAATAAAATAATGTAGAATAATTTGTCCAAAAAAAAAAATGTAGAATAAAAAACACAGTTTTTGACCTTTTTAAACGACACAAAGAAAAGAAAGGAAAAAAAAAAACAATAAAGTATGGAGAAGAAGGGTAATGAGAGGTCCAGTTTTCACCGACAATTTTTTTAAAATGTTGTAACAAAAACACGTCTTCCATAATTAATATAGATTTATTCAAAATTCTAGTCTAAACCAAACCGAACCAAACTAGGTTGAGGTTGAGGTTCACCTCTCTCTCTCTCTCTCTCTCTATGTCTATTGACGAGGACTTGTTGTGGATGTGGACCAGTGGTCTTAGTCCCCTTGGCTGTCTCTCTATCTGTCACCGTGTCCGAGTTCACCGATCTGTTTCATGCTCAATCTCAGGCTCTCAGCTATATTATTTTCTAAAGCATGTGAGTGTAGTGAAAATGACAACTAACTAATGATGGATTTTTTTTTTTTTTGGTTTAATTTTGGAAAACAATGAAGTAATATTAACTTAGGACTGAATTCGACTTTCTGATTAATTTGGTGATAATCTTCGTCCAGTTTTTAAGTAGTTAATGTTGCTTTAAGCGGTGAAAGGAAGAAACAAAAAAAAAAAGAAGAAGCAAAATAATGAAATGTGTGTTGAATAGTTGTGGGTAAAGAGAGAGTTAAGGGGAGATTTGCCGACTTAGACGGCCGACACGCGCCGACAATACATGCATATGTCGGCTCTTCAGATCTCTCTCTAACCCCTTTTATTCAAATTACTTTACTACTCCTCCTCCCTTTGCTATTGCTACTAATATTCTTTGAATCTCTCCCTTTATTAATTTTTGTTTTCATGTTTTTTCTTACATATATTATTTGTTGTCAACCAACCATGTTCGTTTTTTTTTTAATTATTCTACCAGAAATTTTGTAATGATTATACATTATTTCTTCGTTTTTTTCCTATTTAAAATTACTATATAATACCCAAAAAACAAATATATTCAAATTGTGAAAAGGCTAACATTGTCGTTTTTATTATTTGAATAAATTCGGAATTATCACCTAACAAAAAAACACATAATTTGTTGTTAAATAATTTTTAAAAACAACCCATTTCACGAATAACAATTCATATCTTACATTTATTGAGGATCAAAATCATATTTGATCAGCAACTAACCTGTACGTTGAACACATTTACAATTCGTAGATGAATTATATATGGTACAAATAATAATAGATGAGTGAAATTATGCATGCATGCATCTAATTATGTTTTATATTATTGCATCGGAAATCATTTGTATGGATTATTGAGATGAAAGATCAACGATGGATTTAAATTATCAATTGTAAATTTGTACCACACACACCATAATACCAACGACGATGTTCAAATTATGTAAATGATTGGATCCATCCCTACTCAATCTCTTAACTTTTGTGACGTATTTGCGAAATACGTACATTTGCTTTTATCGATCCTTGTAGATTAAGATACTGAAATGTTTAAACGAAAGGGAACTAAAGACACAAAAGAGAGAAGATAAATCCAAGGGCGATAGAAATGGAAAGTAGCAATAGATCTTAGTTTAGATCGTTGAAGAAAGATAACTCAAGAATGTATTCTTTAATAGTATATGTTAATTAGTTGAAGATCTCATCTTCTTTTTTTTATAAAAGAGACGTATGAAATAAGTCATTATAAAAGTACTAATTAATAACTCTCAGGAAACTGCCCACGAGTACCAATTTAAACCTCAGATGTCGTCGAAGCAAAATATCATTTTAAAAATGGGGGCTACGAAATTTTCAATGTCCTTTGCACAACAACAGAAATGTGTAATGACAGCTTAGTCTGCAAAGGACAGGTTGATCTAGTTCTTTAAAGACGGATCATCCATCTTATTCTTATTAACCCCCAAAAAAAGAATATAAACAGGCATCAAATTTCTTAAACGTCAGCTTATTATAATCACATTATCAGTTTAGTAGTCTTTTTCATTATATTCTTTTCTTAATTTTAGAAACTTATTTGGTCGATATGGTCGCAAGAAGCCTTCATATTTTGTTTACCAGTTTTATACAATTATATAAAAAAGCTTCCAAGTTCTTTTTCTTAGTGTATACAAATAATCTTGAAACTTTTACATTTTCAAGATTTTGTAGTCACTATTTTTTCTTTAGGCAAGTGTTACTTGATGAAACCAAATTTAATCATATGAGATCATGAGAGCACCTCTATATGTGCTACAAAAAAAAAAAAACACAGTACGGAAAAAAATGTCACAAAGAACTTTACCTAACACATAAAGAACAAGAAGCTTATTTCGTAAAAACCCACATGATGAAGAATCTCTCAGTCGATCTCAGATAAGTAAAAAGTTTGCACTAGAGGTTTGCTTAGGAATCAAGTTTCGTACATATGGTATAAACAAAAAAAACATCTCTCTCTGGCTTTTTCATACAGCAGAAGCAAACACATCAGCACAAAAGCGACTCCTTAACTTTACCAAATTTGAGATGAGGTTCAGAGAGAGAAAGAGAAAGAGACCTAAAACTGATGAATCAATGAGAGGAGGAGGGAGATGCGGATGAGCCTTCACTTAAACTGGAAGCTTCTGTAGCAGAATTTGTGTCACTTTCACACTTGTCTTCAAAGCAAAACCTGCACCAATAGCACAAAGCTCATAACTCATAACATTGCAAAAAAAAACATTGGAGAATTCATCCATCTGAAGATGGGTTCCCTTCAGACACCGATAGGAATGAGAAGCTCCTCGTTGTTAGATACATCCTGCGGATATTTTCTCAGAGAGTTACAGGCAAGTTTGTTTAACCTTGCTTTCTGTTTCTTTCAAGTGAAATGGTTCACGTTTAAGAAAAGAGTATTGTAATCGATGGATGTTCACTGTTTTTGTACACAGATGATATGGGATGAAGTTGGAGAAGATAAGTTTGAGAGAGAAAAAGTGTTGCTTGATATAGAGCAGGAATGTGTAGAGGCTTACCGGAGAAAAGTTGACCAGGCCAATGTTTCGAGGTCTCGTCTACATCAAGAGCTGGCGGAATCTGAAGCCGAACTCACCCACTTTCTTTTGTGCCTCGGTAAAAGATCAGTACCTGGAAGGGTAATTTTCAATCTTTAATATCCAAAGTGAAGCAAAAGATTATTCAGTTACCATAGCAAAGACTAGTTTAGATTTTCCAGATAACGTATCATTGATAATTTTGTTGCCATCTCTACACAGCCGGAAAAAAAGGGAGGAACATTGAGAGAGCAGCTGGATTCTATTGCGCCTGCACTGCGTGAGATGAGGCTGCGGAAAGATGAGAGAGTGAAGCAGTTCCGAACTGTCAAAGGGGAAATTCAGAAAATTTCAGCAGAAATAGCAGGTAGATTGACATATGAAGACTCATCTAGACAGATAACCATAGATGACAATGATCTTTCTGATAAGAAACTTGAGGAATATCAGAACGAACTGCATAGGCTCAATGATGAGAAGGTGCATTACTAATACCAAATTGGGAACAGGCCTTGCTTTTGACTTATCTGGCAGTTTTAGCTTATCTATCATGTTGTCTTTGATTGTTTTGTCACACAAGAATGAGAGACTACAGAAGGTTGAAATATACATATGTGCCATTCGAGATCTATCAGCAACAGTGGGAACAGAAGCATCAATGATCATAACAAAGATTCACCCAAGCCTAAACGACCTCTATGGAATATCCAAAAACATCAGTGATGATATCTTAAAAAAGCTCAATGGCACTGTTGTGTCTCTCGAGGAGGAAAAGCACAAGCGCCTTGAAAAGGTAAAGCTAACTACACATGTTTCAGTTCATTGTCTAGCATTGCTTGGGGAACATCAACATAGCTTAACAATTACTCTGAAACACAAATCAGTAAAGAGAATCACATTTATCAATTAGAAAAAGGTGGAACCAAGATTTTGTTATCTGACCTTCTAAGGCCTCTTACAAATGGCAGCTTCACCATCTTGGAAGAGCTTTATCGAACCTGTGGAATTTAATGGATGCATCTTATGAAGATCGTCAAAAGTTTTCTCACATCATTGATTTACTGTCATTCGCACCATCAGATGTGTGTGCTCCTGGCAGCATTACATTGGACATAATTCAGCAGGTAAGTATATAATGTAGTACAAAGGATCCATACCAATTATAGATTATGTTGACCGCCTTTTCTTTTGTGCAAATCTTTCCCAAGGCTGAGGCTGAAGTCCAGAGACTAGATCAACTGAAAGCAAGCAGAACCAAAGAACTTTTCTTCAAGAAGCAAAAAGAACTTGAAGATACATGCAAGATATCACATATGGAGACTCCATCAACTGAAATGGGAAATATAACAAACCTAGTAGACTCTGGTGAGACAAACTGTAGCTTTCTGCAACTGCTATGTATCTTTTATTACATATGTCAAACTGATTGCAGAGTTTTCATACTCTATTTTAAAGGGGAAATTGACCATGTCGACCTTCTCACCGCCATGGATGAAAAGATAGCAATTGCAAAAGAAGAAGCAGCAAGTAGAAAAGGAATAATTGAAAAAGTGGATAGGTGGATGTTAGCTCGTGATGAAGAGCGCTGGCTAGAAGACTATGACCAGGTTTAGCTATTCTCTATCGCTGCGGCTGCTTTATATCTATGTAGTATAACTCATGCAAGAGACATTTACATTGTCCCAGGACGAGAATCGGTACTCGGTAAGTAGAAACGCTCATCGAAACCTAAGGAGAGCAGAGCGGGCACGCATAACAGTTAGCAAAATCACAGGTAATATAAGTAGTTCCTTTGGATCCAACACCGATAAAGCTACAAATGACAATTGGACATGAAGCTGCATTTTCTTAATTTATGAAGGAAACCTCAAACTAACCATACTATGATATTCCCACCAGGATTAGTGGAATCTATATTGGTTAAGACTAAGAGCTGGGAAACAGAAAGACAGAAAGTCTTCCTGTACGATGAGGTAACACAACTTTTATGCCTCTGTGAACTGTCACAATAAGAGACTCTAAATTAGATAGAATAAATCACCTGTTAGTTCTCCAGGTACCTCTTGTGGCAATGTTACAAGAATACAATAAGCTGAGGCAGGAAAAAGAAGTGGAGAAGCAAAGGCTCCGGGTTAGTCTTCTCAAAAATCAGATAAAAAGAATGTACAAGAAAAAAAATACCATAACTTGAAACTGTCTTGACAATAAAATGCAGGAAATGAAGAAGATGATCATTCCAAAACCGGTGGCAGAGCCAGATAACTTTTATATGGCAAGGCCAGCTACCAGCAACCGTCGAATATCAAACCGAAGCATCAATGGTGGATATGGCAGTGCAAGTCCTATAAACAGAAAGTATTCAGGAGGATTCAACAATGCTAGTAATTACACAGCCCTTGGCACATCAATGAGAAGAGAAAACATAAAGAGCCAAGCATCAAAAATACCTTTCCTTAGGCCGCTTAACCGTGACGACACAACTTCAGTTGTATCACTGTTTTCAGGTCCAATGTCTCCTTGAGAGACTTTTAATTTCACATGTTTTCACATTCAAAAATAAAATTAATATTTCCTGTAACAACAATTGACTTGAAGTTATGACTTTTGGGATATGTGTGTCAAACAAACCAATCTTGAGGCTTAGAGCCCTCCTCCACTGACACAACGTCATAAATTCATTGATTCAACTTCGACAGTGGTAGAAAAAATCGAAGTTTCCAGGGATGGATTTATGAGATTCATGTCGAAAAATACTATACTTTAGTGTAAAATTTGATAGATAATATTCCCATTTCAAGAACAAAATGAGATACCTGTAGAAGTCTGCGTGACAGCTTCAAACCGGTGCTGATCTGGGGGTGGCGTGACCGATCCACCGACCACCGTCTGCGTTTTGGAATTATCTCCACTATTTAGTTAATTAACATAAATGCTGTAAATAAAAGATTAATACACATTAGTTTATGAGTTAAACTTGTCCGGTTAAGTAGGTCTACATATAAATACGTATAGGCTTAAGACTTTTTGTTTTTTTGTTCACCTGTAAAAGTGTAAAACCATTAACTACTCTTATACCAGACAGACTCTAGTACTAGACACATCCAACTGTAGAGTACATACACTTACTACATGTATTCATTATATTATTTAATGCTATATGCTTAATAAACCCTGTTAACAAAAGTATATATCAGAAAAAACTCGAAAATAATATGCATATTTAAAAGTTAAAAACTAAAAAAGACACATGGATTTGTTCACAAGAAAACAGATTACGGTGACAGTATTTTTGGGTTTATACGTACAAGTTAAAAAAATATTATGGTTTTTTAATATTGAGTGGATAATTTATATAGAAGACACCGCTAGTATTGTATGTATTTCCGCGAGATCTAATATTTGGTAAAGCGTCCACATCGCAACTTGTACATAAAAAAAAAAAAGAGAGAACAATTCAACACACAATTTAACGAGAGATTCTTGTCGTCGTCATATCTTATTTTTTCCTTTTCATTTACTTTTCAAATGTATAAAAATACAATACTCGTCGGAAACAAATAATCACCTTTCGTGCGTGACATCAGAAGAAAAGTCTGAGCTACCAGGTCACCTTTCACCCACATGGCCATTGGACACTACTATAGAGTTAAAATTTAGAGCATATTATCAAAACAGGCACTTGTTAGATAGATAGAGCTAGGCTAATTAAAGCCGTCGTCTACGCTTCTGAGTTCTGATCTGCTAATTAGTTTCATTTGGTTTCCTACAAGAGATACTTTATAAAGCTCTGATTTTATATAATCAACATCATATATGATAAAAAAAATGTGTGATACATTACATTCAATTTCATATAATGCCCCCGATGCGATCGTCGGGAAAACTCCCACAGTAACTAAAAATACCGAAACAACGAGATGTAGATCCAAAACTGTCGGCACTAAATCAGATAACAAGTGAATGTTCGTAGTAATAAGATTCCCCAAATTAGTAAAAAAGGGCAAAAGTGGCACAAAAAAGCAAGGAGGGAGAAAGAGAGAGAGAGAGAGAGAGAGAGAGAGAGATACGTGTCACAATCTTAACAAAACCTATAATCACCGGCGTCAATCGTAGCGTTCGCAGCCACCGGAGGAATAGCGAAGTGCCATAACCTCCCGGCGGCGTTGACTCTGTATTTCCGACACAGAAACTCCTCCGCGAATGTCTTCTCCACCCTCCGGTTAACGTCGTGCAAGAACACGTGCGTCACTCCCGGTTTCTTCCGGTTCCTAGCCATAACCGCCGCCGAGAAAATCGCCGCCATCCTTCCCGGAGCTTCGGCGAAGTAACCTTTAGGAGCATCGAGCATCAGAAGATCCCACTCTGTATCGTAGAACTCATCTGGGAGTCCCGTGAGAGCGAGCTTGCACTTGTCGTTTCCCCGGAGGTAAGCCTTCGCCGGGAAACAGCTGGGCTCCGTTTTGTACGAGCGCATGAGCGAGTCTGCTTGCTGTAGCTGCGTCCTGTAACGCACGTGATGCGCACGCAAGAACGGAGAGTCTTTGGTCACTTTCTGGAACCATTCAAGATCTTCCTCCAAGAACAAGGTTTTGCCACGCGGATTCAAAGAAGCCCACATGAGCGAGTCGCGTCCTAGACCGAACACGAGGAAGTTAGCCGGAGCCAGCTTTTTCAAGATGTTGAAAGAGATCGAGATCTCGGCTAGGTTCTGCTGAGGGACGATGTTGGATGTGGCGTAGTGGACGATCGCTTGGAGCTGGATCGGAGTCGCTTCGTAATCAGCCGCGGCGGCCACCGCTCTGCTTTTGGCGCTCGCGGTGGAGCAGAGGAAGAGAGTCTCGTCTGCTGCTCGTATGAAGCTTGTGAAGAGCAGAGCACCGCCTACTAAACCAGCTAGTAAAACACCGGTGATGATCCATCGTTTCTCCGATGGGATTAACGCGTTCATCTTATTTTATTTTTTTGTTTTTCAATCTCAGATCTGATTTACTATTTATATTTTTTTTTGTTTAGATTTTGTGGTTTGGTCGTTGAGACCTCGGATGAGAAAAATAGAAATGTGAAGAGGATTGTTGATAGGGGGGACTGAATAAAGAGCAAAAAAATATAGATATTGGGATATTTTTTCGTGGAGATGGTCTGATTAAATGACACGTGTCCATATCCGACCACTGAAGTAGCTTTAGCTTAAGTGGATGATATGAGCAAGACACGTACCTGTGCCTTATTCGAATTTTGAAAAATAAATGTCCTGTGTGTGGACATATTAATAGAAGCATGGGGTTTCGTGCCCACTTTGGTTATACCAAAGATAGCGATTAATAAATCAATAACAAAATCGGTCATTGCCATATACGAATTAAAAAACAAGTTCGTCCATACCATTTCGGTTGTTTTCGTGTCAATACATATCAGGTAATTAACTCACTCATTCAATCTCTCAATTTAGTGGGTTATCAACTTTTTAAGAAAAAATATCAGTGTATGTAAACATAATAAAAACACCGTGTATAAATCTAAACATTTTTTAATGTTGTTTTTAGATAATATATTTTCGAGTATACAAAAGTCTTTGGGTTCAGATAGTCCCGCACAAATCGTGTATTAAAAAGTATAGTGTGTATGTATATAATATAGAGGTTATAAGAAAAAAGCAAAAGAAACTTCAACGATCATGATTCACACCACTTCTTGAAGACTAGTCAATTGCTTATAAAACCCATTAGGTATGGAAACAAGTTCTCTATGGCTTCCTTTCTCCACAACTCTTCCCCTATGCAAAACGGCGATCGTGTCTGCTTTTCTTATGGTCGAGAGCCTATGAGCCACTAATACAGTTGTTCGTCCCTTCATCAGCTTGTCTAGCGCTTCTTGGACTAGTTTCTCTGAGCTCGTGTCTAAAGCACTTGTTGCCTCGTCAAGGAGAAGCACTGAAGGATCCTTTAGAACTGCCCTCGCGATAGCTACTCTCTGTTTTTGACCACCTGATAATTGAACCCCTTTATCACCTACGTGCGTCTTGTACCCTTCTTCCATCCTGCTTATAAACTCGTGTGCGTTCGCGGCTTTTGCTGCTTCGATAATCTCTGCCTCTGATGCCTTCTCGTTCCCATATTTTATGTTCTCGTGTATGGTTGTTGAAAACAGAGCCGGTTCTTGTTGGACTAACGCTATCTTCTTGCGCAAGCTAAGTAGGTTTAGGGTTTTTATGTCTTGCCCATCGATGCAGAGATTTCCGTTGTCCGGATCGTAGAATCTCATGATCAGAGCGATCACCGTGCTCTTGCCTGAGCCACTAGGTCCCACGACCGCAAGACTCTTCCCCGCTGAAACTCGGAGGTTTAGATTTTGAAAAATGTTGATTTCAGGTCTCGTGGGATACGCAAAGCTCACATGTCTAAACTCTATATCTCCTTTGATATGAGTGACCATTCTCGAGTTAGATTGGTTTGGAGGTATCTCAGTCTCTCTATGTAAAACCCTAAAAACCGACCCAAGTGCTTGCGTGCCTTTCACGATATCTGGGGTCAAAGCAAGCGTTTCAGAAACTGAAAAAGCTGTGACGATCAACACCATGAAGGATTTGATACTTTCCCCAAAATTCGTCTCCTTGTGCTTAATCAAAACCGATACGTACCAGAGACCAAGAGCGTAAGAACAGAACGCGAGAAACTGAGTCAAACCGTATCCAAATCCAGAGATATGACCTCTTACAAAGGCATTCTTGGTGGGCTTACTTAGCTCACTGGTAAACTGTTCTGAGATTTGCTTTTCAGCACCAAACGCAGCGACAGTTCTTATATTTGCAATCGCTTCACGCGCCACTGAAGTTGCTTTAGAATAAGCCCTTGTGTAGTCTCCTCCAAAGCCTTTTAGAAATAGTTGCTGTAACACATAACATATCAAGCTTATTATGTTTCAAGATTCATAAAATGGCTGAGATGATCCTTGATTTAAAATTACCTCTGTAAGTGAAGCGGCAATGAGAAGAGGGAAACAAGCTGTTACAATAGCAGCAACACGCCAACTATAGTAGAATGCAAGTGCTAATGCTGTGATTGTAAGAGATAGGTTTTGGACTATTGTCGAGAGACGATCCGCTAGAGAACTTCTCACCAAAGTTGCATCAGCAGCTAAGATTGAAGTGAGTGAGCCAGTGTTGTTCTCATCCAAATCAAACCACCCAATCTCATTCGAAAGAATCGCTGCAATTATTGTAAAGATACATATTAGTTCAAGAATTGAATCTATCCCAAAACAAGGATGTTGAAACTGACTCTGCTTACCTGAAAACAATGATAAGCGAACCCGAGAAGTAAGACGCTCTCCCATAAGTGTATAGAAGTAATGTTGGAGGAGATATATAGGAGCTGTTGCTATTCCAGCTCCAACAAAGATAAGAGCTACTTTTTCTACATCGTGCTTTATCAAACTAGGAGAAGGCGAATAAAATGCAGTTAGCACATAAGCAATCCCCATAGAGAACAATGGAGTTTGTGCTCCAGCAAGAACTGCACCGATTGAGCCAAGTAATGCATAAGGCCACTCTGGAGCATTCAGCTTTATCAGTTCCCATATCATCGAAGATGAGCCTAAATCTTCCCCGGTTGAACCTGCTTTAGTCTTCTCTTGGTCTTCCCTGAAGCTTGAAGTCCTCCTTGAGCTAGATACTCTTCTTGAACTAAAAGATCCATCTTGTGATTTACAAGTTTCAGACATAATTGATCTCGAGTTCTCTTGAGGTTCGGTCTCTTGGCAATTCACAAGAGTTGCGTATTCTCCTCCTCTTGATATAAGTTCTGAGTGGCTACCAGTTTCCATTACCTGGCCATTTCTCAGTACAACAATCTTGTCAACATTTCGAACGGTGGATAATCTATGTGCAACGACAATTGTTGTTCTCTTGTCCATAATGTTGTCAAGTGCTTGCTGAACAATCTTCTCTGATTCGGCATCAAGCGCGCTTGTTGCTTCATCTAAAAGTAATATCTTCGGGTTTCTTAGAACCGCTCGAGCAATTGCAAGCCTTTGTTTCTGTCCTCCTGAGAGCTGAGTTCCTCCTTCTCCAACCTTTATGAATGGTTTGACAAGTAAGAAAGTGGAAATATGAGATGATATGATTATGTAAAAATCAGATAATTGTATACCTGAGTACTGTAACCATTGGGTAATGATTTAATAAAAGAATCTGCATTAGCTGCTTTAGCAGCTTCTATGATCTGAACCATAGTTGCATTCTCTTTACCAAGAAGAATGTTGGAAGCTATAGTTGTGGAGAATAAAGCCTGTTCTTGACTCACTAATCCCATCTGTTCTCTTAACCACTTGAGTTTCAAGCTCTTGATGTCATTTCCATCCAAGAGAATTTCCCCTGAGGTAGGTTCATAGAAACGCTGCACCATTGATATGATTGTGCTTTTCCCTGAACCACTTGGACCAACAAATGCAAAAGTCTTGCCTGAACGTATTGTGAAACTAAGATTCTCAAAAACCATGTTTGGTCTAGAAGGGTATGCGAAAGACACTTGATGAAACTCAATCTTCCCAGCTACATTTTCCAATGTTGTTCCAATTTCTAATCTCTCAGACCTATCAAGATCGTTGTTCCCTATCATTCTGAATATATTTGCAGCAGCAACTCTTCCTTTGGTAATAGCGGATAAGCTTGGTGCGGCCTGACCTAAGGCGCTGCAAATGCAACAAAATGATTCAGTTTCATGATATATCAAGCAAAAGTCTGAGATTTGTAAAACTTACAATCCGCTGAAAATGACATTGAGGATCGTTGTGAAGGCTTTTCCACCGTTGGTTTTACCGTGGCGTACAAGAAGACTTGCATACCACAAAAGCAGAGCCCAAGCACAGAATAAGAGGCTATATGTTAATCCAACCCCTAAGCCTTTAGCAAGACCACTCCTTTTACCAAGTTTCAGAGCTTTCTTGAGAGACTTTGAGTAAGATTTTACAGCTTTCTCTTCTCCTACAAATGCATACACTGTTCTCACCTGTGACATAACCTGAAGACGCCATAGATAATATTTTCTTGGATTAACCCAAGGGTTAAGAATCAGATAAAGGAATTTAGTTCTTGATTGTTGAGTTCACTCAAAAAAATTTTTGTTATATTTCTACTTTTTTAACACTTAAACGCATATATTAGTTTTTGAATTAGTGTATAAACAAACCTCTTCTGCGACTTTGCCTGCATCAGCATAAGCAGCTTCACTCTTCTCTGAGATTGTGGACATGATTATGGCATATCCTCCTCCTGCAATTGCTATCAATGGAACCACTGCTAACGTGAGCAGCGTTAGTTGCCATACCGACAAAAAACCGATGACAAATCCTGCGATGAACTGAGATAAATAACGCAAAACATGGTCTGTCTGAAACAAAACAAAACATTATCATCAGTTACCTTTTTTTTTTATGTCCGTAGAACTAATGAATCCATATATTAGGGAAACGTACCTTATCGCCAATTGCATCTTGAACCAAGATTGCGTCACTTGAGATGTGATAAATGAGATTTGAATCTCTAGCTTCTGTATCAAAGAAAGTAATATCTTTTGCTAAGATTGATTTGAGATAGTTTATACGTAATCGCGCTGTTTGTCTTTCCCCTGTTTGCATCCAACAAGAAACTCCTGCCAATAAACCATTCCAAATAAAACACATGAAAAAAAAGATCAAACTTAGTGATAAGTACTATAACTTGATACAACAGAATAGATCAACGTATGAAGATAGAAACGTACATACCTATCCAAGCTGATACCAGATTGACCAGTCCTAAGTAGACCAAGTACAGAGCGTTCTTGAAAAAAGACAAAACACCATGAAACGTTATGACCACAAAATCTATAGAGAGAAAAAGAATATTTCCATTAATAGCAGGTTTTAAAGAAACCTGTGAAACACGAGAAGATATGGTTTTAGGATCTGTAGAAAGGTTTCCAAGAGAATCTAGCATTTTGCCAAAGAAGACGAAGAAGAGAGGAAGTGTAGCGCCATGAATACAGGCGCCTAAACCACCAAGCAACATCAGGAAGTAATCAAGTTTATCCGCTGCGCTAAACAAACCCATCAAGGACACTGATTCTTTCTTCATCTTTTTCTTCTCATCCTTCTTTGCTTCCGTCTCAGCTTGGATGTTTCCACTAGAAGATGGTTCTATGTTGTCCATTGTCCCTGGAAACTGAGATCAAAGACAGAGAAGTACTGGAGAGCGTCGATGAGCAGAGAGTGTTTTATTTCTTGCTCGGGAAAGCGAAGAAGTAAGATTAAATGAGAATTATGAAACGGGAGACATATATATATCTCACTCGCTTATTTAATGTGTAGTACTTACTGTTAACACTGAAGTCTAATCTTACCTAAAAAAGTGATCGTTCTAACTGTATTTGACAACTCAAAGTTAAAGCTATTCCCATAATCGTATTAATGGAGAACCTATGAGCAAACATAATGGGTAGGTGATCATCATATATATTTATATCTGTTGTTATTACAAATCAGTGTGGAGCTGCCCAATAAGTATCATGATTGTAACGTTTTCATCTTGTTTTTAGGGTGAAAACGTACGAAATGGTATAAGTTTGATGAGAGATCAAATCGTTGTCAACTTGTCATTATTGTCTTAAGTAATGATATTGCGTTCGCATAAGAACGCATTACGCGGCTGTTTTTGATCCATATACATATATGAACTTAACAAGAAAAATTTGTACATTTATTGTAATGTGTACTACTGGTTGTTGATAAAGAAATGCTCAAATATGTTTTGAGCTGTACGTAGGTTGTTGTGCATGATGATGATTGGATCAAAATATAACTCTTGAGGAAAAACCAAAAAGAGAAATTATTACTCTCTTGTTGAGACGACGATGTTGCGGTTATGAGACAAAGTTTCTTCTTCATATAGGATCTAAATTTCTTCTTTTTGCTTAAAGGTCATATTGAGAATGTTTAGGTGCCTTAAATGTAAAACCTTTTGGAGCCCATTACATAAGTTTTTGGCCCATAACTAAATATCCAACACAAATTGTATCAATAAATGGTAACAATGGAATTTAACGATATAACGAATTTAATGACTAATATAATTTTAATTTTTCAGTCAACTGAGTATAAAAGAAAGTTTAATAGATACTGATTCTTGATTATTCAATTTCGTTGATATGTTTACAGTAAAACCTCTATAAATTAATAATGTTGGGACTATGAAAATTTATTAATTTATAGAGGTTTTAATTTATTGATAAATTAATAATTATTAATTTATAGAGAGATTTTCCTAATTTGGAAAGTTTTTTCAAAAAAATAATTAAAAATAAAATTTAATCATGAGAATTAATATTTTATATAATCAATTACAAAGAAAATAATAATTATTATGTCTTGAAAGAGAATGCTAACTATTTTTGATATAGTAAAATATTAGAAATAAACTATAACAAAAACTAATGTGTCTATATATGCATATATTTTGAAAAATTTACCTAATTATTAATTTATAATATTGTTGGGACCATATATTTACAAAGGATTTTCAAAAAAATTATTATCTTATTATTTTATCGAAATATGTCTAAAATTACACTGGTCCCGACTTGGGACCGGAAAAATTTATTAATTTATAGAGATTATTAATTTATCGAGTATTAATTTATAGAGGTTTTACTGTATTTTGTTTTCAAGACATGTTTATTCCATTCAGCTGAAACTTTTTATGGAAAAAATGTTGGAAATGGCAAAAGCTATGTACATAGTTGTTGTAAATGGCCAACTGTGTAAACTTGTGAATAGAGAGTCATATGCATGATTTACGGATTTAGCGTCCCAATAAGGCAATAAGAGAGATTAATTGATGAAAATGGACCCAACAAATTAAAGTCACATGCATATAGTATTAGTAGTCATTCATTTCACACAGTGAAGAGTGAACATAAGCCCACATTCACCATTCTATGAATTTAAACTCAACAATATAAATATTTCTTTAAACAATATAAAAAAAAAAGAGATAAATAATATATATATATATATATATAAATATTTCTTATTTGTGTAATCAAAAAAAGCAAAGCAAGAACATGCACAAATTAGCTGGGCAGGTTTCTATCATTAAATCCTTTGAATCAGTGAATGACAAGGACATATATATATACTACTACTAATTAGTAAGACTATATACGTTCTGTATAGCTAGCTCTTACCTAATAATCCTAACCGTCGTAGCAATTACTCGTATGGATGCATTTATCACTACCCTTGTACTCATCTCGACCAAGTTCATATTTTTCTTCTTCTTCTTCTTCCTTCTAAAGAATATTTTAGCTAGCTTTTATATATAGATGTATGATATTTTCATTCCCCTCTTCTGTGTTTGCACTCATGATGTTACACACTTACACTATCTGTTACTCGAGAAGTTACAACGTTCGTATTTACTATTTAGGTATGAAACTTCAAAAAAAAAAATCTAAACTACATATAGAAATCAACCTGACTTTGGGAGGAGGAGCCGATGATATGCAATAATAAGGAAAGATATAACATAAATGGCTCCACCTTCTTCATTCTTGAATCCCTCCTTCTGCATTATCTCTTCCTCATTTAAATCCCTTTCTTAATTTGAAGTTAATTTCCTCTATAAAAACTGAATAATTATATTTATGTGTTGTTCTTTTCTTTGTATCATCTATAAGATTACTTTAAGCTATACGAAAAAACAAAATGGTTTTGCAAAAATTATGTTCATAGATAATTCTAAATGCAGATATACATTCTCTACTATATATATGGTGACAATTTAATTGCAACATGTGACCACAAAAATTGCAAAAGTAAGTAAGTGAAAAATTCGTATGCATGTTTTAAGATAAGATTGTCCAAACATGTTTCCCATCCGGAAAGTGTATTGTAAACAAATATTACGAAATTCGTATGCATGTTTTAAAAATTTAATATGTTAGTTTTATATTCCTAATTAAGTCCTAACACTTTATTGTAGTCTGAAACTATTTATAAGTTACAGGCAAAATTTAGTCTAATATAAACACAGCATTTTACCATTTGGAATTTTGATTCGTTATTTCACACTGTAGCGTCAATGATAATATCACACGGAAACAAAAGTGAGGTCAACACTTATTATATCAGCGTCGTTAAAGTTAATATGTATAGGTGTCTAAAGCTCCCAACTACACACCACAATGGCATTTAATACACACAACACACACCTCAAAGTCATTTTGCTTTTAAATACATAGAGAGATCCCCCAACAAGCAAAAGCAGTAAATCACACACAAAGAAAGACAGAAAAAAATTGATAGTTATGAAAGGCCTTCTTCATCTCCACCTCTTCCTAGTCACCATGACCGTCATTGCCTCCATCTCCGCCGCTGCACCGGCCGCTCCAGCTGGTGGAGCTCTTGCTGACGAATGCAGCCAGGATTTTCAGAAGGTGACTTTGTGTCTGGACTTTGCCACCGGTAAGGCTACTACTCCGTCCAAGAAGTGCTGTGACGCTGTGGAAGATATCAAAGAGAGAGATCCAAAGTGTTTGTGTTTCGTGATACAACAAGCCAAGACAGGAGGACAAGCCTTGAAGGATCTTGGTGTTCAAGAAGACAAGCTCATTCAACTTCCTACTTCTTGTCAGATCCACAACGCTAGCATCAGCAATTGTCCAAGTACGTCGTCCTCCTCATTCATTTCTATTAGCTAAGCTAGCTAGTTCATGTCGTCTCGATCTGTTGTTGCTATCTTTCATGCATTTAAATGCGGATCAAACCGGGACATGCAAATTAGGCTGATATTGAGGCTACTAGATTTTATGTTTTGATGATTATGATTCACTAAATGATACTAGTTATAATATAGTCACATGTTTAAGCTATAGATAGATGGAGCCATGTCCACATGCATGATCGATCACCCATGAGTTTTAGTATTCCAAGATGATCGATATGTTTCTTAGTTGTTAATGAGTTTTCATATTAAATTGATTAGTTAATGGGTAACTTTAGTTCATTATATTTGTCCTAACTAGATAAAAATAATAATTTCGTAAGCTTTATATAGTATAGTATTGGAGAGCCATAAACCAACCAGTAACCATATAATCCGCTATAAATACTTAAATGCGAACAGGTGCCTCGGGTTGCCTCTATTACTTACACTTATAGAGAATCGCATTTAATTCGTAGCACATTTATAGATATAACCTAACTTTTCCCACATCTGCGTTGAAGAAGTAAATAACAACTAGGAATTATCATGTTTGATGAATTGTCATTGTTAAGTGAGGCTAATGTTAAAAATGTTGGACAAATGAACAGAGCTCCTAGGGCTTTCACCTAGCTCACCAGACGCAGCCGTATTCACAAGCAATGCCACAACATCAACATCACCGGTGGCGCCAGCTGGTAAGACTCCGGTAACTCCAGCAACGTCCACGGAGAAGGGAGGATCAGCTTCCATTAGGGATGGCCACGCCGTCTTGGCTCTAGCCATCACTTTGATCACCGTCTCCTTCGTCTCGACCTTACCTAGACATGTGACGTTAGGGATGTAATAATGTTGTCTTTATAATGTGGTTGGTGCTTTTGTTTCAAAACTTATCTTTCAAGTGTGTTTATCTCTTTGTTCGGACATTTGTTGCGATGAGTCAACTTCCAACTTAATTTGATCTCTTTCCCCCCCACGCAATTAAATTTGTCCAACGTTTAAACAGGAGCTATTCGAGCATTGATGTGATAGTTGCTACCTAATCTTACGGCCTAGCTAAGCTGCTCTCTAGCTAGTTTAATGATTTTCACTTGTTCGTGTTAAAAATACAATAAACACTGATATCACTACAAAAGCTAGCTTGTTTTTTATTTATTCAGCAAAAGTTTGAGCTAAAATCTGACTAGCGCAAATTTGATTAATTAATCAATCACATTTTTGTTAACCACATTGGACAAATATAAACTTTCGGATAGTTAGAACCTTGAATTTATCTTACAACCTATGCTCCTTAAATCTGTTATCAGTTGTACAAAATCAAGAGTATAAAACCATATTTAAACCTCAGGTACTTAGCCAATCCAAATCCAAAAAGAGAAGAGAGGTTTTTTCCTATTTGGGTTTGTTTTGCAAGGCCAAAGCCTCTGCAAAGCTCTTGGACATTTCCCTTACAAATTCGTCGTGGAGAGAATTTGTTGAATATGTTGGAACAGAGGTTGCAGCAAGTGCTAGCGATTCAAGAACACGTTGCCTGGCTTTTCTGTCTTGAATTGCTCTCTGTCGCTCTTCATAAAAGCTAAAGTCATCGAGGATCGAAGAACGCATTGCACAGCTCTTGAATATGTTTAACATCTCTATACCTTGTTCCAGTCCCACCTGCAGGTACAAAACACATATACTATTTCACATCTTATCATTTGAATATCTGCTCATGTACTGAAACTAACTTAAAAGTTTAAAACTATGTTCATGATAAGATCTTGAATATGTTTCCTCGAAAAATCCACAAATTTTAGTGCCTTAGATATTTAAGTACACGAGAATATATTGGGAAAGTAATAGAAGCGTCATTGATTCGAAAGAAGAAATGTTCCATTTTGGATTGATCCAGATAGAGTGAATATATAACTGCTCTCATATATGAGTAAATGAAATTATACAAGTTTCAAAAGAAGCATCAATCTCAATGTGCAGAAGCAGCAGATTTTCATTATAAATGACTTTTGGGAATGAAAATACGATTCACAATTGTCAAATCTGTTTGCATAATTAAATCATCTAACAAAGCCATAAGAAAAGAATGCAGAAGACAAGAGGAATTTGATTTACCTCTTGGGTGTCTCTACTATTAGTGACTGGCTTATTGTCATTGTTTTCAATTATGATGTGGCGAAAGAGACTGTTGGGAACATCTTTGACAATAAGCCATCTGACCGGGAAGTGTCCTGACCATCTATCCTGTTGCCAGTACTCTACACTTGTGTTGAAGTCAACCGCTCCAACCATCTCAGCCACTCCACAAAACTGTGCACTGGCATTCACCTGAAATTAAGGTTTTACCCCCTTCTTCTATTAGGAGTTTCAGATCAAAATCAAAGCAATAAAAGTAGAACATTAAAGTAACATCTCAGAGGTTTGAAGTATAGAAATATCATGAGATGTCAAGATAGGATGACAAAAGACTGACAATACAATTTCAATGTTGAATAAACAAGTGTAAATATCTTCCAAGAAAATTCTTTGTCTCAACATTCACAGCTTCCAACAAGTTTTGACTTGTAAAGAAGAAAAATAAGCGATTTACCGAAAATAAAAGAAAGACTGGGCATGCCACATCTTTTGTCTTTGCTTCACGATAGGCAGCATCCAACTTTTTGTTTCCATTTTTAGTGCTTGCCCAAACACTGTACTTAATGCTCTTGTAGACATTATCCTCGCTATATGACTTAATAACAAAGAACTTCGCGTCCCTGAACTGGGAGAGCAGATCTTGTTGACAAAAACTATCAACTAGACCATAAGTGATATTACTTTTACCATTTAGCCTGGATGGCCTAGGACCTCTGTGTCTCTCGGTAGGCATATCAAGCATGGCAGGGTAGTAGCAGTCACCGTAGCTTCCACTTCTTGCTTCATCGAGAGGTGGCAAGTTATAATCAATCTCCCAAGTTGGGCTAGAAGAAGAAGCAGAGAAAGGGCTTCTTTTGCATGGAGTATAAGCTTGCTCTCTGTAACTTAAACTTGCAGCAGATTCAAAGGCATCATGCATAACTTCATGCGGTGGAACCTGCGTAGATTTCATCAATTAGATCTATACAGAAGTTTGCTAAGAATTTTCCATTAAAAACATTAAGAACCAGGAAAATAGGAGCAACAAAAGCTTTAAAGGTGTATAGGTAACAAGAAACTTAAACTACTAGAGCTGTACAAAGCATGTAAGGAGAGTCCCTTGAGTTGGGATTAGAGTAACTAACCATATTGAAAGCATTTGCAGATAATTCCACTGAACCATGGTGCTTCATACGTGTTCTGGTAGATGGCATTGGAGGAAACATATTTTCTCCACCGAAGGGGTTGAGATTCAGACCCCAAGGTTCACCAAATCTATTATTCCTTAAGTCAAAATTTCCCCTAGAGCGAATCATACAATCAGTCTCACTACTGTTAGTTTCATTCGCATGTCTATCAAAATGTCTAGAGTTCGCCTGAAACATGTGAAACTCTGGAGAATTACGAATGTGTTCTGGGACTGGATACTGGCGATTTGATGAGTCAAAAGGAAGGAAGTATCTTGAATCATCACAGTAGAGGTCACCATAATGCTGAAGTGATGATTGATTTCTGGTAGAATGAGATGACCTCTGAAAATTTGATGGTACACCATCATCACCATGGTAAAACATTTCGTTTATCATGTCCTATATCAACAGAATAAGAAACAGGAAATATCACGAATATCAGAAATCAAAATCAAGTAGAATGCAAGGTGTAGATTAGAGGATTTACGCACAGGAGAAACGTTTTCAAAGCTTGGAACATCCGTTTGTGAATGGTACGACCTTGGAATATCAGCTGCATTTTCATAACCTAAGAGAAATGATGGCATTAATGAGCAACAAGGATATCTCAAAATAGTAAAACAATAACAGCTAAGAAGCAATCAAGTCCACAATTTTGGTCACAAGATTTCATGGGCATGTGGCAATGTTTCCCCTAAATGCACCTAGAAGAATCGTATAACAAAACATAGATAACAATATGAAATAGCCTGCATAAGTAGGTAGACTCCTGCATTAGAAAGAATAAGAAGTTCTCTAGTGAAATAATATGGTCGCAGGACATGATAAAACTTGTAGTTTTCTCTTCTCTCAAACCACAATCAAGTTGCACTTGAAAATGTCAAAATAAAGCAATACCATAACAAAGAGAGAAAAAACAAAACGAAGTTTCACAACCAGCAGAAGATTAGTTATAACCACTAAACTAGAGCTAAAAATTAGAGAGCTGATAAAAAGTATTATACAGGTCTAACCTCCAATGTGAAATGGTTCTGTGTTAAACCCAGAGGAACTTGCGGGAAAAGCATTACCACAAAAAGGGAGATTGCTAATAGTATCCTGTAAAATCTTACAAACACAAAATCATATTGGTGCTAGCTTACATTACAAGACAAAAAAAAAAAAAAAGCAAAGCCATTAAGTTACAAACCTGATCTTGAAACACACTCTTGTCAGAATTTAACCTCTCTACCATATCCATCTCCAACATGTTTAACCCATTAACTGAACCTTAAAGAAACAAAAGATTGAAAATAAAAATAAATAAATAAGCAGATAGACACAAGGACCATCAAAAGTAAAAGCTAAACATCAACCGCAGCATAGTAAGTGAAAAAAATCCCCCAAAAAGGACAAGACTTTACGAAATTACAACCACAAGGAGCAAAATTTTCATCAAAGGAGGTCGTGATTTCTTTGTTATGGTCTATGAAGTGAAGAAACAAGCAAAACCCACGAGGGAAAAACCAAAAAGTATCAACATTTATCCATTTGGAAGGAGAGAAATCAAGGAGAGGCTTACGAGAAGGAGGAGGGAACCAGTCGGTGCTTGGGTAAGAAGCGGCCATCATAGAATCAGCCAATCGGGAGCCAAAGAGTATAAGAGAGACAAGACAAAAGCTAGAGAAGAAGAATCTCTGTTGTTACGGAATGGGAACAAGGTGTCGATTTTGTGGATTTTGGGTGAGAGACGAGACGACGCATGGAAATTCGTCATAAATAAGATTTAATTAAAAGTTTTAATTAATTAAGTTCGATTCATATCTTTAATTTGATTGGTTATACTACTTACTACAGTGTATTTGCTAAGCATGTGAGAGAGAATGTTGTTACTAAACCATTTTTAATACGACTGGATTGATCGTTAGAAGCCAATGTGTTTTTCACTAATCAAGAGAATATTGTAATCTTGTTCAAATATCCGAAAATTTATACTAAGTACTAACAATAAGAAATGCTTACTTGATTAAGATCTTAGTCAAAAACAGAACTATTCGTTTTCTCTACAAGGTCGCACGGCCGTATCACTCACTTGTGAGTGTGATATGGGAGGGAGCCTAACTCTGAACAACATGGGACCTTTTTTATCCATTACTTCTTTTTTTGTTTGTAAACTGATCCTTAAAACCAATAGCTAAGTTAAGTAAATGGACTGTTAATCTTTTCTGTTTTTTATTTCCCCCAAAACTACATGTGATGATGCTAAAGAGATTTTGGCCTAGTATAAAATTAGTAAGAAATTTTTCTAAACCTTAAAAATTTGTTACAGAACCGCCATTTCTCTATGTCGTAGCATTTTCGTCTTTCGAAATTTATCCGGCTTTATATTCGACTTTGTAATTTGTTGATTGTCTTGTTCTATGATACAAATAAAAGATCTTTGAGAACTAAATAAAAAAAGAATCGCCATTTCTTCTGGCTATTTGAAATATGAATAACTATATCACTCTATATACATTTTCTATTTTAAAATTAAATCACCATTATGCATATATATTTTTTCTATCTACCTGAGACTATATTTGTGTTAATATAATATTTTTAATTGTCAACAGATAGTAATTTTTAACATATGTATATTCTCACGTTACATAAAATGAAAGTATTTAATTAATGTAATTTACCGATAAATATTATGACATATTAAAGGATTGCGAATCATTAATCTGATTCTTTTTAACCAATAAATAAAATTTTGATTCTAGCATGTGTTAAAGACTTCTAAATGTTTTAATTTGAAATATAACATTTATAATATATAAAAATCAAATGTATTGGTAACTAAAAAGTAAAATAGAGGTCATCTATACAAATTTTTTTTGGAAAAGGTATAAAATGTTGATAAAATAGAGGAACCCAAAATAAAAATTGAATTTGACAAGAAAAGGAAAAAAGTGCATAATATTGGATTCAAACCAAAAAAAAAAACCAATAATAATAAAGCAGCGTCGTATCGACGCAGGTTCAGAGAATAAATAGAAAACAAAAACCCTTTGGCGTCTCTAACCCAAAATCCCAAATCTCTCTCTTTGGCTCTCTAATCTCAACAATGTCGCAGATGGATCCCGATGCAGTGTCCAAGGCCTTCGTCGAGCATTACTATTCCACCTTCGATTCTAACCGCGTCGGTCTCGCTGGTCTTTACCAGGAAGCTTCTATGCTCACCTTCGAAGGTCAGAAGATCCAAGGCGTTCAGAGCATCGTCGCTAAGCTCACCTCTCTCCCTTTCCAGCAGTGCAAGCACCACATCTCCACCGTCGATTGTCAGCCTTCCGGTCCTGCCTCCGGTATGCTCGTTTTCGTCTCCGGTAATCTCCAGCTCGCCGGCGAGGAACACACCCTCAAGTTCAGCCAGGTACATCTCTCTCTCGGATTTCTCGATTCATCTCATTAATTAGATCGCTAGGGTTTATCAATTGGCTGATAGATCTGTAAATCTGGCTATCCCCAAGTTTATATTGGCTGATAGATTCGTTTGAGCTCTAATGATCTTGTATGTGTTTAGTCTCTCGAATAAATAGTTGCCTTTGCTCTGAGTTTGTGGATTAGATTGAAGAGAGATGCTCTTTAAACATCTTATGACCTTGTAACATTGTTTTCCTAATCTTGTGTTGTTTCATGGTTTTATTTTCGTGTGGTGAGAGTATGTAACAACCTGCTTGGCTTGTTCTTGTTTCTGTAAATTAAGTTTCTTGAGCTCCTCTAGAGTTTTCTCTGTGTCAAGCTGCTCCAATGTTTGGTATCCTTGATTCATGATCTAACAAACCGTTTTCATTGTGTGTGTGTTCCAGATGTTTCACTTGATGCCGACGCCGCAAGGAAGCTTTTACGTGTTGAACGATATATTCAGGTTGAACTACGCCTGAACAGGAATCAGATTGTTAGCATACATGATTGTTGCACTCCCTATACTATTTGAGCAATCCTTCTATCATTGTCACGTCTTGTCTTCTTTCTTCTTCTTCTTCTTTTTAATCCTTAGATGATTTACATTGAGAAGAGAGGAGAAACTGTCTCTCTTTTGTATTTGCTTCGGATGGTTTGTTCATTTGTCATTAGAATCCAATGACTTGATAAAAGACACAATTTGATTGGTTTCCATTGTCATTTGGCTCTTTTTCTTTGTTGGAATATGCTTCTAATTCGAATATATCTTTGTTGTATCCTTAATCTGAATTTTGCTGGGAAATGAAGAAGTGATGGTCCAAGCTTCGCTTGTTAAAGAGACTTGTCTTGTTTAGTGTGTCTGAAGGTGAACTCTGTTCATTGCAAAACTTGCAAGTGGTTTCAATGATCCCTGTAAAAAGGCAACAAGTTCTAATTTTAGATCAGTTGCAACATTTGATTGACTAATAGCGGATTGAGGTTGTGTGTGGGTCATATTGGAGGAATTGTTTGTGGTGTTTTCATTGAGTGATTGCTTCAAGTTTATCAATAATTATTTATTATTACTTGATAAGCATAGCAAGTTTCTGAGTAAAAGACAAGTCTAATTAAGGCACCAAATCCGGCAGATTCGCATAACCCAGTACGAAAGATCAAGTTTGATGTAGAGGTTGCTTATTTTCAGAAGAAAAGTCTCAGCTTCACTGATTTGACCGTTGATTCAACTCCCCTGGCAGTAGATAATATTCAAAACGTTAAATTACAAAACTTGGAAGTGAACAAAGGCTGTCTTGGTTTTTTATAATGTTAAATCTGCTTTGGTATTCTTTCTAGTTTTAAAATGTTTAAGCCAATCGAGTTCTATATATATAAACATAAAAGGTTTGAGTTTGGTTCCAATTAGATTCCGTGTAGCTTTCACCACCCATCAGATCAGAGAGTCTCTGAAGTAAACTAGCTTTAAAAATGGACAAGACACGCAACAAAACACAAAGCGCCAAAAATAAAGGAAAAAGACTTTTTGTCGCAATCTCTTACTATTCACGCGATGACCTCGTTTTTGATCATCCTATCCCTTTCTATAGTACTTAATTCTATATGTCCCAAACGATTCCACTTTTCTCACCATCTCAATCTCCCAGAAGAAAAAAAAAAATGGATTCTTTTTCATATTCATCGATGAAATCCATGGTGATTCAAGCTCGAGGCTCGTTAAACTCGCGTTTGTCTGAGTTTGAGCCTCTGCTTCTGCTCTTGGCTCCGCTTCTCACTCTTTTTCTCGCTCAGATCATCGGATCTGTCTTTGGCGTTGTTCACGATAAAGGATTGAAAGCGTGTCTTGTTGGGTTTATCATGGGATTCCTCAAGTAAGAATCTTTTTAGGAATTCAGATATATTTACTTTCTTCGAATTCCAAATCTCTTTTCTCTTTTTAATTGGTGAGACTAATAATGATTTTTTTGTGGTATAATGAAACAGAATGATTCCTGGAGTTCAGAATTACATAGATGCTGAGAAACAGAAGGTTAGTTTGTGTTTTGAGTCTTCAAATTGTTCCTGTAATGGCCATGTTTTGCATCTTCTTCTTGTGGTATTTAAGTGGCAACAATCCAAAATGCTCGACTAGCCTATTTAATGCTCTTCTCTTGCATTTGGTACTATTTTAAAAGTCTTTAGTTTTTTTTTTCTATGTTCTATATGGTTTCATCACTAAGTAAGGATTTAAGTATTATCTGGATGGAAAATGTCATAGACCCATGGCTATTTGTAGCATTGAAACATGATTTTGATGTTCATTGAATAATAGTATAGAGAAATGGGTCTCCCATTACCTGATTTGAAGTTTTCCCTACAAGTCCTCAGAATAGAAAACTAGCTTCTTTCTTAAGGGGCATATGTTTGTTTATTGGTTAGAGAGACTTCAATGTTTGCTACATCCCATTGTGTCTTTATATATATATATATAAAATGTGGGAACAGCATCTGTAGTTAGTTGATGATTGTTTTTGTCTAATTCATAGGTTGTTGATCAATTACAATCTGGTAGCAGCTCCAAGAAAAAGAATCGGGCTGAAGTATTGCCTGTAAAAGGTCTAGGAGTTGAAGTTCTTGAGAAAATGGAGATTGAAAAGAGGAATGACGCTATTTGGCAAGGAAAATGCTCTGGCACTGTGTATGTCTGTGGTAGTTGATGCTTTTTTTTTTTTAAAGTAGTCCTCCGATTTTTCTTTTTTATGATTTTGGATGAGATTTTGTTTAACTTCTGCCACCTTTTTTCTAACAGATACATAGGTGGAGGCGAGTCTGAAGGACATTTTGCATTGATAAATCAAGCATGTTCAATGTAAGGTTATAGCAAGATTCTAGTTTCTATCTTCATGGAATATGATTTCTCCTTTTGTGTTCTTCTTGGGTCTGAGAGTGGCTATTTCTTTTTTTTTGTGTTCAAAATATCACTCTCAAGTTAAATATGTGTATGTGTGGATAATGCTTTCCAGGTTTGCGCATACCAATCCTTTGCATATTGATGTATTCCAGAGTGTGGTGCGGTTTGAGTCAGAAGTAGTCGCAATGACTGCTGCGTTACTAGGCAGTAAAGAAACAGTTTCAGGAGGACAAATATGCGGAAACATGACATCTGGAGGAACAGAAAGTATTGTGTTAGCAGTAAAGTCATCTCGTGACTATATGAAGTACAAGAAGGGAATCACACGGCCAGAAATGTATGTTTCATCCCTTGCTTTACATTGATCAATTATGTACTTTAAACTGAACTGATGGAACAATATTCCATATGTGAGTGTAGGATTATACCTGAATCGGGTCATTCGGCTTATGATAAGGCGGCCCAGTACTTTAACATCAAGTTGTGGCGAGTTCCAGTAGACAAAGAATTCAGAGCTGATGTGAAGGCAATAAGGCGGCATATTAACAGAAACACCATCATGGTAATGTTTAGAGGTGCCAGTTATATTATGTTTTATAAATTTTCCCTATACAGATTCTATGGTTTGATGTTTATGGTCTCTTGTATATATCCAGTCCTTGGCGTTCTATATTTCCATCGTTGAAAGATTATGTTTGTTATGGTAATACAGCTTTAAAGTTAAGGGTGTGCTTTGTTTTTGTCATCATCTTTAAACCATATTGTTACAGATTGTTGGGTCAGCACCAGGATTCCCTCATGGCATAATCGATCCTATTGAGGTAAACTGCTTTTCCCTCTCATATAGTTTTAAAGACATATATGTTCTTCTTTCTATATGCAATGAATGTATAGGACATAATCCTTTTGTCCTTTCATTACAGGAGCTTGGTCAACTGGCTCTTAGCTATGGAATATGCTTTCATGTTGACCTTTGTCTTGGTGGTTTTGTGTTACCTTTCGCTCGGAAACTTGGGTATGTATAACTTGGTGGTTTTTTTTCTTTCTAGCAGCTTATCAAAGGCCTGCCTTTTTCCTACAAAAATTATGCAAATAGTATCTACTTTATAGGTTTAGGACTTAAGAAGCTAAGTTCATAACTTAGAGCTAGAGGAATGATAAGTTAATTGATGGTATGTGTATGTCTGTTCTATTGCCACTTCTCTTAGTTTCAGTCAGACCATGTGATCTCAGGTTTACATTAATTACATTGCCTGTTTAGATTAATAAGATCACAGAGAGTGATTTCTCACTTTTTCCAGGTACCAGATCCCAGCTTTTGATTTTTCTGTACAAGGAGTTACTTCAATTTCGGTGGACGTGCATAAATATGGTTTAGCTCCTAAAGGAACTAGTACAGTTCTCTACAGAAATCATGAGATCAGAAAGGTAAGTCCCTGTTATTTTTCCCCTCTTATCAATTTCAGCTCCTGACTTCTGATTCTGGCATGTTTGTTGTGTTGCAATTAATCTGGAAAAACATACTCACAATATCACTTACTTTTGTTTCCCTGAAATCATTCACACTGTCACATTCCTCTTATCAACGTTTACATATTCTATTCAGTGCTGTGCAGAGTATACTGCTGTGTATATACTGATTCATGTATTTACACATATGATCTTAATCTGACATTTGAAAATTTGTTGCCTGCAAAATATCTGCTCCTGCACCTACAAAACAGCACCAATTTGTTGCTGGTAAGTGTGTTTTTACTACTTCCATCCTTAAGAAAACAGGGAAATAAAGAAACAAGAAGACATGATTTCATGAAAATCCTAACTATTTGAAACTGTGTTATGCAGTAACTGAATGGTCAGGAGGTCTATACGTGTCTCCAACTATAGCTGGGAGTAGGCCTGGTTCTCTGGTTGCTGGTGCTTGGGCTGCAATGATGTCTCTCGGCGAGGAAGGTTTGACAACAAATACCTCACTATGGTCCTGTTCGTTTCATAATCGCAAGCGGCTGCGATTGCGACTGCGACTGCGATTGCGATTATAAATCGCGGGATGTTGTTCGTTTCATAATCGCGCGACTAGTCGCAGCGACTAATCGCAATTAAAACAGTCGCATCGCTGTTTTATCCTGCGATCAAAATTTTTAATCGCAGGACCTTGCGATTGATCGCAGCGACTAGTCGCAGGACCCTGCGATTACGAAACGAACAATTTTCAGTCGCAGTCACAATCGCAGGCTCCTGCGACTGCCAAACGAACAGCACCATAATCTAAACCTTCTGGTTATTTAAAGATTTATATGGTTGATTCTGTATGCTTCTGTTGTTCCACAGGCTATCTACAAAACACTAGCAAGATAATGGAAGCATCAAAGAGACTAGAAGAAGGGTTTGTATTACTTTTTGAATCTTTTTCCCTTCTCCAACCGTTTCGATTCTCTCTATAGCTTGAGTGCTTGACCAACTATTGTAATCTGCAGAGTAAGAGAAATCCATGAACTGTTCGTCATTGGAAAGCCAGATATGACAATTGTGGCGTTTGGTTCTAAGGCATTAGATATCTTTGAAGTTAATGACATCATGTCTTCAAAAGGTTGGCATTTGAACGCACTACAGAGACCCAACAGGTAATCTTAAAGACCAAAACACTGCCGTTTCTACTATTTTAAGACCACTTTCTCTTCACTGTTCTGAAACTTTGTCCATGTCTGTGTCCTGGATCAGCATTCATATTTGTATAACTCTTCAGCACGTCCCTGTAGTCGATGACTTCCTCCGGGATCTGCGTGAAGCTGTAGAAACTGTAAGTCCATAGATAACAGTCTTTTGATTGCTATTTTTATTTTTCTTCAATTGATCTCTTACCATAGATAACAGATTTTTGATTGCTATTTTCATTTTTCCTCAATTGATCTCTCATTGGTATACATATTTATTAGGTGAAAGCAAACCCGGGACCGATCACTGGAGGCTTGGCCCCAATATATGGAGCTGCAGGGAAGATGCCGGACCGAGGTATGGTGAATGAGCTTCTGGTTAGTTTCATGGACAGTCAATATTAAGCTTTTTTAGAAAGGTCAAACCATCATCGAATGGGTGAACTGATTTCACATTTTCTTTAAGTCCTAAGAGCAAAACTTTGTACATCCCACAACCACATTGTTCCATTTTCGCCCTACTAATGAAATCTTATCACTATCTCGATAGTAAGCAACTTAGTTTGTTACATTACAAATTTGGAAGAAAACAAAGACGATCAATCAGACTTGTGGTCAGAAGATTTTGATCTAGGAACTTGAACTGGCCTGTCTTCTTGGCTTTTGGCCAACATCTCGTCTCTTTCTCTGAAGTAATGGTCGAAGGCACGAGGCAGGAACCTAGGGATCAAGAAACAGAGTAGATTCACTCCAAAGTAGCCCAAGTTCGCTACTGCTAAATAGCGTCCAAACCAGAACCATGCAACCGCCTGCAAAACGATTCCACGTGATTTAGCATTATCTAGGCTATAAAAAGACTTGTATTTGAGTAAAGACGGGAAGTTGCCATTACATTGGGTGTAGCATTCATTGGTAAAGACTTGTTGAGCCAGACATCTTTTGACCAATCAATGATGACAAAGATTCTCCAGACGGTGTAGAGCAGAGGGACAAGAGCTCTTACGGGTGGCGAGAACAGAGAAAGGCCACTTATTACATTCTCTGTAAGGATTTGACAAGACAGTAGAAACAAATGCGGTGTCGCTGATCTTACCGCATGATCATCTCCTCTTGCAAAACCACCTAATACGTAAGCTAAAGGCAAGAACAGACCAATCGTTGTCCCCGAAACCACGTACATCCTTTCATTATCCCAAAAATTTACAAAAGAAAAAATCATTATCTTGATCAAGAAAGCAGAAACAAGAAACAGAGACATTTGTTTTTTCTTATGATGGATTTGGAACCTGAAGAGTTTGCTGCCGTGGAAGACTTCACGGGGAGCGGTTGAAACACCGTGAGAAGGGAAAGCTAAACGCGAGAGTGCAATTATATAGACAGACGCAAACGCTGGAAAGAGCATGTCAAGTATCGGTACGAGGCCGCTCGCTGAGAAGACAAGTATGAACGCCACTAGCTGTAGCTCTATTACCCTCAGAGACCCCATCAAACCGCCACCTCCTGCCGCCGTCATCCCCGACCACCGTCCCTTCTCACCGGAAGATGAAGACGTTTTGTCCACGTCGGTTCTTGGACCTACCGCTAGAGATACGCCTGACATGATTCTATTCTTTTAGTGATATGATGATGATGATGATTCAAACGGTGGATAAGAATGAAGTTGACAGTGCAGAAGCTGCAGGAGTAGAATTTATGAAGAGAGGGGGATCTCTTGTTGACGTAGTTCCACGTAAAAACTTGGTTGATATACACGTGTCAAAGTGAAGACGTGAGTGTTCATTGCCTAAGTCTCAACGTGTCATGTCCTAATGTTGCAATGTTCAATTGTTAAATGAATACTCAAATCTGTTTTTAATGTTTGTTAAGAGTGACTAAGGTTTTATGCTTATCTCCATTTTTTTTATATAACCCTGTTTAGTTTAACCGGCATGTTAGATTTCGATTTGATACCTCTGTTTCTTTTGAATGAGTTTTTTTTTTAGTTTGCTTGTCTATCAAGTTCTTGTATAATGCTAAACAAATTGATTAAAAAAACCTGAAATGTATTAAGCTTAAGTTTGAAAAGTAATTTTAAATGTTTTTAAAGGGGGTGGTATTGGTTTGTGACTTATATAGAGTTTTAATGACTTCAAATGTAATGTAGAATCCTTTGTTATTCATTCAAAATTTTATTAAACTCTTTTTAAATTTGAAGTTATTGGTTATTGATTTGTAAAAAGTCATTTAAAATCTTCATAAATATGGAGTTATTGGATTGAGACTCTTACTAAGTCATTAAAAGTTTTGTGTTATTGAAATTAAACAAAAGAATCTCTGAATTAAAATTTTATGTTATTGGTTTATGATTTTAAAAACTTTCCTTTACAAAATAAAGCCATAAAAAGTATTTTAAGGAAAATCTATATGACCAACCCACTCTCTACTTGGATTCTTCTCAATCCCCACCGCCACCACCACCACAACCACCACCACCACCACCACCATCATCATGACTGTCACAACCACCACCACCACCATCATCATGACTGCGACGACCACCACCATCACCATCATCATGACTGCGACGACTACCACCATCACCATCATCATGACTGCGACGACTACCACCATCACCATGACTGCCACAACCACCACCACCTAGATAGTAATATGTCACGTGGGAAGAGTCACCTTCTTTGCGTTTATATGCTCCCATGCTCTTTCCCTTCTTACTATTAGGATAGATGAGCCTATAAAGGTTACTATTCGGATAGATGAGCCTATAAAGGCGGGACTCATCGTGTTTTGCTCCAGCATCCCTATACATCTCCATCAACACCTTGTTCGCCGAGTCTTTCGACTTTGTATCAACTACAAGTTCTGTTCTACGTAGCATCTCTACCGTTTTTTCACTTGAACCACCATTTAAATAAGCCTTTGCGATGCTTATTCCCGTTTGCCACGCCAATGAGAATGATGGGTCTTCGACTTCTATGCCCATCAGAAACTTATCCATAGCCTCCACGTCTGGTACACTTGCGTACGCTGTCAAAACGTTATTGACAGTGAGATCCTTGTCATGTTCTACTCCATTCTCCTTCATCTGCCTCAGGATCTCGTCGATCATGTGACTTTCTCCAAGAAGAGAGTAAAGAGAAAACATTTTGTAGTAAGGGTAAGGTTTCAATAGCATGTTTTGCTCTCTCATCTTCTGGTAAGTGGCTTCCGCCTCGTGCCGTGTTTTCTTGGATTTTGTGTACAAGCTTAAAAGAGTGATGTAGACTGAGTCGTCCCTCATGTTTTCAGGAATGTTTATGAAAAACTTCTCTGCCTCTCTCAACCCTGAATGGATCTCAACAAGATAAAGCCGCGATGCAAAATCTTTAGAGCTTAGATCAAAAATACCTCGACTAGTTACCCACTCTGAGACCTAATACATCACCAAGAACAATGAGATATATAGAAAGTCCAAATTTATGAGATAACCGAAATCGAAGTATTGGAAAACGAGAAGAGAAAGAAACTGAGACCTGGAGGGCGTGGTTGAATCGCTGAGACTCGCAGAGAGCATCTATGAGGCCTCTTAGATCATTAGGGTTTATGTCTTTCCCTTGTTTCAGCCATTTGTCCAGCAAAGGTGTAACCTTCAACCATCTACGTTCACTCCCCATGACCCAACTATGTAAAGTGTCATTCTTCTCCGACGTCGTTAGGGTTCTGGCGAATCGAATCCACGGTGTTCTCCTCGAGAAGAATTCTTTTACTGCGTATCCTCCAAGGCGTTGCATCGTGCTCTCAATTCTCAAGAATAATTAAGTCGGTAAATCTTTAAATAAATAGAATATGAGCGAAGGTGCCTTTTTTAATTAATCCATTAATTCTAAAATCTGAACTAGAAAATAAAATATATTGATTTCTATATATTGTATATTTCTCAACTTTGTTCCTTAAAAATCTGAAAAAAAAAAAAAGAGTTCAAGATAATCTCAATGACTTGCAAAACTTTTTCTCTTTAGTAAGTTATGGAGAGAGGGTATTGATCGGGAACCATAACCGGAGGCTCAAGTAACAACAGATAAGTGTTAATTTAAATTAATTTAAACATCTTAAAATAATCTAAACATTACAATTCCAATAAGAAAAGTATATACCGTGTGTGCTAATTTCTTTTTCCAAGATCTAAACCTTAATTAATATCTCTTCATGGAATCTATGATGAGATTCTTATAGGAGGATTCACGACTTGAATTTGTGGGATATTGAAAACGTAAAAGTACCTCGAGACTATGATCACGTACGTAGTCATGCGGCTTTTTTTTTCTCTCAGCAAGGGCTTGACCCATTGATAGCCGAAGTTGTGATAGGGAGAAATAGGCAGAGGATATGGTCGGAGGATCTCACTCATGGCAATTTATTGGTTGTGTGTGAGTAGACTGGAGCTAACGAGTCTAGGCTAAACTCAGGTAATTGTCTCTTAATTACTTTAATTGAATTATTTTATAATAAATCGATTATTTATTTAAATTATAAAAAATAAAATAATAACCAATAATATAAAGCCAGCTGTAGTTATTTGATTAGCTACCATTCCTTAAAGCACTTAGTTTATTTACATTATTAATTATTTTTTTATTTTTATTTCTTTAAACTTCACATTAAAAACTTCCGTTGGAGATGGTCTTAGCGGTGCTCATATACAAGCAAACGCTCATCGTGATGACCAGACAGGGGTTTTGATGAAGATTTTTGCAAAATAAATTAATACAAATGATTTTGTACTATTCTCGTTCATCCTTCTCATCATTCCACTTCTGATTGTTTATACGGTGCTCCGAACAACATATGTTTTGAATTGTAAACCATCTTTGTAATTGGTCATAACGCTTATATGGGTACCTTAAGTCAATCTCAGTGTAAATAATCAACTTCTGAACAAGATCGGGTATAATAATATATGGTTGAGGTGATTTATTAATGGACCTAGTGCAGTCAATTTGACATTATCAATTGTACGTTTAGTTATGTCTTTTTCAGATATCAATTCAATTTATACTTCTCCAAAGTTTTCTATGGCTATGCTTGCTTTGTGCATTATTGAAACTTATGAAATTTTATAAAATGTCTTCTACTTCGAGAGCTTGTTTATGTTTGACGTCTACGTCTTATTATATTATTATAATTTATATAAGTTTTCTAATGTGCATTAACTATTTTTCTGTTTTACCTTTGAATAGTAGAACTTATATTTTTTAATTAGTCAATATGTTGAAATAATCCAGTAAAACTATTTTTTTTTACCAAAACTCGACATTAAAAATACAAAAACACCGGTGAGACTATTCTCTTTTATATGTATTAACTACATAAAAATCAAGAAATTCGATCAAACAGAAAATAATATAATTTAATCTAATAAGAATTCAGTTACTATTATAAAATTGGTTCTATGAAATTTCAGTAATATTTTTAAATTATTTAATTGTTCTAAGCTAATGACAATTATAATGGACAGTTAGTAAATAGAGAACTAGTTGTCATCAATAAATTTAGCCAACAACTTCATAAATTTGGTAATAAAAAAAAAAAAAAAGATTGTCCCGGCCCGCAACTATGATTATTGGGGGGATTTTAAATTTTAATCTTAGGAATAGTTTATTATTAGATTTGAAAAAGTGAAAGTTAAGAGTTGTATTTTGTTTTTAATTTTGGGGTGTGTTTAATGGTAGACTCTTAATCTGGGATTCTTAGGAAAAAAATATTGATTGAAAAATAAAATTAAACTAAAATTTGTAATTTTAGGAAAATTAATAATTGTTAGAAATTATAAATTTTAAAACATACATCAGATACAATTTATAGGATTTTAAGCCAAGAACATGATGTCATTTTCAACAAAAGAAAATATAGGATTGGTAAGAGAACAAGAAATTGTTTTGGGAGAGCAAATATGTTCTTGAAATTTTACATATTATATCACATTCATGGTTTGGACTCGATGGATTCATCTTTCCCATAAGTTGTTTATTAACATAAATGGCCTTTATATATACAAGTGGAACAAACAATAATACAGTTGTCAATAGCTTTGTAGAAAAAGGTAGCAAATATTACAACACATGCTCTGTTAAATACCAACATATTACAACGCAACATCTAGAGCAGATTGCAACAAATTTGTCACCTCTCTTTGAACAAGATCAACTAGATGCCCCTTCAAATAAGATTTACGCTACTTTAATGCATGAATCGAGTGTGTGTTTGGCAACATGAGAGAGATGCAAATATGGAGTTCAAGTTGACTTGAGTACATCCCACTTAGCTCCGATGCATACATTCCACTAGTCTGATGTTCACACATAAAAGTGATAGCAAATCACATAACTACATAGAATTGAGATATTTTAATCGAATTCAGCATATCAAAGACTACAAGATCACATTTAAGCATAGTAGACAAAACCATACCAATAGCCCTACCATGAACTGCAGAAGACTCATATAACTCTGATAAATATACACACAAAAAAGGTTAAATAGAGAACAATGCCACAAACGGACAAAAAAACTCAAACAAACAGACACAACACTTTAACACATTGTGCTCCAAACTCAAACAAACAGACATTGTGCTCCAAACATTTTAACTCAAACAAACAGACATTGTGCTCCAAACATTTTAACTCAAACAAACAGACACAACAATCATATTAATTGGAGTTAACCCTCGGATTATCAGACATGTAATTGGTGTAAACAAACAAACATTTAATTCATGTCATCCAAAGAATCGGATTATCAACTATCTACACAACAATCGAATTTAATTGGTGTAAACCTATTCAAAATCATTCCTAAATATACCAAAAACAAGTGATTAACCCTAGATTTTACCCTAATTTCCCCAAATCAATGAACCCTAATTTGAACCTAAATTCCCCAAATCATTGAATCGAACAGAGAGATTAAATCATCAAATAACATTAAATCGAATATCAAGAGAGAGATTATACTAAATGTGTACTGATTTGAGAAGGATTGACTCCGATTTGTTGAAAAATCGCCAAAGCTCGATATCATCGAGTGAAAGAGAGAGAGACACGAGCAAATGAATCGCGTGTTTCTTTTTTTTTTTGCCCTTTTTTTCCTTCTTCGCCCAATTGGAATAAGACATGTGTAGCCTTAAAATTTTCCCAAGACACTTTTCTTAATAATTTACATAATTAATCATTTAATTTTAATCCATATAATACCTAAGAAATATCTAAGAGCATGCCGATAATCCTGGTCTAGATCAAGAAATGTATAGTTATTATAAAACGGCTAACGTGATACAATCTCATGAAGTCAATAACTTATAAAAACTATTTTTATGAATTTACAGAATATCTGAAAAGTGAAGGACTCAAGAAAATGTAAAATAAAATTACTGTATTTATATGAAAACAAAATACCAATAACGGAAACTTGGCTTCCGACTTTAGATCAATGGTACTGTTTTAGAAACAATGTAAACAGACCACACACTCCCTGCCTAAGCCACAAAAGTTATGCGCACAGAAAGACAAAAGAAACAAAAAAAAAAAAAAAATCTCTTTCGGCGTTATCATGTCATCTTTAAATTTTAACTACACTATTTATATATTTTGTATCTAATTGGATATTTGATTTTCATGAGATTTTGGAGATCATAATATTTGTACGAGGAGAAAGTATAACTGTCTTTAAATATTATACGGATCTCAAAAGTTTGCTCAATAAACGAAAGAAATCAAATATCTGAGAGAGCTAAACCATATATATCTGCGAGAGCTAAACCATATATATATATATTATTTTTTATAAATTCTATCGGCTGATCCGGTGCGCTTCGGTGAAAACGCATCGAAATGTTTCAGAATGGATTACTCCCTCAAGGGCCACCACAATGTTTATCCCGAATTTGGAATGCTTTCCGGCTAATACCAGAGGTAATCAGATCGTCTGCATTTCTGATTACCAGGTAATCCAATTGGGTATTGGCCCAATTGACAGACTTTCCACACAACAATAATTTTTGTTTCCGGAGTGGATCGAAATGGGTTAGTTTCTTCCAACATTTCCCTAATTCTTTTTTACCAGTGGACCACTGCTGTGTGGGCGTATATCTGGTAAGAGAGCTAAACCATACATGGAGGTACCTAATGCCATACAACGTAAGTGACTCAAGAAAGCTTTTTTCGTTTCTAGATATGGATATAGTTGTGTGTACACCTATAGTTTTTAATGGGAAGTAATGGACAGACGACGTACGACGACCCATCCAAAGAAAATATAGCATGCATGGAACATGTGAGATCTGACTTTCGGATGCACTGGTGGTGGAACTGCACTTGCCGACTCACAATAGTTAAGATATATGGTCCCTAAAACTAAAAATAGAAATTTCAACTATCGTCGTGGCCTGAAACTTCTATAATAGTATCTGTACATTTATGATTTAAGATGCATGTCTATATACATGTTTCATCAATAACTATTCTTTTTTTTTTTTTTTTTGTTAAAAGGCATATCAATAACTATTCTTCCCACGAAAAAAATACGAGAGCCCACGTAGAATCTTATATAATAAGACAAGGTTTTTTCTTAACTTTGCCTCACAATGCGACATTTGTCACTCTGTGCTTCTGACATGTGTCGTTTTTATTAATTTCTAATCTAATATTTCAAAATTATTTACTTTTTGATATTGTGGTCTAAGTTATATGTTATATGTATAGTTTGCTTTTTAAAAAGTGTCATTGTTACAAAATATGTTTTCCTAATTTTGGTTTCCAATTAAATTAGAGAAAGCTTGATTGTTTTTCAGTATAATAAATCAGTAGTTCTTATATAAAATTTGGATAAAAAATATTTATAATTTATAAGATAATTGTTTCTATGTAACTATTTAACCAACAAATTTTATTTAATTTTCTATTATCAAACAGTTGAGAAAATAATATAACGAATTTAAATCAAAGAAATAACTATCATATTATTCACAAATCATATATATATATATATAAGGTTTTACTATCTTCTTATTGGTCCACTTGGCATGTAACTTTAAAAAAATATTATATATTTGATTCACACTTTAATATAAAACTGAAAAAAACAAATAAACCACAAAAACATTTAATCATATACATTAAACTCACACTTTAATATAAAAACTGAAATAATATAAATTTACATTAACTATATTTTTCATTCAATTTTTTCAACACACAATCAATTATAATTGACTCCCATAATTGTTTTGTGAAATTGTAACTCCCATCACTTCTCTTCCTATATATACTCATTATCTCATTCTCTCATTATATCATTCTCTCATCTTCTTCTTCATGAAATATGTTTGCTTTGTTTTTTTTTGTTGTATGAGTTTTAAAAAAATATATTATTATATAAAATTTCAACTGTAGAAACTTTTACAGACTGTATGATATATTGATATACATCTTACGTTATTATAATTTTTGTTTTTTTTTGAAAATTCATCTCTATTTTTTTTTTGTAAACTAATTCATCTCTATTTTTTATTTTTTATTATCAACATATAAGTACATTCACTCCCTCTTTTCCATTATATTCATGTATCTTTTCATATTTGTTTTTCTATTTTTTATGTTCTTATATGACAGAAAAATCAATGAAATGATCATTTTAAGAATTTGATATAAATTTCTTTGGAAAGTATGATACAAATCTAACATTGTATCTTATATTAGTTCCAATCATCGTACAACAAGAGAATTAAGTTATAAAGATCCATTTTATTTTTTGGTTATGAAATACCTTATTAAATATTTTATTGTAACATAATTTCCAAATAATATATTCCTACCTCTCTCTCTTATTCAAATAATTCTTAACTCACACTTTAATATAAAAACTGAAATAATAGAAATTTGCATTAAATAATTCTCTTATATTTGAATTAACTAGAATTAGCTCCCACAATTAGTTTCTTTTATTTTGTTACTCTCATCACTTCTTATCTTATAAATATTCATTTTCTCATCTTCTTCATCTTTATCTTAAATCTTATATATTTTTGTTTGTTTTGTTTTATGTTTTTTTTTTCCTTTGTTGTTTGTTATTTGTTGTATGAGTTAAAAATATATATATTTAATAACATTGTAAAAGTTTAATTAAAATTTTCATTTTACACTATATGAATATATGAAATGTTTTTTTTTTTTTAAAGATTCATCTCTATTGTCTGTTTTACATTATCATCTTATAAGTAATGCTTCTTTCATTCTTAGCCACTATATTCATGTATCTTAAATATTTTACTACTTTTATGTTGTTATATGGATTGAGAGTCAATAAAAATATCATTTTAAGAATTTGATCTAAATTTAATTTAGATATTATGGTATATATCTTATCAAGCTTAAATTTTTTATTTTACTTCTAACGCCTTATTATACTTATATTTTCATACTTATGAATCAAGAAAATATGATTTAATACATATGTAATAGCAACTTTGATTGCTATATAAATATAAGTTTCGATTTTAAACATTTATCAAATCATGTTTTCTTTTTTTTTTAATCTCAAATAGGTTTTTTTAATTCATTTCAATATATGTATCATTATATTTAGTTTTTGTGATAAAATAGACTATTATATAAAAAATTATAATATTTAGTTTATTTAAAATTTTCAGTCAAAGTGTTAAAATATATATATATATATATATATATATATATATATATATATATATATATATATATATATATATATAATTGCTTACAAAAAATTGGTCCTTAAAAGTTTTCTTTTAAAGATCATACATTTTAATTTAATTCATTAATTAAACTAAATCCACTAAAATCCTATTTAATTATGATAATTAATAACGTATTAATTACACGATAATATCATACCTCACTCTACCATCTTAGTAACTTAACCTCATTTGCTAGAAATAAATAATAATTTTTATATACATAATAATATAAATACCTACCCAAGTTATTTTTCCTAGAAAGACCGAACATAAAATCGATTTATCATAAGTAGTTCAGTATTGTTGTCATGTACATATAATAGATAAATATCGTCATTCATCTTCTTTGTTAATGTTCACCACTAAAATCCTATTAAATTATGATAAACAATGTATGAGTAACTTAACCTTATTTGTTATAAATAAATAATAACTTTTCTTTTCATAACAATACAAATACCTATCCTAAGTTATATATTCCTGTAGAGACCAAACATAAAATCGATTTGTTATAAACAGTTCAGAATTGTTTTCATGTACATATAATAGATAAATGTAGTTGTTCATCTTCTTTGTTAATTTTGATGTAAACATGCATATTTTAGTTTGGATTCATTTATTTACTTTGTTTTAAAAAAATTAGTAGTACTTTTAAAACTAAACTAATGTTACATTAAAAAGTCTATATATATATATATATATTCTCATCTACCTCATATGTCAGCTTCTTTTACAATCAAATAGAATACACAAATATCAAAGTTCTTCTCCTCATGTAATCTTCTTCTGTTTATTTTGCTTATGATCTCTCTTTTTAGTTTTATATAACTATAGTTTAAATGCTTTTATAATATAAACTGGAAAATCTTCTCTAAATTAGATTTAAAACAATATATCAAATGTTTCAAATGAAATCTTTTAATTTGATATTTTGAAAAGTTTAACTTGATCATTTTTTAAATTCAAATTACTTTTTGGTAATGATAAAATATAAGGTGAGTAACAAATGCTCATATTTAAAGTCAATTTTGTGTATGTGCTAATTTTTTATTATTTTGTTTAGATCTCATTCAGTTTTATATTTTTCAAATATAATTTTCGTTTATTTTAAATGTTTACAATGTATACAAAATATGTTGTATACTAATTTTGCGATCGCGTTCGATTTTGTTTGTGCGTTAATTATTTTGTTTTAAACATAAAAATTAATATTATTTTGTAATAAACATAGAAATGAATATACACATATTATTTTGCTTTAAAATTATTTTCAAGACATATATTAACACTTATACACTATATATAACTTAAAATAATTTTTAATTAATATTTCATATATAACCCACGCATCGCGTGGGCAACTTTCTAGTAACTTATATAACTAAATTAGTTAAAACCAGAAGCAAGAAAATAAAAATCGTATACACGTTTCCAAGAAATTGTGAAGAATTTTAGTCTTAAGGTAGATTTGCGAAAGATTATTTGATTATTTAATTTCCAAAACATTAATTATATGCAGTTACGAAACGTTGATGTTCGAGGTGGTCACATGCAGGCATGCAGCTGAACCATAATTGAAATGTAAGTTACAAGTTATACAACTTACATTAAATTCGCACTTGTAAACAAAAGATATGTACTCACAAAGAAGGTTCGTTGTAAAAATACTAGTGTCGTGATAAAAAGAAACTCAAAACTATATATTATATGAATTACTGTATAATTAATAAATGTAAACAGTGTCTAAACAGGATAAGACGAACTCGTTACGGTCCACTTACGGCCGGGGTGGATCTGGCTTTTACTGACTTGTCAAAAAAATTAGTTAGAAAGATGGGTGTGATATTAAATGAGCGCGATCGAGGGAAGTGAACTTAATTTGTTTATATTTCCATATGCATGTTCCCCTTATGTTCCCACATGCCCAAACACCCTAAACCCTCCCTCTCTGCTCTCATCTACGCTCTCTTAAGTACCTCCTCTGTTTCTAGTCACTTTGTTCAGTGACAATGGATAACATAGAACCACCCTCTAATGGAAATATCCATGCTGAGATAGAAACAAAGTTGGAGGAGAAGAAGAAAATGAAGAAGGAATCAGTTTCGTTGTTGGGTTTGTTCGGTGCAGCTGATAATGTTGATTGCTTCTTGATGTTCCTAGGCGGTTTAGGCACTTGTATTCATGGTGGTACGCTTCCGCTTTTCTTCGTGTTCTTCGGTGGAATGCTAGATTCTCTTGGAAATCTTTCTACAGATCCTAAAGCCATATCTTCCCACGTTTCACAGGTTTCTTCATAAAAGGCTATATATAATAATAATCTTTCTTTCTCTTCCTCTTGGTTTTTTTGTTACATATATAAGTTCCTAACACTTTTTTTCTTTTCTTTCTAGAATGCTTTGTACTTGGTCTACCTAGGATTTGTCAATTTGGTATCAGCCTGGATCGGTACGTGTCTAGCTAGCTACGTTGATCTGTTTTTGTAGTGGTATTAAAAAACGCTTTTTCATGTGTTTAAGCTGAATATGGTTGATTGGCAGGTGTCGCTTGTTGGATGCAAACAGGGGAAAGACAAGCAGCAAGATTGCGTATAAATTATCTCAAATCAATCTTAGCAAAAGATATTACTTTCTTTGATACAGAAACTAGAGATTCAAACTTCATTTTCCACATATCAAGCGATGCAATCTTGGTTCAAGATGCAATTGGCGACAAGGTAACCTTTTCTAATTAATTATAAGGACGAAACCAAAGAAACTTGTAATGGGATGATATTAATATTCTTGCTTTGTTTCAGACCGGTCATGTTTTGCGGTACTTATGTCAGTTCACTGTGGGATTTGTCATTGGTTTTTTGTCGGTATGGCAACTAACGTTGCTCACGTTAGGAGTGGTTCCACTGATAGCAGTTGCAGGAGGAGGCTATGCTATAGTCATGTCTACAATCTCAGAGAAGAGTGAAGCTGCTTATGCTGATGCAGGCAAAGTCGCAGAAGAGGTTTGTTTTATAAACTAATTTATGTGTACGTGAGAAAAAAAAATCACAGAGAGAAAAAAATGATATTTTGAAAAGAGGACAATAATGTAGAAACTAGAAAAAGATTTGAAACTCTTGATTATCATGTTGTTTTTTATTAATCCTTGATACAAGGATTTATATAACACCCAGATCTTAGAGTTTACAACAATGTTAGGGCTTATAATAACCGACATAAACAAAGTCCAACCGTTTTAAACAAATATGGAAACTTCGGAACCGACTTGTCTGACATGAACTGGTCGGTCCGGTCCATACACCAATATGATAACATTTTCAGTTTTTCACAAAATATTTTTGCAAAACCTATAGGCAAAACGCCAAACTAACAACATAATTTTGTATGACACATGCTAAAATAATGGGAAATAAAAGCAAATAAAAAAAAAATTTCAGGACTTATATATATATATATATATATATATGGGTGTGTGTGTTTTTATTCAATTCTTAACACAATTTCGCCGGATTATCAGGTCATGTCACAGGTAAGAACAGTGTATGCATTTGTAAGAGAAGAGAAAGCTATAGAATCTTACTCAAACTCGCTCAAGAAAGCTTTAAAACTCAGTAAAAAGAGCGGTCTTGCTAAAGGTTTAGGAGTTGGATTAACATATAGCCTTTTGTTCGGTGCTTGGGCATTGCTTTTTTGGTATGCAAGTCTTCTTGTACGCCACGGCAAAACCAACGGAGCAAAAGCCTTTACAACGATCCTCAATGTCATTTATAGTGGTTTGTAAGTCCCAACGCATCCGATACATTTTCTTGATATATCATCAAAATGCATCATACAAATCATTATACTAATTTTGCAGCGCCTTAGGTCAAGCGGTGCCTAGCTTGTCTGCAATTTCCAAAGGCAGAGTTGCTGCTGCAAATATCTTTAGCATGATAGGAAACAACAATCTTGAAAATCCTGCGAGATTAGACAATGGAACAATATTGGAAAATGTAGCTGGGAAGATTGAGTTTCATCGAGTATCTTTCGCATACCCTTCTAGACCAAACATGGTTTTTGATAATCTTAGTTTCACAATACATTCAGGCAAGACTTTTGCATTTGTCGGTCCAAGTGGTTCAGGGAAAAGCACAATCATATCAATGGTGCAGCGTTTCTATGAACCTAACTCAGGGGAGATTCTCTTGGATGGAAAAGACATCAAGTGCCTGAAGCTTAAATGGTTGAGAGAACATATGGGATTAGTGAGTCAAGAACCGGCTTTATTCGCCACAACCATAGCTTCAAACATTCTTCTTGGTAAAGAAAATGCAAGTATGGTTCAAATCATAGAAGCTGCTAAAGCAGCTAATGCAGATTCTTTCATTAAATCTTTACCCGATGGTTACAGTACTCAGGTAAATTAAATTATCTGAATTTTCATACTCATATCTTTTCATATTTCCACTTTATTATAAGTCAAACCATTCATATAGGTTGGAGAAGGAGGAACTCAGCTCTCAGGAGGACAGAAACAGAGGATTGCTATTGCTCGAGCGGTTCTAAGAAATCCAAAGATATTACTTTTAGATGAAGCAACAAGCGCTCTTGATACCGAATCAGAGAAGATTGTTCAACAAGCACTTGACAGTGTCATGGAGAAAAGAACAACAATCGTAGTTGCGCATAGATTATCCACCATTCGAAATGTTGACAAGATTATTGTACTTAGAAATGGCCAAGTTATGGAAACCGGAAGCCACTTAGAACTTATATCAAGAGGAGGAGATTATGCGACTCTTGTGAAATGTCAAGACACAGAACCTCAAGAAAACTTGAGATCAGTCATGTCTGAATCTTGTAGATCTCAACCTGGATCTTCTAGCTCAAGAAGAGTTTGTAGCTCAAGAAAGAGTACTTCTAGCTTCAGGGAAGACCACGAGAAGTCTGAAAAATATTCAAATGGCGGAGATCTAAGCTCATCCTCGATGATATGGGAACTTATGAAGATGAATGCTCCAGAATGGCCTTATGCATTACTTGGCTCAATTGGTGCAGTTCTTGCTGGATCACTACCAGCATTGTTCTCCATGGGGATTGCTTATGTGTTAACCACGTTTTATTCACCTTTTCCTAGTCTGATCAAGCGTGAAGTTGAAAAGGTAATTATTATCTTCGTTGGAACTGCAATAGTAACAACTCCTATATATCTTCTCCAACATTACTTCTATACACTTATGGGAGAGCGTCTTACTTCTCGGGTTCGCTTATCCTTATTCTCAGGTAAACAAAAACATTTTAAACATCTTAGGTTTTAGATCGATTTGAATATGAGTGTTTATATATATATTTTTTACAACAAAATTTCAGCCATACTTGTGAATGAGATTGGTTGGTTTGATCTGGATGAGAACAACACTGGTTCACTCACTTCAATCTTATCTGCTGATGCAACCTTGGTGAGGAGTGCAGTAGCGGATCGCCTCTCGACAATAGTCCAAAACATATCTCTTACAGTCACAGCCTTAGCACTTGCCTTTTTCTACAGTTGGCGTGTTGCAGCCGTAGTAACTGCTTGTTTTCCTCTTCTCATTGCCGCTTCACTTACCGAGGTAACTCAAAACCAAAGATCCTCTCTCATCCATACATATTCTGAATCTTGAAACTGAATAAGCTTGAATTTTCTTATTGCACAGCAATTGTTTCTAAAAGGCTTCGGAGGAGATTACACAAGGGCTTACTCTAGAGCTACTTCATTGGCCCGTGAAGCAATCGTGAATATAAGAACTGTCGCTGCGTTTGGTGCTGAAAACCAAATCTCAGAACAGTTTGCTTGTGAGTTAAGCATTCCCACCAAGAATGCCTTGCTCAAAGGTCATATCTCTGGATTTGGATACGGTTTATCTCAGTGTCTCGCGTATTGTTCCTACTCACTTGGTCTCTGGTACATCTCTGTTTTGATGAAGCGGAAGGAGACAAACTTTGAGGATAGTATCAAATCTTTCATGGTATTGCTCGTCACAGCTTACTCGGTAGCAGAAACGCTTGCGTTAACCCCAGATATCGTGAAGGGCACTCAAGCACTCGGTTCTGTTTTTAGGGTACTACATAGAGAGAGTGAAATACATCCGGACCAACCTGACTCAAGATTAGTCACTCAGATAAAAGGAGATATAGAGTTTAGAAACGTGAGCTTTGCGTATCCCACGAGACCTGAAATCGCCATTTTCAAAAATCTAAATCTCAGGGTTTCACCCGGGAAAAGTCTTGCGGTCGTGGGACCTAGTGGTTCAGGAAAGAGCACGGTGATCGGACTGATCATGAGATTCTACGATACGAGCAACGGAAAACTCTGTATCGATGGGCATGATATAAAAACCCTAAACCTACGTAGCTTGCGCATGAAGCTAGCGTTAGTCCAGCAAGAACCGGCTCTATTTTCAACAACCATATACGAAAACATCAAGTACGGGAACGAGAACGCGTCTGAGGCAGAGATCATTCAAGCCGCTAAAGCAGCGCATGCGCACGAATTCATAATTAAGATGGAAGAAGGGTACAAGACGCACGTAGGAGATAAGGGAGTGCAGCTATCAGGTGGTCAAAAACAGAGAGTGGCTATCGCGAGGGCAGTTCTAAAGGATCCTTCAGTGCTTCTCCTTGATGAGGCAACGAGTGCTTTGGACACAAGCTCGGAGAAACTGGTTCAAGAGGCACTTGACAAGCTGATGAAGGGACGAACCACGGTGTTAGTGGCTCACAGGCTTTCGACCATAAGAAAAGCAGACATGATTGCTGTGTTACATAAGGGAAGAGTTGTGGAGAAGGGAAGTCATATAGAGCTTGTTTCCAAATCTGATGGATTTTATAAGCAATTCACGAGTCTTCAAGATGTGGTGTGACTCATCGTCGTTGAAGTTTCATTTTGCCTTTTTTTTTTAATTCAAATTTATACAAAAAGTTATTCAAACATATTAATCTCGTAATACTTTGTATATGTATAAGTTTAAACAATAAGTTATATCAACAAGCTATATCATTCATATCTCTGAAAGTTATTATTTTTCTTTTGTATTGTAATTGATTTAACTATAGGATTTAACCATAGGATGAATCATACACAATGTTCAGATATGCACAGTGTGGTCTCTTAGAAATTGCGTACTAGATTTTACAATGGGATACACAAATATCATATATAGTCGTGAATTCAGAATACATATATATATATACATCTTCACCCCATATAAACATGTTTTTATCAACAAACAGAATAATATAATTAGCGATATTCATTACAAAGTTGATATAGTGATCACAACAACAACTTCCATTACGAGCGTGAGTTCCGACAGACAGGGCAGGAACCATGAATCTTGAGCCACACATCGATACATTCTACATGGAAACAGTGATCACATTCTGGTATCCACCTTACGGTCTCTTTGCTAGCATATTCCGATAAACAAATGGGACAGATGATACCATTAGTACCTGGGAGCCTTCTACTTTCTCCCAACTCCACTTTCTTGTATGATTCTATTGTAGACTGGTCAAGACCTCTAGTGACCACAACCTCTCTTGGTTGTGGAGTTATGGTTCTGTCTGCGATAGCTGCATTTAGTCTTCTCTGAGTGACAAACCTCTCAGATCGGTATATACGGATACCAATACAAGTAGCAAAGAGAGTGAAACCTCCGATTGTGCAGAAAATTATAATTAGTACTCGTAATCTAGTGCTTAAATGACCTGCCAAATAACGTAACAAGAGTGTGTTATAGAGTTTTAGTTATAAATTAGGAATTTAGTGACCAAAATTTGTAGCTTAGAAGTTTGTGTTTGTCCATGTTATTGAAAAAAAAATTATTTGATACAATTATAGTTACATGTTTGTCTATTTTCATAATTTTCAGTATAAAAAATGTAGTTATCAAATTGATATTAAATCTAATTATGTTTGATACAATTTTCTGATTCTGAATTCTGTTTTTGTTAGAGTCTACTCTTGAATTTTAAAATAAACAAAGATGGTTCAACTTTGTAGTATATCAAAATAAATCCATTTTGTTGGAATAATTTCTGTTTTCGAAATAGTTTTGTATTGGATCTCTTTAAGTTCATTAAGACTCTTAAGATCACGTAGTTCCCTGACCCTGCCAACAGAAATTTTATTTGAAGTATTCTAGCATGTGGAATAAGATGTTGGGAATATTTCCATATATTGAATTTGAAACAACCAAATAAATAAATTAATTAATTATTCAATAGTCAATTCACCATTGCCAAATTTAATTCCTACTAGGATTTCTAAATAATTTTTATACGACTAGATTGGAAGTTTTCAACCAAAATTTCTTTAGCCTTAACAAAACTGAAATTTTCTCCGATTACAAGGAAAAAATTAAGAAAAAAGAGAAAACAACCGAGATCGTACCGGATTTATCAGCGAAACATTTGACTTCAAGGGATGCCTTGTTCTTGAAACCACATCTCAACAATTGCTTTTCACAACCCTTGCAATTCGGCGAGCTCCATTCTAGCTCAAGGTTTACATAGTTGATCACACCAGCGAATCTCTCTTTAAATATCACGTCTTTAAATACCATGCTAACCGGAACAGCTAGTCTCTTCACGACCTGGCAAGAAGGCAGCATCGAATTTGCTAAAGACAAGTTAGACGTGGCGAAGAAGGAGGTCGTAGAATTGCTTAAGCAACGTATAGGCGGATACCAGGACGGGATCACGAGCTCATTAGGACATTTCAAGAACGTGTAGTAGACGCTGAAGCCATTAGAGAATGGAGATCCTGAAGTGTTTAAGGTTAAAAGCCGTTTAACCAAGCAGTCTCCAGGGTCGCTGAGAAAAATCTGCTGCTTTGAGTAGTTGATATCTTCGACAAGAAATGTCCCGGACATGGGAAGCTCTAGGACTGTCTTATTGAGGTTGTTGAAAGGAGATTGAATCCTGCATGGCCGCAGAAGGGAAAACGAATGGAGACTCCAAATCGTTCACATCTATTAAAATATGAATCCATATAGGATGAAGGACATTTTTGAGGGTTCGAGGCGTGTCGGAGAGGGAAGAGGAAGAGGAAGAATAAAGGGAAAAGTTGTTTTGTGAGAGTCATCATAATGTTGGTCTGGTACTAATGGAACTGTTAAACGATTTCTTTTTAAAAGGAGCAACGATTTCTTATAATCACTAATTAGAGGAATGTTAGATAATTGAATATGTCTTTTTAGAAGAATAGTCAAATGAAGTATAGAGATGCATGTTATAAGGTAAGCGATTAACCAACGGAAAAGTAATATGTACGTGAGAAAAAGATATAACGAAAGGAATGTGATAAAAAGATATAACCAGAATATTATAAAAAAATATCTTTAAAATACGAGTGATAAGAAAAACGCTTAATAGAGTGTTAAACTCCCAAATTTTGTTTATAAACTATTTTCTTCCTGCCTAAATTACCAATCAGGAAACAATATTTTAATAAGAGTTTGATTGAAAAAAAAAACGATTAAAAACAAAAAGACATAGTAAAAATATAACATATTAACACTAATGAAAAGACCCAATCCTAAAATTCATCTTTCTAGAATTGATTAATGAGAAAACACAAGTATAAAAATCTTTTAAAAGTGTGACTAGTAAGATGATTCATTTTTCAAGGACAAGCAAAGGAGGGATTGAATCACGACTCACGAGTGTGAATAATTCTCTTTTATTCTATTAAATATTGAGAAATATTATAGAAAAAGATTTGAAAATCTTTTGCATAATTAAAAATCTGTAACTTATCCCTTTAATTTAATTCAGTTTGATTCTATTAACTTCTTAGATTCAATATATACCCCTTTTAGAGACTTTCTATTTTCGTTTTTAAGTGTTTCTATAAATTTAATGTAATTTACTTACTTCATAAAATAAATATAAATTATTTCCTTATTTATATTTACCATTAAATATAATTATCTTGTTTATTGCTGATGTGGTATGTAATCATTTAATTCATTTGGAGCAAATATACTTGGTTTCATTCATTCAAATAAACACCAAGTACATTACAAGGAGAACATAGGATCCAAATATCTAAAAAAGGTATGTAATCATATATATAATCAATGTTTAAATGGTAAATATTTTTTTTATTGTGTCATAGAGATATTTGATTGGGTTGTCAACTTTGGTCTTTTAGTGTGAACACGTGGCGAAAATTTTGGACTATATATTGAACACTTGGTCTTTCTCCTCATAGGTTTCTCCACCTACTCTTCAAAATCTCTCTACACTAGACCAACCAAAGATGGTGATCAGTTCGGAGACCCAACTTCCCCTTTCGCTCCCGATCATCAACTTCTCCAGTCCAGATCTCAAACCCGAAAACCCCGAATGGGACTTGGTGAGATCCCAAGTCCGAAAAGCCTTAGAAGAGTACGGGTGTTTCGAGGCCTTGTTCGATGGACCATTCATGGAGCTACGGAAGGCTGTGTTGTCCGAAGTCTCCAAGGAGGTTTTCGATATGCCATTGGAGACCAAACAGGGTACAAAGACGGACATACATTACGAAGGGTACTTGACGATTCCGAGAGTCCCCTCACAAGAAGGCATGGGCTTTTATGGTGTAGATGATCCTAATGTTGTTAATGACTTGATTCACAAGCTTTGGCCTCAAGGCAACTCCTTGGTCAGGTACCCTTGTTATATTACTTGGAAGAAACTTACTTTTGGCAATGAATGTTTGTTTGTAGGCTTTTACAGATATATAAATATGCTTTTGGTTTTCTTTTTCTTTATTTAAAAATGTGAATGGTAATTTCTTTTGTATTTGGTTTTAAAATTTTTAATATTATTTTTAGCTTTAGTTTTGTGTTTAAGTTTCTAGAATAAAACAAAGCTCTTATAATAATAACATACAAACAAATATATATTTAATTTTCCTCTTTGCATGAATGACACCTAGGATCGAATTTTAATATTTTCATCATCTAAAATGATCTCTGCTCTACATATATATATTTCAGCGGGAATATTCAGTCGTTTGCGGAGATGTTGATAGAGTTAAGCTTGAAGGTGAGGACAATGATTCTGGAGAGCTTCGGACTGGAGAAACACATGGAGGAGCATCTTAACTCAGCGATTAAGCACTTTCAGATACTTAAATACAAAGGACTTGCCGATGATAATACAGAGAATGAGCTAGGTTTTTACCCTCACATCGATAGGCATTTCCTCACAATACTCAGCCAGAACAATGACGTAGATGGCTTGGAGATCAAAACCAAAGACGGCGAAGAATGGATCAAAGTTCAGCCATCTCAAGGCTCTTCTTTCATTGTTATGGCCGGAGCTTCTCTTCATGTAATGAATTAAAGCTTCCTTGACTCTCAAGTTTCATTCTTTTTGATATATATGAATGTCCTTTTAATTAATACGTACGTACGGTGTGTTGTAGGTACTGTTGAATGGTGCGGTGTTTCCTCCGCTTCACCGTGTGGTTATAACGGGAAAGGAAGATCGGTATGTGGCTGGACTGTTCACGATTCCTAAAGAAGGAGTGATCATAAATGCGCCTGAGGAGATTATAGATGATGAACATCCTCGTCTCTATAAGCCTTTTGATTTTTGGGGTTTCTTGAAGTTCAGCAACTTACCTAATGCCCGCAAAGACATTTCTGATCTCACCGATTACTGTGCCCTTTAAGCTAATAATAAGACTAATGTATCATTTGATCATTAGCTATATATTGCTTGTTGATCACTTGTTTGCTTTTGCTCTTGGGTTGTTTTTGATATGTTTGAACATGTAATGAAACCTGATTTAAAGAAACTCCGTAACTATTTGGTCTATTATTATACATTCAAAAGGCGCATTAGGTTGTGAGAACTGAGAAGTGCTAGAAAAAAAATCAGAAAATACAGTATGTTGAATTTTCATATACTATCCAATCCAATCTTAAAAAATATAACTATAGAAGGCCCATTAGACACATGATTGAAGATCTATTAAACTGGGCTTGGGCCCATAGTGGAAGAGGGGAGTTTGATAGAGTAGTAGTCTCGTCGGTGATATTGAAGTATATTTACTTCCGGTGTCTCTCCCGTCTTTGATTTTTCCAGAGATCACGAAAAAATCTGATACAAGAAATCTTTGTTTCGCTGGTCTTGTTTGGTTCAATCTCGACTCGTTGGTTTATTCCGGTTGTGAATTTTCATATATTAATAGGACCGACGAAGCAGATTTCTAGCGAGGCAAAAAAAGAGGAAAAACCCTAAAATCGCCATGGATAAGGAGAGATATTCCAGGAGCCACCGTGACGATCGTGATCGTGATTCGAGTCCGGAACACTCTCCCCAACGTGAAGGCGGACGCCGACGTGATCGCGACGGTGATTCGAAGAGGCGTGATTCAGACCACCATCGGTCATCGAGGCGCGAGGATGAGAGAGATAGGACTAAGGATAGAGCTCGGGATAGAGGTAGATCTGTAGAGCGAGGTGAGAGGGAAGGGAGTAGAGATAGGGAAAAGCACCACCATGAGAGGTCTCACGAAGGGAGTAAAGATAAGGATGCTAGGAGCAAGAGGAAAGATAGAGACGAAGAGAATGGGGCTAGGGATGCTAAGAAGAAATCTAGGTTTTCTGATGGCAATGGTGAGAGGAGGAGTAGGTTTGAGGATGTGGCTGTGGAATCTGAGAACAAGAATGCTCACTTCACTGAGGGTTCTGGGGCTATGAATTCCACCAGTGGCGTTTCTATTGTGAGTTCTCTACATCCCTTATCGATTGCTACTGTCTCTTTCTGCTCTTTCCTTGTTATTGCTACTTGAGCTTCAATATTTTTGTGAACGGTGTTTTAAATACTTGTATCTTCTTGTCTCTGTGCAGGGCGCCTCTTCAATTAGTTCTGTTGCATCGGAAGCTTCTTTGGCCCCTAGTCAAACCCTGCTCACTAAGGTATCTTCGATATATACAACGGATGAAAATAAGGATAGTATTGTCAGATCTCATGAGGTTCCTGGAAAATCTAGTACAGATGGAAGATCATTGTCAACAGCTGGGAAAGGTAGTTCAAACTTGTCTGATGATGCGATAGCCAAAGCTAAAAAAGCACTACAGTTCAAGCACAAGGGATTGGCGGATAGACTGAAGAAACTTCCTTTGGTAAGATCTGCAGATATTCTTAACATGTGCATTCATTTTTCTCTTAGAACTTTCTATTTGATAATTTTCCCTTTCTTCTCTGTGCAGTTGAACAAGGGTACCAAGTCAACTACAGAAGGTAGCCAACATACCAAACTACCATCATCGACTACCATTCCTGCTGTCTCTACTGGAACATCTTTTACTTCAGCAGTGCCACATTCTGGCCTTGCTGATTTTGGGAGTATTCCCAACATTGAAGCTGTTAGGCGAGCTCAGGAGCTGGCAGCAAAATTGGGATTTCACCAGGATCCAAATTATGCTCCCGTTATCAACCTATTTCCAGGTCAGGCACCCTCAGACACGGCTGCACAAAGACCCGCCAAGCCCCCTGTTCTGCGCGTAGATGCACTAGGAAGGGAGATAGATGAACATGGAAATGTTATTAGTGTGACTAAACCAAGCAATCTTAGTACATTGAAGGTCAGCAATGTTAATCTAAATGTCTTGAGTTTTCATGTTTTTTATTTATATGATCAAGCTTCTAATGTACTTGGATTTTACAGGTTAACATAAACAAACAGAAGAAAGATGCTTTTCAGATTCTTAAACCTCAACTGGAAGTAGATCCAAATGAAAACCCCCATTTTGACCCAAGGATGGGTATTGATGCAAACAAAATTCTGAGACCTAAACGTATGACTTTCCAGTTTGTTGAGGAAGGTAAGTGGACAAGAGATGCTGAGAATTTGAAGTTAAAGGTATGTATTGTCTTCTTTATGATTCTTTTTTCCTTCTCAGTGGTCTTTATAGATCTCTCACTATGTGTATTTTTTTATCTTTTCTGTGTAGAGTCTATTTGGTGAAGCAAAAGAAAGGGAGCTTAAGGTGAAGCAAGCACAGCTGGCAAAGGCAAAGGATGATATAAATCCAAATTTGATAGAGGTATCGGAACGTGTCCCTAGAAAAGAGAAGCCCAAGGAGCCAATTCCAGATGTTGAGTGGTGGTACGTAATTCTCATCTTGTCATTTCTGTTAATTCTAAGTTGTTTAGTTTCTGATTTGCATTTACTTGACATAACCTTGATAGAAACAAGTCATCCTACACTTTTTAAACAGTACTTGCAACTTTTTAGGGTATTTGATGAAAGTGATGAATCACCATAACAGTAACTTCAGTTAGCTCTCAGCCAGGGATGATATTCACAGGATTATTTGGTGTTCTTGTTTCGTTTTTGAATGATTCTGTCGTTTTGTTTATGTTAGATATATAGAATTATTAATGCAATTCTTGATTTCTTTGAGTGTTGGCATATGTGCTCTAGTTTTCCACATATTGCTTTGGAAAGTTCAATGCTTTTGTGATCAGCAGCAGCGTGATTGCTAGTAGAAAATGGTAACATGAACCGACTGATGATTATGATGCACTTAGTGTGTGTCAATGCCAGTTCAAAAAGTTAACCTGGCTGCTTTGTGGTCTGCCGTTTTGGTCTTATTTCACTGTATATATTCATGATGGTTTTCTTAGTTCGCAACTGTTTAATGTTTCAGGGATGCAAATGTCCTCATCAATGGCGAATATGGCGACATAGCTGATGGCAGCATTACTGAAAGTCATCTAAAGATAGAAAAACTTACTCATTATATTGAGCATCCTCGTCCCATAGAGCCACCTGCAGAGGCAGCGCCCCCACCACCTCAACCTCTTAAACTGACAAAGAAGGAACAGAAGAAACTGCGAACCCAGAGGCGTCTAGCAAAAGAAAAGGATAAACAGGAGATGATCAGACAAGGTCTGCTTGAACCACCAAAAGCAAAGGTGAAAATGAGCAACTTAATGAAGGTTCTTGGGGCTGAAGCGACCCAAGACCCAACCAAGCTTGAAAAAGAGATCCGCACAGCAGCTGCAGAGCGTGAACAGGCTCATACAGACAGGAACGCAGCACGGAAGCTGACTCCTGCAGAGAAACGTGAGAAAAAAGAGAGGAAGCTTTTCGATGATCCAACAACTATTGAAACAATTGTGTCAGTGTACAAGATCAAAAAGCTATCACATCCTAAAACAAGATTCAAAGTGGAGATGAATGCAAGAGAGAACAGATTAACAGGGTGTAGTGTGATGACGGATGGAATGAGTGTGGTTGTGGTTGAGGGCAAAAGTAAAGCGATAAAGAGATACGGGAAGCTGATGCTGAAGCGAATAAACTGGGAAGAGGCAGAGAAGAAGGAAGGGAAGGATGACATGGAAGAAGATGATGAAGAAGAGACGAATGGGGAAAACAAATGTTGGTTGGTTTGGCAGGGAAGCGTTGCGAAGCCGAGTTTTCATAGGTTTCATGTACAACAATGCTTGACAGAATCCTCTGCGAAGAAAGTTTTCATGGATGCCGGTGTTGTTCACTACTGGGATCTTGCTGTCAATTACTCAGACGACTAAATCCTCCTGCTCATATCATCATCACCTTTAGATGCTCTAAACTTTTGAGACATGTTATTGCGGTTCTGTGAACATATTCTTCCCCTTGTTCCGTTGTCTGGTATTTTTAGTTTTGAACAAGAATGATCTGTTTCTACGAGGTTATTATTTCAGGATGATGATGATACAACATGAATGATCTTATTTCACAGTGCCCAAGGTACCGTTGATTATTTAAGTCATAGTCTGGGATAACTCTGATTATGAATACTTAAAAAAAAGCAAAACTATAATGAAGTGAGACCACTAACATGAAAATGTATTGTTGTAAAAAAGGCATGAGGTGCGCGTGTAGAAGTTGGTCATATGTTGGAAAATACAGAGACGTGCGACAAAATGCGAGCCTCAGTGCTTAATCTGTACCTGACAGCTACGCCTCCTCCCAGCTTTCTCTTTACCCAACGATTCCTCACCAAACATATAACACGGCGCGTGACCTCGTCGAAAGCCCCAAACTACCCTCACTCAAACTTTTGTTCCCTTCTTAATTTGTATGTGTGTTTTCTTGAATATTCTCTTTTGTTTTCTTTTCACTCTCTCCTCTGTTTCCGGTGACAGAGGAACAATGGAGACGACGTTAACAGAGTATCTGGAGAGATCAATGCAGAATTGTTCACTGAGTAATCAGAGAAGAAGTATTGGAGATGGGTTTGGTATGACGGATGAACATATCCCGATCTCAGATAGATTCTTGGAGCTCAATTCTCACTTCTCTGTTCCTTCTCATTTGGAACAGTGTCTTGATCTCAAGGTAAACACACAGTTAAAACCTCTTTTTCTTTCCATTTAATAGATAGTTTCATTTACTTTTGTTTCCTTATATTGCATTTGTTGTTTCAGCTCTATCTGCTTGATGAGTTTCTTTAATGGAGCTTTATGCTTTTTTGTACAATGAAACTTGCATATATGATAATTAGTCTAAGCTATTTTTGTTACAGAACTTGGGGTGCATTGTTTTGCATTGCAAATTAATAAAGAAAGTAAAAAGAAAGAACTTTACTTCTGGGAAATTAGGTGTTCTTAGGTTTAGCATCAAAGGAGTTTTATAGTTTATTAATACTTATGTAATGAGAGAGATCTTGTTTTGCGTTATTTTTTTTGTTTATAGACAGGAGAGATTTACTACAGAAACTGGAATAACGGAATGAGAGTGAAGGAAGATGATCCTAGGAAACTGGCGAGAAACAATAACAATGCAGATCAATTCAGTGGAGACTCGTATGGAACTATGTTTTCATCAGAAGAAGCTAGCTCGTATTATGAAAGCGAAGAGTCTTCATCAGAGTCGTCCCCTTCATCAAGAAAATGTCGAAAAGACGAAGAAGAAGAAGAAGATGTTCTTGTGGTAGCTGGTTGCAAAGCTTGTTTCATGTATTACATGGTACCTAAACTCTTGAAGGATTGCCCCAAATGTGCTACTCAGCTTCTCCACTTTGATCAACCTCACTCTGCTTCTCCACTTTGATCAACCTCACTCAGCTTCTCCTTGAACCTCTCTTCTATTCTCATTTTCATTTTTTTTCACTTTGTCTTCTCTCTTTTTTTTCTTCTTCTATAAAAGAGTGGTCGTGTTATGTGTGTGGCATTAATACGAGATTTAACTGTTTGAAGGCAATGTCTCAAATTGGTTGGAAAAAAAAACATGTATTGGTGATAGCATAGTGAAAACAAAACTTTTAAAAATTGGTCTTCCTGTTTTTTTTGTTTGCTTGTAGTCCATAAATATCGAGGAACAGTTCTCTGATGGACAATGCGGAGCAAAGTGGGTTGAGTGGTTTTATGCGGTATTACATATGTATGAGATGCTAAAACAGATTGGTATGTTTTTATGGGATTTACTGACTTGTGAAGAGAGTGATGGTATGTATATATATGGATTAGTAATGAAATGAGAAAGTGAAAGAAGATGTTTTTGACATCAAAGTTGGTCAATGAAGATAAGATCCCTTAAGGCTCGCGCGGTGCGTGGAAAGACAAAAAGATTAAAAAGCATAATGATTGCGAGCATGTGATTTTTACCAATTTATAAGTTTCTTTTGTTTCCCATCTTTCTAATTTATAAATCAAATGAAATTTCCCTAATTGTTGTTTTGAGTCTTTTGACCAAAAATAAAAATGACTTTTATATACAACAAACTATAATCCAAAATGATACATTTTCCTCCCTAACTTTTGTCAACTTTTGCAATCATCCACATATATATTCACAGCAATAGCAGCTCACATTCAATGAACCGTGGTTACATATATATTAATGTAAACAATCAAAGAAGAATTATCATCATATATATATAACTAATGATGCTTAATACTGTCACATTAAATGCTTGATAATCATAATAGAAAAAGTCAACTTATAAACAAGATCTCTATGTTGCTTTATATGTGTATCCCGGGATTTTTAATATATTGACCTCTCTATGCAAGATATTACTAAAGGAAATCGAGATATGTTGTGTGAGCAACTTAGCTATATGCCTATATTGAAAGCTTGTGTCTCTGAACGATGGAGATCTTTTCGTTGTACTTTGTTTTAAGGTTTTAGTAACGATCGAATACATATGAGCCAATTTTGAAATTGTGATTCAAACTTCTATGCATAAGCGAATAAAGTGTTTTCATTTTAATGATTGTGATACACGTATCTGATCTTATGCTCTTGCAGCTACTACTTCTCATTTGCCCTTTGAACTTCATATTTGGTTATACGAATGAAATCGTTCTGAACGTTCTAAAAACAACTACAGTCTAAGGCAGAGGAAGTACTCGATCAATAGGTTCATACTTTCAGTGGTTATAAAGTCGTGAGAAGTACTTTTCTACTCTTGGTCGTGAAATTCCTCTACATGGGACACACGCTAGATGTGTTGTGGAATCAAGAACGTCGAGCAAAGAAAAAGAAAAATATAAGGTTTTAACCGGCCTGGCCGATTTATGTAGTTTTTAAATGTAGGAGTACTCACCTTGACAACATTTATCAAAGTAATCAAACTCCTCACGCCCTAGCTGTTATATAAATTTATGATCGACAACTAGTAGGATGGTATCTTGATCATTCTAGTGAATGTTCTCACATCACGTAGAGACATGAACATCTTCAAGAAGCAACAGCTCACTCGGGTTCAAAATATCATGCATGGTTGGTGCTGGAGCCTTCTTACATATCTCACACGTTGGCTTATAATAACATTCTATACCATTTCATGTAGTCTTTCTCTTAAGGATGTTATGGGCTTTCCAACTATTCATATCTTTTTTTTTCTATGTCCAAGACATGTGATGATGATGTTCCTTGTGAGTTTTGTTTCGATTCTACTAATGTTGGTGTCTTGATTTTGAAAGTGTTGATGTAGGAAAAAAATCCTGAGTTTCTAAAGTTAGGAAACTCAGGTGTTCTACTCACACGTTAACTACATTATTTATGATGTATGACATTAAGAGTTGTAAGTTGTAACATCCGTATATGGATCCTCCTTCCTCCAACTTCTAAAAGATTATCAATTGGCTTACAAAGTAATAAACCAAATGGGGTAAGAATTCCAAAAATTCATTTTCCGAGTTTGTTTTTCATGTCCTAGCAATGAATGATACAGATATGGATTGTAATATTATGGAAAATTCATTCGAATAATGTCTGGTGTGTTATATATATCCTAATAGTTTCAATGGTATCAAAATTTACATCTTAATTTTTGGTGCTCATATTTAAAAACTCGATTTCCTCCAAAACAAAAAGAATCATGCCAATAACTTAAATGGCATCAAAGTAGACTTCTATGTATGTCAAAGTATGATTAATTTTCACTTCCATCAAATTTTATAAACCTTGATGGTGCATGATGATGATGTTAATTAAATGCATTAAGAAAAAGGTCTTATCTCCACTATCTAAATTTGGAATGTCATATTACATGGTCTATTTGTTGCGAGTTTTATCATGTGCTTTAATATATACTAGCTACGGTTCTTTCACTTTTGCATAACTTAGGAGTTTCTTTCTTAAATTGGGTCGTAAATGTTTAAAACTTTGTATTGTCTCTGTGACCAAACTCAGGTTTGATTTATCTTGTAGTCAGTCATGCTTGGACTAGGCTGGACTTTGACATAATAAGTCCGAGAAAAACCGGATCTGAACAAACGCAGTTAAAAATAATATACATGTTTTCGAATTTCAGGTCGGACTAATAAAGTGCCTTTACCAAGTAAAAAAGACCATGCTATACTCTTAAATGAGTATTCCGATCGCATCTAATATGCATGCTCAAAAAGGTTCCTTACTACACAGCTATCCTTTTTATTCTGTTTTACAACCTTTTTAAATATTACATGGCAACGGAATTGTCTATCAGTCGATCTATGTTACAATTTCGTACGTCGAATATTTACAACTTAATATAATTAGCTAGTAATAATGTTTCTTAAAATATTTCACTAATTAAGATCAGTCAGCTTCTAGCTAAGCTAGTAGATTACCAGAGCACTTTTAGATCACGTTGGATTCATGCTTAGTTTTGATTTTTCTTTTGTTCAAGTTCATATATGTTCAAGTTCAAGAACATTATCAAATTAAAATATTCTATTTTTTACCGTCAAAACTCGAACTGGCCGTTACGTAGAAAAGCTCCCCCTTTAGGACTCGGGTATATATTGTCTATATATCTCTTTTCTGTCGACCACTAGAGACTATTTTTGTGGTATAATTTCAGTTGAAAGTGATCAAAAAAGCACATAAGAGCTCTTCGGAAGGTAAGAAAGTGACAGCAGCATCAAAGACGACTTTACAACTTGTCCAAAAGATGTAAATCAGTGACAATTGGAGTGCAAAGTATATATGAATGTAGTAAACAATAAGGGATGTGTAATTTCAGTGATTTGTTCGAATTGGCAGAAAACTTTGTTTTATGAGTCTAAAGTAAAAGAAATGATTTTCACTATCTACAAAAATGTTATGGTTTCATTTTAGCTACAACTATGTATAAGACGTCTTAGATAACAAAAGAACTCGGTTTTGTACATATATATGTCGATGGTTCAATTTGGGTTTCGGTCTCGGAGCTAGTAGCTCCGGTTATATCAGATATGTATAGAAGTATATACGTGAAAAAAGAATTGGGTGGGGATCACATGGAGTTCAGAGAAAGAGCAGAAGAGTACCCACGTCGTCTGTGGTTTGGGTCCTCGGGCTGTGGGGATACCAAACACCATCATGCATGCCCAACTCTCTTTTTCATTTTTTTATCTCTTTCTTTTTTGGTTTTTTATTTTATACCATTTTAGGGTTTTCTCTTTTCTTATATATTCATCTCGCCCTACACAAACCATCGATCGAATATATAAAAACCCACATTTTATTCCTTACATATAATATATAAAAAAGAATTCATGCTTTACCAAATTCTACTCTTACTTTTATTTCTCTTGCATCATTTCTTTATTATTAGCCTTTCATTCTCTCTTCACGCTCCCTTTTTATGTTTGATTCAACTTCCCATCATGCATGTATACACATATTATATTATGTGAAATTCCAAGTAATCTATCTTATTATTGACATTTTGACAGATATTGTCATCATATTCTTCTCCACTCTCTGTCCATTCCACTTGCCTCATTTCTAATCTAAAGGATATCTATATTCTATTGTTTTATCAAGACACTCATGCACCCTTTCTCTGTATCTTCATATATCTAATTAAGTGCAACTCAAGTACTCTTACATATATATATATTTTAAAACAATCTTACAAAAAAGTAAATAAGATTCACGTACCTTTGTTTTACACATTACTAACATATAAACCATCAATCACTACATAAGTGTTGCAGTAAAAAATTCATTTGTTATAATTACGTTGATCATCGATTTCGATAAATATCATGAAAACGTAACCATTAACACTTATTTAGGATATTAGAGAGATTTATATACCTGAAAGTAAGAAACACATTAACTTCTCTATGAAATGCAATAAAGCTAGTATAACATCTCTATTAGTGCCTCGATATTCACAAATTCTTTTGCTAGGGTTGATAGTTGCTGCACATGATTAACTTATGATGTTATTTCGTAAGACTTTAGTGAAAAGATAAAGTTGTAAGATCGTTGAAACTGTATAAGAGAAATGAGTGATTTTATAGAAAACAAAAAGGAGCAATTGCAATGATCGTAAATGAAGATTAAATTAGTTGACGATCATTACACAAATTTGGAAAATATATATGATCGATCTTTTTACATGTGTATATACAATGGCTTTGATTAAAAGTTAAATTAACATGAACTTCTGTGCGTTAAAAGTTAACCAATAATAGGTGCTTTTTCAGTAAACTTTGTCTTCATGATTATTATTGTGATTTTACAAAAAAAAATGATTATTATTGATATTTTCTAAACAGCGATATGGATATAACCTCTAATGTTTTTAAATCTAATATCAAAAAAAAATATTTTAAAGTTTACCTATTTTGCTCTCAATATTTTTTTTATCTACATAGTGAATAAAAACTTGACTTGAGAGCTCATCTTTGAAAACTTTCACTTCTACCAAAAACAGATAATAAAAGAGAAAACAACTTGAAAAAAATCCCAACAGTCTCATTAAAAAGCCACTCAATTAGGGCTAAAAATAAACTTTTTAAGGATATTAATAATTAAATTTCCCTTAAAACAAAATAATAACTTTGGCTGTCAATTTTTGTTGTTGTACGTCCTCGGAACATGGCCTTAAAAAAGCGATTAGCTGGATCGATCACACTACCCATTTCATCCTTTTCTTTGCATAGTCACACCTTTCGTCCTTTTAAAGTCAATAAAACCCAAATAAACTTTTACAGAAATAATTAGTATTGTTTATTCATTTTGAGTAAGAAAAAGAAAAAGTGTAGTCCTAAATTTATATAAACTTTTACATTACGTATATATATGATCTCTACGTACATGAAGAAAAATTCATAATTTCAGATATTTTTTGAATTAAAATCGGACAGACAGAGAGACCATCACACACCCCTCTCTCTCTCTCTCTCTCTTTCTTACATTCCCACAAGCTTCCAAACAAAGAGAATTAATGGAAAGTAAGATTTTGCAAAGGAATAATTCTCTTCCTCGTCCTCTCTCACTCACAACCCTACTACGCATATAAAATAATTGAAGTAGAAAAAAAAAAAGTATACATATTAAAAAGAAATAAATAAACAAAAACCCTTATCTTCTTCATGAGAATCATTTCCTCTCCACAAAACCATGCCTTGTCAAAGCCCCTCTTCTCACTTTTTCAATATTAATCCCTCTCTCCCTTATATGGCTCATGCTGATATCATGATATGACCAATATGGTTCCTCTTGATTCCTCACTGCTTTTTGGCGGTTTCACGGGCGCGATGATGATGAGAGAAGTAACTATAAACAATCAAGATTCTAGTGGAGAGACATGCTCCGTCTCCGATCCAACAGCAGCTTCTACTGATTATTATAACATCATCTCTCCCTCTCCGGTGAAAGACGTGGGAGCGGCCGCAAAGAACGACGTCCTTTGTTCTATTAATAACGTACAAGATAAAGACAAATCTTGGCTTCGCTTAGGTATAGGCCCTGATGAGGAGAACACTAATAACACGGGGTCGTGTAAGCTCCAACGTTGTTGTAGCCAAAACGGAAGTGGAAGAGACAAGTCTTTAGAGCTCAGCTTGTTCTCTTCCTCCTTAACCGCGGGAGGATCCATTAGTAGTAGCGTAGATTACTCACAGCCGCAACCACCGCAGCCGCAGCCATATTCTCATGATCAGTTGCTAACTATGCGTGGACCGTCGTTGGTTTACGGTCACCAATTAATTCGGCCTCAAACGTTAGTTAACCGAGGCTTTTCGTTTCCATCTTCAAAGCCGTGGATACCTCAATATACGGTGCCGTTTAGACCGTCATCATTGAGTGACCGTGACGTCACTAACAATAATAGTGCTACAAGGAGTTGTTGTGTGGATGAAGGAGGAGGGGCTGGACCAAGCTCCGAGTTTAGGGTTCTTGATCCTCCAAGAAGACCACATTCTGGTCTTTGGTTTCTCCTTCAAGCTTCACAATTTCAGTAATTGTTCTTTAATCCTTTCTGACCATGTTTGATAGTAGTAATTATATTAGTATATTATGTGTGTGCTTATGTTTTATAACATTGGATATGTAACGCAGGGAGAAGGAACCGTTCTTGCCACAAGTAAGCAAAAGCTACTTGAGAATCAAGTAAGTATATTTTGGTCTCATGCGTTACTACAATTTCTTTGTTCATAAAGGATTACTAACGCTAAATTGGTCAAAATTTGTTTTAATTTGCATGGATAAGGGATGGGAGAATCACAGTTAGATTGCTAATTAAGTATCTTATGAAGAAACTTCAATTGGATAGCGAAACTGAGGTAAATATCTAACTGATCAACTCTATTATTTATTTATATTGTTTTGTATACTCTAATTTTTAGGCTACAAAATGAAAATGACATTGGAGCTAAATCCCCAACTTATAATTAGGTCACAAGTCTGATGTCATGGTGTCGTAACTTCTCTAACTCATATAGACCAGTTTAAGTCTTATAATAGCTAGAGATATTCAAATTGTAGTAATACGATTGAGTGGAAACCACTTTCTGAATCCTGAGAGCAACATGACATCCTTAATTAGGTGCAAATCTTATTAATTTATACTCATGAATAACCTAGGGCTCGGATTTATGAATCCGATTTCTTCATATATCACTTGATTATTCAATTTGAGAATATATATATTTTTTTTTGGCTTATAATTATTCACCAAATTAAGGAAAAAAAATATAAGCAACTCTCAAAATCAAAATTTTGATCAACCAAAAACTAGTCTCTATCGCATTTGAAAAATTAAATGTAACAGAAAGTATAGTGTTTGATTGGGTTATTGATTGATCGTGTCTCGAAGTACCCACCACCATTTATATCAATAATTATTATCATTATTGTTGTTATTAATATATTCTCATAGGAAACAGGAAAACGAGAGGGGAACTATAACTGGCTATTTCATTAGTTTCAGGCCATAATAGAGTTATATTAATAGTAATGTTATTTTTGGAGAAACAAGTCTGAGTCATCAGGCATGCTTGCTTTGAGAATAGTAGAAACCAGAAAAGAAAATATATCTTAATCCAAACTTAAAAAGCTTACATTCGTATGTGTGTAGATGCTCTCGTTAATCAGAATATATTATAATCTAAGTATATTATTTCGGGTTCCAGGACTCTAGATAGGCTCACAAATGCATGTTCATGACATCTATGAACTCTTGTCTCCTACAAGAATCATCTGCATGTATAGACTATGTGTGTGTATACACACACAGTGTATCAAATCAATTAATAAATTAGCCCTTGCTAATTTTATTATATGCATGATTTCATTATATATATAAATATGTTTTTTCTAAAATAATGGTTTATAACCGACACACATTTTTTAAAACACTGGTTATGTATTTGACGTGAATAAACTGCGTAATTAGCCTTTTTTAATAACATTAGTTGTCGACGTCTCCTTCATATATAGTCGAGATTAGCAATCAATTTTTACTAAGCACACTTAAACATCATAGTTTAGATAAGTGCATATAGGTTTTATTTTTAAAATAATACTCTTACTATTTATGAAAACTAATCTTACATAAAACAAAACAGCATGCTTAGCTTTAACGATAGGAAGAATGTGTTTATAATTTAACATATTGTTTTCCATATATAGTCAGACAAAATTATGGACTAAAAGTGTAAACATTTTTTTTGAAATAAAAACCCCTAAAATTAACATGATGAGCGTTATTTCACAAAAAATTAACTATGAAGAAGTTTGATTTCATACAAAGTATAAATAGCCATGGGTTTTCGTTTATCTTTTACGCTTAAGTTCACCTGCTTTTGCTTATTTTCGTGCGTATGTCGTCACAAGAATATATTGATATATGGTCCGACTAAATTAATGCATAGTTAGCATCTAACGTTTTATATTGATACTTTAACTATATAGCACCATGATAGACAAATGGATAGGTGACATATTAAATTCTCATTCAAAGTAATCATTTGATGAAAAACGTGATTTGAAAGCATTGATGCATGCATGGCTAAGTTTGTCTTTTCCGTAGAGCCAAAACAATTGCATTTCCCACTCACAAGCATATAAAAGTTTCCTTGATTAATCTTTGGATAATTTTATACTTTTCCTATAGTTAGTTAACTAGTTGATACTCAATTTAAAAGTCAATCCAAATTGGAATTTGAGCATTATATAATACGTTAAGTTATGATTGTGTGTTTGATACTTTTGCTTAGGAATCGATTCTAATAGATATATATACAGTGATACACATACACACTTCTATTTGAATATCACTACATAATGTATACGGTAGCTATAGGTTCTAGTTATGACTACTTTGAGATTTTATATTTCCGTTAATACAAAGTCTAAAAACAAGAATCCTTCCTGAGTTTCTTCCCATTCTTTTAGTGGAAAGGTCACACGAAAAATAGCCTCCCTAGAGAAGATGGTATGTGCGGATGAATAGAAAAGTGAAGTAATGATAACTACGTTATTGCCTCAAAATAGGACGACATGCCATAACTTACCGTCAAATTTTTTGTTAAGATCATAAGATGTCTACATAATACATATATATATTCATAAATTTGTCAATGTGTTACTATTATAAAATGTATTGAATTTTCTTCTGAAAGAAATGCCGTGAACACTAGCTAGGTTCGAAAACTGCTAATATATTTAGTATATTCTAGAAAGGAAATTAATAATAATATAACTTACTTGGGAAATTTTATTTTAGAAGTAATTATCGTAATTATTAAACATAAAATCTTGACCGATATTTTTTATTAAAAAAAGTCTCTCAATAGCTAATTATCTTCATATATGGTTCAAATTTAGTAGTATGGAACTTTTGTAATGGTGTAAAAAATAAAGGAAAACATAAATACACAATTACGCTAACCTTGTCGTCATGCTTATGCATGCAAAGGTCAGCTATTTTCTTATTTTCTCGTCAAATGTATAGTAGTAGCATCTAAGATAATGTCGCATCATAATCCCAAGTGGAGCACTTTCATGAATATAGAAATAACTTGATCATCTCCTCACCAACCAATTACGTTCCTACAATAGTAGAACTCAAACAATATACAAATCAAACACTAGCTTTGAAACGCTTGACAGTTCAACAGCAAAATTGTTCAAACCTTTATCTTTTTTTTTTAATGAAAATACAATACTTTATCTGTTTTTTTCATGAAAGAAACACATACATAACTTTTTTATGAATAGAACAATAATTGCATTGGTGTCATATCATTCTGCTTTGCGTTTTCTTCAGAATTCACGGTATTCCGAAAATTTGAACTATATAACATAAAAATATATATTTTTAAAATGACGCACAGAAGCAAGCATATTGCGGGCGTGCATGGAAACATGATTTTGAGGTGCGACCAATATATATCTTATTAAATAATTCCCGCTGGATCACAATCCTAAAAGTAAACAACAAAACAAGATCCTCGAATAGATGATCCTTTCTCTCTCAAGCTGACCAGATTTTGGTTTATCTTATTTTTTTCAGTGTCGACTTTTAAAAATTTGTTTATCTTTTTCCATGCTTTTGTATCTTTGGCGTCAAGTCGAGGAAAAGTGGGATTTTAGGGTAAGGCATACGTTACATCTACTTCTAACGACGACTATACAATCAAGTCTACGAAGCCTCTGTTTTGCCAATGTAAACAATCAAACTAGTTACTATCGACAACACATATTTGAACTAGGTTAAAAGACACCATTTTAAACCGATTGAATATAACAATACGTTAAAACACTAGACCACTCTTACTATATATATAAAATCATGTACGTACGCTCACGTTAATAATAACCTATATAGCATCTCAAGTCATACGCACGAGCAGAAATATGGATATTGATGTGACTTTAAATTCTAACTTTGATTTGTTTGATGGGGAACAGGTAGAAGTAAGATGCAGAGGACAACAATTATCGCCGTTGTTGACGATGCAGCATGTAAGAGACACCATATGGATTCCCAAATCATCTTCATCATCATCATCATCATCTCCTTCTTTTACTTTGCTTCGAGACTCATCAACTACTGATCATATCATGATTTTGCATTATGGTAGGACTGCTTTAATTTAAATCTTTTTTTTTTTAATAGTTTTTTTTTGTTTGCACTAAGTCTAACATTTTTCGATCATCATATTGTGTACCTACGATACGATCGAGTTTTAATTATTTATCACCTCTCTTTTTGTTTGGGGTTTTCAATCTAGTTTGCTATTTATATTTCTCCTTGTTATTGATCTCAATGTTATAATTTCTTTATTTTCTACTTTGTGACGACTCATATTATCCCTGTAGGAAGTGGTGTCGTACGAGCCAACCAAGTGTTGTCTGACCATTGACCTATAAGCCTTAGACACACACACACAATGACACACACACTTGTTTTTAGACTTGAACCGAGTTCATGCTCATTTATGGACACTCAAGCTGCTCCCTGACACAACTTAAGTGTTTTGAGTTTGTCTAAGAAGTGTTTCCAGTAAACCGAACCGAATTGGTCCATTCTGAACCGAACAAATGAACAAAATGTTCATAGTTAATAATATAATCTCTTCACATATCTGTCAAAATGAAACCGAATTCGAACCAAACAAACAAGCAAACAAAAAACCGAACCGGATCCGAAATGTTACCTGGAAATAAAAACATTATTGGGCTTTGAATGGGACCTAATAAACAGCGAGTCAACCTTATAATGGGCTTTAATAAGGCCTCATATTATTAGTTACTGCTAAAGTATCTTCTTCTTCATCTCCTTCTGAGATTCCGATCTGTGTCAGCTTCTTCATCTCCGACTCTTCCCTCGTAATGTCGTGATATGTTCAATAAGCTTTCTTCAATGGCGTATGGTTCTTTCGGCGTCTCATCGAAAGCTTTGGTCTTCTGTCGTCCTTGCTATGGCTCCATTAGAGATCTCCCGTCCTCCCTCCGAACGCCTACAGTTTCGTCTCCCGCTCTTTTTCCCTTTTTCAAATTCTATTGATTCGGTTCAATCTTCTTTGACTTCACCTTCACCTTCGTGGCTAACAACGACCTGAAAATGGGAATTGAACAGATTGGGCATTGTGGGTGTGTTGGAGCTATCGCAGCACCTAGAAATGTAGTGAAACCCCGCAAGGAAGAGAGCCGTGGTAGTTACCTTTTTCGAAGATTCTGATTTCAGTTCAACTATAAAGCTGCGATTTTGAATCTAACGAAGTCGAAAATTTTGTGTGTTTGTTTATTGTTTTTTTGTTTGGTATGTTAAAACGATCGAAGATTTTAGTGGAGCACGGAAAAGTAATAAAGATAAATCGATGCCGTGGAAGAAGTTAGATGCTAATGAATTTGGTATTCAGAGGTCAATGATCCCAGATTCTACACGGATGGTTCTCAACAAGCTCAAGAAGAAAGGTTCGCTTTTTACGCTTACTTAGGCTTCTGACTGGATTTGAGTGCATGTGTCTAAATGACACATCTCAGCTTTTATTGCAAAGAGGACTGAGTTAAATTGGTTTTTCTTCTGAACTGTGCCTTACAATTTGTGTGCTTTAGTAGCTTGAATATAATGTGAGCCATCATTAGCTCTTTGAGATGGCTCAACTCTGCTTTTATTCTATGGAGTAATGTATGGGGAGCATTGGCTCTAGGGTTTCTTTAGTGAACTAATGCTTTCGCCAAAATTCTGAAATGTGCAATGCATACTTGCTATGATGTTACAGGATTTCAAGTTTACCTAGTTGGAGGTTGTGTTCGGGATCTTATTCTAGATAGAATCCCCAAGGATTTTGATGTTATCACTACAGCTGAACTAAAGGAGGTTACACATCAGCTTATGGAACTACATATTAGTCTTTTTATCCTTTTTGATTTTTGAACCCAATCTTATTTAATTATTACTGTGTGTATAGGTACGGAAAGTATTTCCCGGCTGTCAAATTGTTGGAAGACGATTTCCCATATGTCATGTTTATGTTGATGACATTATCATAGAGGTTTGTTCAGCATTTCACCATTTCATATCTTCCTATCACTATCAGTTAACTACGCTTTAACTTAATAGATGGTTCTTTGATTAGAGGCTGCTGCTCACAATTTCTTTCTCGTACCAAATTTCAATCAGAAAGAACACTTTCTCTCTTATCTCTCTTTCTCTCATAAATTTTGTATGCCAAGGTTCGATGGATGTCTTACCTTTAACAGGTGTCAAGTTTTAGTACTTCAGCAAGGACTGGTAAATCGCCCAATAAAACCTTGAGAAAGCCTGTGGGCTGCAATGAGCCTGATTATATTCGTTGGAAGAATTGCTTGCAGCGTGATTTTACAGTCAACGGGTAAGCAGTACCTCTCTACCTGTATTTCACAAATATTTGTCAATAGAAATCCATATGGAGCATTGATTAACAGTCATATGTTGGAATTTTCAGGTTGATGTTTGATCTGTCGGAGAATGTAGTGTATGACTACATAGGAGGAGTTGAAGATTTAAGGAATTCTAAAGTAGGTTTTGCAAGACAAGCTATCATGCTCTATAGAAATCAACTGACATGTGAATACATTGGTATCTGTCCTAATCAGTCGAATTTTGCTCTGTAGGTGAGAACAGTTTCTGCGGCGAAGTTTTCATTTGTCGAAGATAAAGGTTAGTTACAGATGTAATGTTTTTTTTTCGTTGGTATGAAATCTATTAAAAAGGCTTCAAAAGGTAACGGTGTTCACTTTACAGCTCGCATTTTACGTGCAATTAGGATTGCAGCGAGGTTAGGATTTAGCTTGACTAAAGACGTTGCTATTTCTGTGAAGGAGCTTTCTTCTTCATTGCTGAGACTTGACCCTGTATATCTCGTTACCTTCTCTTGATCTCCCTCCTTTCTAGTTTTTTTGTGTTAGTTAGGACTGAGCATTTTCTCTCGTGTTCTGATAATTCTGCAGTCAAGGGTCCGGATGGAAATCAATTACATGCTGGCATATGGGTCTGCAGAAGCTTCTTTACGGTTATTGTGGAGATTTGGACTCATGGAACTTCTTCTACCTATCCAGGTTTGGTTTAGCAGTGTGGCATTATGGCGTGAACATTGAGTACTTTCCATTGTGCACACCTAAATTATTTTTCTATTTGCAGGCATCTTATCTTGTTTCCCAAGGGTTCCGGAGGCGTGATGGAAGGTCCAACATGCTTCTGGTACATTTTTTTTTGCATTCTCAGTTACAGATGGCAAGCAACACTAGAGAGTGAAGTTATGACTCCATAGGCCTAACTGATTAACGTCTCCCCCTTGCAGTCACTATTTCGCAACCTTGACCGACTTGTAGCACCTGATCGACCATGTCACGAGTTCCTCTGGTGAGTATTCTCCTTTGATGCATATAAACCTTGGTAAATGTTATTGCCAAGTTACAAATTTTGGGGTCTAATAACCTCAGGATTGGGATCTTAGCATTCCACAAAGCATTGGTTGATAAGCCTCGGGATCCCACAGTAGTAGCTACCTTCTGTCTTGCCATCTACAGTGAATTATCTTTATCAGAAGCCATCGAGATTGCAAGGAGCAACTCGAAGCAGCACAACTCAAACTTCCAAGAACTGTCCGGCCATGAGCAAGACATTGATAACTCAGACAGCAAATTATCACAGCAGGTCATCAACCTAGCTGAGACTATAAGATCAGCTGTGCGAAAGTTAAATGATCGAGACTACATAGCTAACGCAATGAGCAAATACCCGCAAGCACCTGGCTCTGATATGGTACAGACTCATTTCTGTAATAAGCAATATGCATCTACTGAACTGTCTCATGTTCGTCATTGGGATTGTTGATTGTTTTTTTCAGGTGTTCATGTCAAGACCTGTGTTGGAGAGAGTGGAGAAAATGTTTGGAAGTGTAAGAAGAAAGGGAAGCCAAGAGAGAGATGGGCTGCCAAGTTTAGAGCGTAGGATAAATTACAAGTCTCTTGCTCTTGGAGACTTTCACGAAACACGTCGTGTATTTGCTAGGATTGTTTTCGATACAGTTTACCCTCCAAATCAAAATTAATTTTTTTTGTTTTCAAATTCGTTGTAAGAAATCACACAACTCTTAAAATTTTGATTTATTGGTTAGAGCTTCAAAGCCAACTAACTGTGCATTTATCTAATTATTTTTCTCTTGTCACAGCACATCCATCTCAATTATATGATTTCTCTGTTATAAAAGTGTGAGTTTTTAAGTTTTATGGAAATTAACTCAATCATAATGATTTGTCACTCAAAGTCATATCTCACTTCCCTTAAACTAATCTTATGCGAAGTGCTTAATGTAGAAAAGAAAGAAGCATGCGATACTAATAGAGACACGGTTGATAGTGACTACTACTACTCGTGTGAGCTTTTAGAATTGTTTTATTCACGTGGAAACTTTCAAAACAACTCCATGATTGATGTCTAAAGTGTACTTGCATTCACAAATACATCATGCTGAGATAAAATAATAATTCAGAAGTGGGTTAGGCTTCCATAAAACTAGTACAAGAAAAACATCGACGGACTATATTTAATCGCAAATACAGTATTATATTTTGACGTAAATAGGAAAAATCTAGTGATTTCGTAGTCTATAGTAAGCAAAATGTTGAGAGTGACATGAGTCGAACACCTAAAATAAGCCAGCCGTTACACAAAATTCCAAACTACATGTAGCGTCACTGATCTTGCTTCTTGTGAAAACTTACACATTCAACCTAGTTGATCTGTTTCCCATTGATATCGTTATTAACAAGATGTATCTATCTCATTACTTAAAAGGTTATAAAGATTCTTGTCCTTCTTTTTTTATGTTTTTATTTTTAGTTCGTGATTCTAAAATATTTGAGAATATGCAGAAAAAAGTTAGGCGTATATGTATGATATATGCAGATCGTGATGAATCTCTAACAGATTGTGACTTGTGAGATCATTTTAAAGTGATTTGCTTTAGGATAATTACAAATAGATGATCGAAAAATAGTAAAGTTATTCCACTATAGCTTTACTTAATAGACAAAAGTAAAAAAGCTGCGCCCTTAATGCAATCGCACCTCTTTTGCCAAAAATTATATATCAATGGATCTTTTTAGTCTAATTTGAAAATACTGTATCAGATTATATTTATATAGTATGTACTTGCAAAAAGAGATATAGATTTGATTCTAGGCAATAACTAATGATAATGATAGCGAATGAAGAAGGTGGAAGATGATGTTAACTTGGGATTGGCGCGAAATCAAGAGAAAAAGAGAGAGAGAGCAAACACACAAGACTAAGAGAGTGTTTTTGATTGGACAAAAGAACCACAAAGCCTATCCACTTCCTCTTCTTGTCCTCATCTTCTTCTTCTTCTTCTATTACCAACGAACCTTCCCCAATCTCTGTCGGTTCCTCTCCTTTTCTTAAAATAAAATAAAAATATTACTACTATTTTATCCAGAGATACTCTATCACAAACAAAAAAGATTTGTAATTTAGAAGAAAGTTTTCATCTTTCTTGAAGAACGTTGGCCAAGGCGAATCCTTTCGCTCATATTTGATTCGTCTCTTAAAACCCGGTTCAAAGTTAACGAGGTTTGGATTTTTCTTCATTTCTGACTTCTTCTGTTTTTTTTTTTTTGGGTTTTGTAATGTAGTAGACTTCTGCAAATCTACTTGTTAATTGAGATATTCTATAGCATCGTATTTTGGGTAATCGCTGGTTTTTAATTTAAGATTCGTTTTTGGACACTCCAATGCAACAGGTTCTGGGTTACACTCTGTTTCTGTTTCTTTTTCTTTTAATAAGAGATTCAAATCGCTTGTTTCTGTGTTCGATTTCAGTTCAAATTGAAGACATTGAGTCTTGCGTCTTTGTGGGATTTATTCCCTACACTTTTCCTGCAAAGGAACGAAAGAACATATTCCCAAATTAAAGTTTACAGTTAAAAACTTGACAACTTGGATATGAGTGTGTTGGTCTTAGTTACCTACCATGTGTTTGAGATTCTCTCTTTATCTTATCCATGGTTTATATATATATATATATATACACACTTGTTTGGTATAGTTTCATTGATTGAATGTGTTAGCAGATTCTAAATGCTTTGATGTCAATTTTGGATCTTTGCTAGTTGGTTGACATCTCTGAATAGGTGTATGTAAATTTGATTTGAGCAAGCTCCATCTCTGCTCAGGTTTCGTCATAACTTGTCTCTTAAGGTATGTTTTTTCTTACATGTGGCATAGATTGCATCAATCCATGGACGTTGACGAAAGGAGGATTTCATCTGGCTATGCCAAGCCTCCTTGGATATTCAAAGGAAGGCAAGAAAATCCCCTTTTTTTTGTGGCTTTTCAAGAATATCTCAAGCCTTATCTAGTATCAGATTTATCTTGTGAAGGCTGAGACTCTTGTGCTGAAATATCGTTCTATTGTGCTTTTCAGTGCATTGTACCAGATTCATTTAGTGAAAGCTGAAAATGCTCGAGCATTCATACCCAAGGAGTTTCGACTAGTTGAAGCTTTTGGGTAAAAGCATCTATCTTGGCTCTCATTGCTGTTTATCATCCTTCTTCAAACTGCTTAACCATTATATTGTTCTTGTGGGATTGCCAGATATACGCTTGGCGGGTTTTTCCTTGCTAGCTATGATGATAGCCCTGCTGGTGTCTTTGATGAGGTCTCTTCTTTTCCTTCCTCTTTTCCCTACTTACCCAAACTTATCATCCTACAACATTCTTTGATCGGTTTTGTTGCTTTTCCCCAGCTTGTCGTAATTGCAGGGATTGTATGGAACCCTCCTACATCGTGCGCGTATGTTTAGTCTCCCCTTATTGCACTAGTATAACCATTCTTTAGTAAAGCTGAAAGTTGCCCAGTTGGGGAATATTCTGTTAAATAGATTCATGTTTTTCAAAACATGAGTTATAAAGTCTCCCAAGTGGAGTAAACATCTACTTTATATTTCAGATGGGCTGCGAGGGTGCTTGTGAACAGTGATGAGGCTTGTCATCATGGACGCAAGGTAGGTGGGTTTACTTTGTCTCTTTGCTCTATATCAATGGAATGAGAGATTAGAGGATAATAATGCTTTATTACAAATGGTGGTGTTGCAGGAAGTAGGACTCCCAAGCCAAGTTGCAAGATTTACAAAAGTTAGTGTCACTTTGTTCTTTAAAGTGAATTTAGCTTTTCATAGTTCCTGATTAGGCTCTCAATATGTCTCTTTTTAACTACTAATTAAGGAGAACAATATTACTTTTGTTTACATAAAGTGGAGACATTGCAACTATTAACTTCAAAAAGTTTTTTCCCTAAAATCTTGGAAAATGGGATGAAACATGTGTCTTGATTGATCCTCTTTTACGTACTGCGTTGAGTAAAAGTGATCTTTGTGGTCGGAAACAGAAAATCACTGCAGTTCCAAAGCGAAAAAGGGACAGAGCTTTTGGTTTCTTGGACACATTTGGGTTGGGAACTACTCTGGCTCATCCTGAGGATTTGGTAGAGATTAAAGTTAGTGAAGTTGATGGTGCTGCTTCTGCAGAGATCTGCAACATCCAAATTAGATCAGATGGTATGTTCTTTGTCTCTTGCCTAACTTAACTTAAGCCTCTACATAATATATTCCGAGAGAACTGATGACATATTTTTGATACCTAACTATGGTCTTAAACTGGCCAACTCAAAATTAGAGACCAAAGTCGGAAACTGGATGGGACCTGCAATCAAAATGGCTCTGCCGAGTTTTAGGTAAAAGTTTGGTCCTTGTGATTGTTTTGATCGGAGACTTGGCTTGTAAGCTCATCAAGAATGTCAAATAATGGCAGTGGCAATACAAAGTACAACTCAAACCTGCTCAAATACTCATGTCACCTCCACTGCAGGTGATGTTACTGCTTCCACTTTTAAAAACAATCTATCAATGGAATCGCAAAGAAGACTTATTAAGAGAAATTTTTGTTGAATCTTGCAGGGTGAGGCCGGTGAGACCTGCGGTTGTATCAGGGGCTTTGGAAGATGAGACAGAAAATTTGTCAGAACGTAATCAGACATCACAAGAGTCGCTTGAAAATGAAAGGCGGTTAAGCATAGCTGTGATGCTATCGAAACCAATCATAGCTCTTCAATTCAAATGCTTAACAATGCAAGTAGAAGCTCCTGTTGTAATTTACCCTTCAAAGTAAACACAACACTCAAATTCCAAGAACACACAGCTTCCTTCCTACAAGGTTTACATCTTTACAAAAACAAATCTTTCTGATTTTTTAAATTCTTTTCAAATAAGCCATTCTTAGGATAAGCCTTTGCCAAATTCTATTTTCTTATACTTACATAAGCTCAACAAATCATGGTCAGTATCAGAATTCTTCAGGGAGAGGATGACCGTCCAGGAACGCCTTGAATAGCACTAGTGATCTCTCAGGCTGTGAGAATGGGACCTCGTGTGCAGCTCCTCGCACTGTTGCAAATGACAGGACATTCCCATAGACTTGGGTCCATCCGCCAACCTGAAACACCAAATGCAATGTGTTAGTTTTGCTTTCATCGTTCTTTTCATATCAAAGAATGTTGTTTATGTACCTGTTGTCCTGCAAACCAGACTCGATATGGCACAGTTGTTCTCAGTCCCAATTGCTTGGCCAATCTGCTCACTAAGGTTCTACTTCCGGTCAAAGGGATCACAGAATCTTGATCTCCACTGTTCTTGCAAGAAAACATCCACCATTAAATCATGAAGACAAGTAGTTTAACAGAGAGACACTGATATAGTACCTGTAAACAAGAACTGGAACTCCAGCTCTAACAAGGCTCCCAACGATATTAATCGTCGGTATTTCCACATCAAGCAATTGGTAATCAAGCACACTGTCATAATCAAGGGAAAACCAAAACAAAAACCACTTTTGTTCAATGACTACTAACATCAATTCAAGTCATCTGCAAAATGTTAGAGAACAAAGGATTACTAACTTGCTGCAAACAGTCCATTCCCGTACTCCAATGAGCCGAGCATGAAGAGCTTCTTGGACATCTCTTCGGTTTAGATACTTCACAGTCTCATCTTCGACACATACATCCACAGATTCTCCCACCTGCTGTTCATTCCAAAGAATCAACAAAGTTCATAAACACAGTCATGGAGAAAATAACAAAACTCTAGTATTCATGTTTAATTGCTTGTTGTGTAGTGACTCACGTTAGGGCTTACTACTTTTGATTGAGATAGCACAGAAGGAATGCAGACATCGAGAGTAACATCATATTTGTCGACAAATCGACTTGTCTCAGTGCTAACTTGACTCATCACTTTAGAGCATATACTAGACATTGACCCTCTATAGTACTCACTCACGTAGCGCGAGTAATTACAATAAGATGTAAACATTTTGTAAGTAGAATCTGATATCAAGCCATGAGACCAGAAGTACTCAGCCCTCGAATTGAAGTCAGTCTCAAACTCCAGAACCGGATTGCCAATCTACAAAAAAAAAAAAAAAAACAGATTAAAGACAGGAATCATATAACCATAGGTCCATATTGAAATGTCATACATATAACTATATTTGACTTACAGCAATTCCTCTGAGATTGAACAAATGGTGCTTCTTGTTGTACTGAATCATAAGCTGAGCTAACTGGGGAACATAATGGCCTACATTTGCATCAAAACATTAGCTACAAAACTTAAAACTAAAAGAGCTAGAAGTGACTGAATAAAAGAGGATTTTACCAGCATAGCTTTCACCAGTGATGAAGAGACTTCGATTGAGATAATGAGGGAACTTGAGGAACCACCTTTGCAAGAACACAAGGTTGTCTCTTGCTGAAGTGGAAACAAAAAAAAAGAAAACAAAAAAAGAGTTTGAGATGTTAAAAGACAAAACAGAAAGAAACAAGAAGTAGAGAATAATAATCTCAGATGTGATCTGCACAAAAGGTCGAATTCTTTTGTTCTTTTTTTTTGTCAGAGTCTGAGAACACAGAACAAAGAAACAAAAGCTGAATCTTTTAGTGTTTAGGAAAAATATAAATAATAATATTCCCACTTTTTTCCTGTAAAAAGAAGAACAAAACAAAAGAAATGGCATTCACAGGTCACACTACCACCATCATCATAACTTCTTTCTCTCTATACTCAACTCACAAAAACTCTGTAATTATTAGAAAAGCTATACAAAGAAGCCAAAGCTTTTTACTTTGGTGTGTAAAAGATGTCTTTTTATTTTATTTCTGGTGGTTACAAAATCGTACTTTTGATTTTTTTTTCTTGTTGTTTCTGAATTTAGAAAAAAAAAAAAGACACAAAAGTATTGGTTTCTTTATGCAAAGTCTAAATCAATAGATTCAGCACAGCACAGTTTCTCTGATAATAATAATTTCTTCTCAAAAAATTTCAAAACACAAAGAACCTTAATTTAGATTAAGTAATTTAAAGAAAAAAGGGTTTAAGAGAGAAGAAGATTAACCAGTGATCTTATCATTGACACCCTCATAAGAGGAGCTCTGAGTTGAATAAGAGAATCCAACTCCAACAGGTGTCTCCAGATACAACATATTAGCCTCTGCAACAACCAAACTAAATTAAAAATCAAGACTTTATAAAAAAAAATGTTTGAAGTGTCGAAGAAGAGTCTTAGTTTTAGTTTAGTAACCTTGGTTCCAGCTATGCTGATTCTTGACCAAGACTGGTCCTTTGGGTCTAAAGGGTCCGTTCTCTGAGAATGCACCAACACCCAAAGATGAGCATCCTGGTCCTGCATTTACCCACATTTATCTTCAGATATTGTTTCTATGTACTATTTTAATGTAATTTTGTGGTTAAGTGAGTGAAGGTTTGAAACGAACCTCCATTGAGCCAGAGGACGAGAGGCTTAGAGGTAGGATCAGTTTCTGCCTCAGCGAAGTAATAAAACAGAGCCCTCTGTTTCTTGTCGTCCACAGTGACATAACCGGAGTACTGCTGGAATCCGACCCGGGGTTGACCGGGTAAACGGGTGACCCGATCGGAATGGGAAAGAACAGTGGAAGAGCTCAGAAAGAGGATTAGGGCAAAGGAGATTGTTAGCCACTGGAGAGGAGGAGACATGATTTCACACTTCTTGGTGTTTGGTTTGAGAAAAAGGAAAACAAGACAAGAGTGATGACTTTGGTCTTTGTTTTCCCACTTGCTTCCTCTGGCTCTGCATTTATATCAAGATTCACCTCTCTCTTATGTTTCAATTTTTTGTTTTTCTTTTTCAATTATCTTTTACCATTTACCACATAGGTAACTGATGCAAATTAGCGGTAAAAATTAGCAGTACTATCAAATCTATTTGTATATTACAGTATACCTCTTATCTCTTTTAGTTATTTTGTTATTTTTTGACCGCTTTATTTTCATTAAAATTCATTTTCTGCTTTTATAATTTACAGTGAATTTGGTAAACAGTCGTCGAAAAAATATTTAATGTGGTAAATAGTAATGGAAAAAATATTCCTGTGAGTTTGCTTGAACTTATTTATTCTTATAGCTAGCAGCTAAACTTCATTATTTCAATTTCTCCTACAATTTATATTTTCAAACACTCTAATTCATTTAGTTACATCTTTGGCATTTCACATTAGGCTAGAAAATGAAAGGACAGGGGGATAGTAAGAAATAAAATAAAACTATAAAACACATCTAACTTTGTGGACCAAAAACAAAAAAAAAATCATGTAACATATATCAAACAATATGAAACAAAAAGAATATCACATTAGGACCAAAGCACTTTCTACTGATGGTTTGAATCCAATAAGTAAGTATAAAACGGGGAAAAAAAAAATCACATTTCCAGTAATGTTAATACTCCTAAAGTCCACTATTATTAGTTTTCAAAAAGAGGAAAGTAGATAAATAGAAAGGGAAATATACTATATATCTAGAAGACTAGAAGATTTTAGAAAAGCTACTTTGTGACACTGAAAATTAGATCAATATAGAGAGGCAATTACCGAATAATCAGCGAATTAACTAATTTGTTAGTGCATTTTTAATACTATATTTAGATGATGTTTGCAAGTAAGGGAGTGGACAGCAAATGGAGGAGCTAGCGACAGCGTGGCTAGAGTTCACTCAACCAACTCCCACCTCAGCTCCGCAACCATAAAAAGTCTCTTTCTCCTTTGAGCTCTTCCTCCATGCATCCATGTGTTTTTTATCAGCTAAATTCTATTCTTATATATCATATTTAGCTTCTAGATTTCACCAAAATATATGTTGAATAGAGATTTATTGTTATTCAAAGTAAAAAATGGATACAAAAGTAAAATATCGTTTGCATAATGGTTTTTAATTACACGGGTCCGTATGTTTTCTAAAATGTTACACCAACCATATATATATCCATCTCTACTGCACGATCAAATTTGAGAAATAAACATGGTCATCACTCATATCAGAGGGCTTTCATCTATTACAATAACAACAATTTTGAAAGTCTGAAAGTAATAATATATAGCACTTCAAATACACATATAGCTAACTAAAAGTTGCATTCACAAAGATTGTGCATGCGATAGAAATATAAACCATGTGACCATAAAGAGAATTATATACCTAATTAAGTTATTTATAAGTACAAATTTAGGGAGTTTAATTAGAATAGAAAAATAGTAAAGATTGGGGAAGAACATGAGACTAGTGCCCCAGTTATAATTTTAAATCTTAGGCATGGTTAGGGAAAATAAGGCCAAAAGAAAAAAAAAATAGAATTACAACGACAAGAGTGGTATGGTATGCGTGTAAAGGAACTTTTAACAATGGACACTCGCAGTCGCAGAGACCACTGCATGCAATTATGCCTTTCAGCAATTTTTATTACTTTTAAGGCTCACTTTTTCCCGCATATGAATGAATATATATAGATGGTTTTTTGAATTATATTTATATATGGCTTTCGTTATTATTTTGTTTCGTAAATAAAGTACAATACTCTGGAGGTGACGAACATGATCACCTCAATTATACCATAGTAAGACGTCTTCTATATATCAGGAGTTAATATCACTTCAACAAACATCTAAGTTTATAATCGTGTTCTGCTTAAGAAACCGCATGATTTGCTCAAATGCCTAAGTGTCACTTTTGCCACTATGAAAACGAACCTTCTCATTGTGTTACTCTTTAGTCGTTGTACCTATACTATATGCTGTTTATTTGAATATATACATTCAGTTTATCATAAGTTCTTGTCGCATAATAAACAATAATCATTGCTGTTGTTATCAAAATTCAAAAGTAAAAATACCATAGTATCACTATGAACAAAAGTAATACTCCTACTATATAGACTTAAGTAATTACAGTAATAATCAAAATGGATAAACAGAAACAAACAAAAGGTACGTTGCTTACAGCCAATTTGATGCTTCACGCCAAGCTTTTTCTCCATCTTTCCCAAGGCCAAATCATTTCTGTTTTTTTTCTTCTTTTTTTCTTCATTTAATTTTATTAAATTAAACTTCTCTTCATTCCAACATGCACCATCTTTCGATAACTTCGGAAGAAATTTATCCCTATTTCTCGACTTGCTTGAAAAATAGAGAAAGATACATATTACCATAAAACTAAAAAGTGTTATTGTGTTAAGTTTTAGTAATATATTCTAGTTTTTGTGTGTTTTTTTTTTTTTTGGGAATGTGTATAGAATGATGTATATACTATGCTTTTGGGAACTTTGAGTGTAAGCCAAGTCGTCTTTTTAAACCTTTTCTCTTATTCTTCGTCGAAGCTTTTTGATCTATGTTTTTTTCCATACCCAATTATATAAGTCGAGAAAAAGCTAAATAACTTTCCGATATAAACAAGGAAAAAGAGAAAAACGAAAAAAATATATATACAATTTATATAACATTCTTTTTCTAGGTATCCAAATAGAAATACCAAAAAAAAAACACTACATAAGACGATGTAAAGTATCGAGCCACATGTATTTTTCAATTAAGGACAAGATAATACGTAAAGCTACGTGTCTACGACTCCCAAATGATTTATAAATTATCAAGCTATTGTTAGGTTTTCGATGGGTTTCTTGTTTTTCCATATAACTAACGAATGTTTTTTTTTTTTTTGCTAAAGATAACTAACGAATGTTTCCATGACCAAGAACGCATATATCAAAATGCAAAACATACACAAGAGTATCAAACGTTTTCTTTAACTTTGTAAGAAAAGATTTGATTTGACACGGTTAGATCATACCATTCTTATTTTCAATACGATGTCAAATAAACTTTTTTGAACAACAACGTTTAATACTATGCTTTATAGGATTGATTTTCAAGAAAGGTATAATTGCTCATTGACACACGTTTGACGTCTTATATGAACGTAGCCATCGCGGATCATAGTGATGATGATGACGATGGGGTCAATGATAACAGTGTTCTCCACTTGAAAATGTCGCCGGAAATTACTCCTATTATTAGTTCCTTCCATTCCTCCTCTCAAGTCTTCAAACAAGTCACCATGTTTACAAATCATATGTTAATTGTTCATAAGAATCTTAATAAATGGCATTTTCATAATTAATTCTTACAAACCTTAGTAAATCAATGTATAACAAAAAGAGAAAATACAAAAAAAAACAAGAATTTGCTCGTAATGGTCGCATATAAAAATTTGGACTGTGAGGATATTTTGATATGAATAGCAATATTATTGTTGGGAACGGAAAATGGAGAGAAAGAAAATTTTAAAAAAATGAAAAAGAGAAAGAGACAGAGTCCATTTGGTCTGAAACTCAAAAACAACTTTTGCCTTTATGGGTTGGCTAAAGGAGTGGGAATGGCCCATCCCCACCCTCTCACGTCTTGTCTCTTATATCCCAATTTTCTCATTATCCTCTTCTTTGTTTTTGTTTTCATAATAATTACAAATGGAAACACTAATAACTAAAAGCCGAGCTTGTCTTTGTGTCTTCTTCTCTTGCTTTTAGTATCCCAATGTCTCGTTTGCCCTACTATATATATGCACTTATTCTTATGACATATTATTAGTTTACTTAAAGTTCATTTGAACTTTTGACTCTCCATCGTAATTTGTATGTTAAATGTAGGGCTTATATAGCCTACGTTAAGGTAATTATATGATCCAACCAAAACTATATCATGGCTTGTGTGAACCATATTTATCATTACTAAAGATAAGTACCCCCACCATTTGTATCATTACTAAACAGTTGCACAGTTCATATAATTCATAAAAATGTCAAACAAAACTACGCCTTCCGAGTTCCGACTGTCATAATACAACTTTCGAACTTTCCAAACGGGAAATCCTTTCAACACTTGAGAGATAATGTAGTCCCATGTCTTCCTAGCTAGGTTCTTGAGTAACTTGTCATAGCCAACAATCACTCCATCATGTATATACCACAAAGTGGTAAGTATTCATTTCAAGTTTTTTTTATTGATGTTATTATTCCTGTTCAACAAAGATTTATGGGTTTCGTATGTTCCAACTAAGTAAAACTAATTATTATTATTATTATTATTATAAATGAAATTTATTGAAACAATACTAATGTTAATTCTTGCACATATCCATATCGAGAACCAAGAGATCCCATATGTACACCTTTAGAAGCCCTACTTTTCTAGCTGATACCATAGAAACGAGTGGTGTCTATTTTCAAAGATATTTTACTTTTATGTACCATTTGTATGTGTGTATATAAATATGTATAGCATGAATGTTTATATGCCAATAGAAATTTTTATAAGAGGAAGAGAGAGATAGAGGAGGTAGGTCAAAAGGAAAGGCTTTACTTATTTTTTTTAATGAAAATTGTAACGGTAACAAGTATGCATGAGTTTTTTTTTTTTTTTTTTGTAATAGCTAGTGGGGAATTGCTGTTAAATCGAAGAGAGAAGAACGTGCCTATACACCAATTCACACCCTCTTGTCCTCCTATCCTCATCTAAATTGATTTCTTACCTTTTGTCTTCACACTTTTTCTTCTCTTTTTTTGCTATAAAGTTGTTGTCCCTTTCATTTTAGGTTTGTAAAGTCCCAAACTTGAGCTCGCAATTTGTCTTTGTGAGAAATGAAATGTGTATAAGTACTTAATTGGCAATCTTTATATATATAATATAAGAAAGTGAGAAATAGACTATACGAAATTCATGTTTGAGAGAATCTCTATTTTTCTTTAGTTTCTGCTAAATGTTTCATTATGTATATTCATTCCTGAAGAGATATTCATTCTTCTTAAATAACAACAAACCCCTTTTTCAGCTATTCTTGTTATGAAATTATGTCCAGTTTGCATTGCTTAATTAGAGGAGTAATGGTGCCAAGTTTAATTTTGATTTCAATTACAGGACAAGGTTCTAAAGAAGAAAGTGACAAACAATAAAGGACGTCTACATACACTATACATTCTGATACTCTACAGTATAGTCTTTAGATGGTTGTGAGAAAGGAAATACGGTATATACACTAACACTTATCTTTTGGATTCTTCTGTTACATTTTTTTGGGGTTCTATATATATTTAACAAAACTAGTGTTACTACTTTGCACTTACCTATGCTCTAACAGTTTAGTAGGAGGTATTCAGAGCTTTCTATAGAATCTTTAGTTTACACATAAGTGCAAGTGACTTCACAACACTGAATAATCCCATATAAAGCAAGCAAGTTTTGTAGCATCAAGTTTAGATGAAATTTGGTATATTGTAAATGCAACTGTAAACTAACCTCACCTCCACATCTTTGTTACCACTAACAATAACTGCATTTACATTTAACCAAATCCGCATGTTCTTACTATATTGACACTTTAAAGGGTTTGCTTCTTTGTCATATTTTATTTTGAAAGACGTGACCAATTCATTTAAAGACATATAGAAACTTGGACCTCTCTGTCATTGGTGAGAAATGGCAAACCCAATTTGGTTCCTTCCACTTGCTCATCAATAATAGTATAATACTAAAAGGATTGTATATGAAAAACACAAGGCATGATCAAAGTAAAGAGACGTTCCATTATATTCTATATTAATGTTGCAAAAAGGGTTCTTTTATCAGAATCAAGAAGCAAATAGATGATGTAATTGTTGATTGTTCCATGGTTTCTTCCACATGAATCCATATTACCACAGTTTTTCTGTAAACATCTTCCAATGGGTTTTATGATTGATCATTTTCCCACATTGTCCGCTACCTGTAACAGCACAATCATAAACTTAAACCAGGAAAGATCTAAAGGAAGAGAGGTCATATGTTGATTTCGTGTTTATAATACCTTACAAGATGACTTGGGATAGAGGATATCATAATGCCCTGGACGATACAGCAAGGTTATAAAAGGTGCAGAAGCTTCTTCTTTCTCATCAGTGCCCACAGGGACAAAGTCATGATGGTTCACAGTGACGCCTCCATTATCACATGAGCTACGGTCAAGATACACAACCCGGATAGCAACACCAAGCGCGTCTGACAAAGCGGTTATGTGAATATGGTCGCTCTCTTCCCCCATTGGTTCAACAGAAGACTTGCAAAACTATAACAAACTAGTGTTAGTACTTTGCATTCACATATCCTCTCAGAATCTCGTAGGAGGTATTATAGAATCTTTAGTTAAACTGCAAGTGACTTAACATATCACAACGCTGAATAATCCCATATAAAGCCAGCAAGTTTGGTAGCATCCAGCTTAGATGAAATTTGGTATATTGTAAAAGCATCTATAGTCTAACCTAAACCATCTTTGTTATTTTCTTTTTCATAATACTACAATGTAAAACTAGAAACGTACCACTAACAAAGATTTTCAGAGTCACAAGAGTAAGTAACTGTTGCTGAAAGACTTTAAAATGTTACAGATATGCATGAAGAAAATTTTAGATATACTATCACCAAGTGGCTTGACTTCTAAAACATAGTAAACGTGTACAAACCTGATCCACTGATGTGTTTGATAGGCCTGTTATAAAGGGCTCGAAAAAATCTGCACGCGTTCGTATATCACCAGCAGTAACAAACCTGAAGAACATTACAACTGAGACAACAAGATTTGTCAACACTACGTACAGTTGGATATGCATCACCAAAGAAAATCAGAGCAACGCCAAAGAAAATTAGAGCAACTTACTGTAGTCTGAGACTGACTGATCTCTACTTCTGTTAACGAGTTCATCATAGCTGAAAGAGAGATATTAGCAAAAAGGATGAGGTACTATGAGAAGAGACTTGTGCCATTTTATGGAAGTCAGAACTTATCACACCAAATGTCGTTTAGATAAACAGCTTCTACCTTATAGACCCCTCATTTCCTTGGAGAATGTCATCTAGTTGCTCAAGGAACAGCTGTATCATTAAGACAAATCAAAATCGAGCATTAGTGATGATATTAATAAATTTCAAAGGCAGACACAATAGAAAACAAATCAAGGTGGTCAACTTACCGCAAAAAAGTCCTCAAACGTAAAGTCTGTATAACCTAAGTTTTGCAGAGTCTTTCTACATTTCTCAACATTGACCTTGATACGATCGACTTCAGCACGATCTTGTGATTCCAATATATGCTCCTGCAAATAAAGTAGAAAGAAAAAACAAGTTTAGCTAGAGATACATCCCACGTCTAAGCAAAACAGGACAGTTCCAAAAACCGTAACTACACAAACAAGGCTTGACAAAAATTTGAAGACATTCTGAGAACATACAAGGTAAGAGAACATAAAACTTCGGAAGAAGCAATTTCCATCGCCTCTTGTTCGCCGGATTGCAATATATTGACTGTCCAGTATCTACAGCCATTGCAAACATGAAATTAAAAAAAAAAAAAGAGAGAGAGACTTAAAAGCAAAAAAACAAACAAAGAAGATACAGAAAGAAAGGAAACCTTGATCTTCTCCAGCAAAATGGGACTCCCTGATTGGTACTCTGCAGCTAAACTAGAGAGAGGTTCCTACACAGCAATGAACCAAAAAAATCAACTTTATAAAGTTTAAAACATGAAACGGTTGCTCATTTAGGTAAGACGTTCCACAGAAATCTAACAATTAGCAATGAAATGAAGTCACATAGACAGACATCAAAAGCAACTCATAGGGAGAGTTTATACAATGCAAAACATTTAATTCTTTCGACAAAGTACAGAGACTCTTTCATGTAAATTCCAAGAAACAAATGACGAATTCTATATAAGCTGTTGTGATAAGATAAGCTCTAACCTTATCACCAACATAAGGAACTTTAGCAGATTCTTCTTCTTGAAAAGATGGTTCCTCCATAGCATCTGAACAGTTCCCCCATTCTTCACCATTAAACGCCGATGCAGCTACTTCAGCTTCATCCTTGACCATATCATTCTGATTCTGCATCCTCAATCCACTAAACTCTCAACTCTCTAGCTTAGCCCTGATCTACAAAAACCCAATTTTGAAACAGGCGACTCATCAAGACTCTACAGAGTAATCAACTGATCCTCAATGCAAAGATAATTCAATTCGCATCAAATTATTCGTCACAAATCAGGCAATCAAACAAATCCGAATCCAAGAATCTTAGAAGAGGAGGATTGGAGAATAAACGATGGCGGAAGAGATTACCTGGAAACACAGAGATCGATTCAAGGAAACGTGATGATGAGACCTAATTTTGAAGCGGTTGGGACTTGGGAACACAGTTTGAGATGTTATTAAGTGATTGAAGAGAAAAAAAAAGATTACTCAAATTGGGGAAACCAAAAATTTTCAGCAATTTTGATTGGAAGGAGTAGTAAAGGTAAGAAACGTTTCGCTTTTTCCCAATGTACACAGTTATGCTATTTTACTCTTTTTTTTTAAGACTAATAAAAAATAAAATAAAAAGAACAAAAAGAAAAAGAAAGTCGAATCGTTTTTAGACCATAAAAACGACATGCATGTGGCCTCAGTAAATATGAAACGACCAAAAGTAAAAGTCCGAAATGGGCCTGAGAATTTTGGCCCAACAAGGGAACTTTGCTGCTTACTCGCCTGGGTTCTCCTAATGTGAAATACCAAAATCTAATGGGTTTTATTTAGCAAAAAAAATATATACTGTATATATATCTAATGGGTTTCGATGTTTTTTCCTAACAAACTGAAAGATAAACATAGGTCATAAACATAAACAAAATAAAATAAAAATATTTTGACTAGGACGTATAAAACTGACTTAGCAAGAGGAACTGATGATGTAATCGTAACATGTCAAAAGCTGGCTTGTTAGACATGATTAGTATAGTTCATTTTAGACATGATTAGTATAGTTTTGGGAGATTGTACAGTCAGAAGAGCTCGAAAGTTTTGGGTGGTTTCGTCTCCAAAGTAATAAGTACATGTGTGAATGTAATTGTAGAAACGGAAAATATTGTTTTACCGGATCACTCATCTCGTACCTTTACCGTGTGTCGAGACTCGAGATAAGTGTAACAAGTTAAAACAACTGCCGAGAAAGTCTAGAGTACTGGAAAAGTCCTAATCTTGCCTAACTTTGTTTTGCATAGTGACAAAACTTAAGCTCTGCAAATATAATAATCTATGGCATGGTTTTGTCTATAACTTTGCAATGTTTATTAATTTGTGGTTTTGAGATGTTAAAAGGCCAACCGAAACCAACATGTTCTATTACATCTCGTCAACCAAATTATATTTCTTTTCACATGCACCCTAATTCTAGATTACTACTATTTTTGTATAGTTATTTTTCGTCTCGTTAGAAGACAAACTAATTAATACGATTTATATATAAAAAAATACAAATTATTTTTGTACCCACTTTTAATTTTTCTTTTCTTATCTTTCCATGATGGAATGGAGATATCGCATGGGCAAACGACTAAATAACCTTAAACTTATGCCACATTTTGTTTTTAAAAACATTGCCCAACTAATTATTGGTCACTGGTCAGTGGTCACTACGTCCTAAGAGAAATAATTGGTTTCTGCATTATGCAACATTTTTTATAGTCTACTTGTCGGAACTTTGTTTGACCCGATTGAATTAGTTTAGTGTTTGAACCACTTGGATCAAGTGTCATGAGGAAACAAAAACATATTTAGTGTTAGATTTATCCGGAGGTTCTTAACACTTTTATTAATTAATAATGGAGTTTTCAATAAAGCGAGAGGCCGTTGTAAGTATTACCGATAAATTAGGATGTTAATCACAAACAGTTTTTGACTAAAGTGTGTGATACGTGGCTTTGACCAACAAAGAAACATAACTGGACCCATTCAATTGGGTAAAATCGAAGATAGTCCTAATATATTTAGGTACCTAACATTATTATAATTATAAATTTGACCACACTTAATTTTCGAAAGAAATAGTTTAGCATTCATATATAGGGATTATATTTTCAAGTAATAGACATATATTTTCAATTTTTTCCATTAATTTTTACTTACTTTTTCTAAGTGAAATCAATGAAATGATAGACCTCGAATTATTGAAAGTTCGGTAAATTTATTGTTAACCCAAGGTTGGTACTTACGATTAGGTTATATCGCATCAAGTTGAAAGTGTAATTTTGATCTTAGATTCTGGTTGGTAGACAATTAGGTTCGACGAAGTATATGAATCGGATAGGTTTTGTTACCACTGAAAATTATTCATATATAAGGGGGAATTTTGATTGGTACAACAAACATTTATTTATGTGAACTCCTTAGTTAAGCTCTTATTTATTCGAGCCATAAGGCCAATAAAACTAGTCCTTTGAACCATGTCTTATCTTATCACTTCTTCCCTTTGACACTTCTTTTATTGTCACTGGTGTTTGGTCAAGTAGCTAATCCGAGGTGAGCAAATTTCCAAACCCAACTCTGACAAATTATACAGACCAAAGTCCAAGTGGCCACACGTGAATCGAGTTTGACGTTCGAAGAGGAATCTAACCCGATACTTCTGTGAATTTCAAATATTGAGACCCAGTCCTCAACTACCTCATTTTTGAATCATGTCTTTCAACTCATCATTCATTATCTCAGATCTTGATCAGTTTTTTCGATTGCCCATCGAAAAAACTAGTACACATGCATCTTTTTTTTCATGTCTTTCGTTGGGTGTGATCTTACAAATGCAGTTTACTTTGGCTCTATATTGTGTTTTCCAAGTTGGGCAGACGGCTATATATGGTTTGTGTTTATTGACTCCGTATAGGTCACTTATATGTTACGCATGGCTTATTCTCTTTATATACGCTTGAGCTAATCACTATGGTTAAGATGAGATGATAATGTATATAAAAACACTATGCTATACATTTTAAAACCATCCTTTTTTCGCTCCTATTTCCTCTCCTCATTTCAAGACTACATGTGCCCTCATAGAGACACTTGCTTTTGCATTTTACTTTATGTTAATCTGAGCAATAAAAGACTTCTAAAGACCAAATCTAAGCAAATCCCTGAACAAATGTCCTAATCTACAATTTAATTAATACTAAGTCCCTTTTCACCTTCAAGGCGTTTACCAAAAACCAAACAACTTTACACAAAACTAATTATATTCACTTTGGGATCGGTGATGTGCATATTGCTATTAATTATTAGTACTAAATAATATATATAGATCATATTAGTCGCTTCTTTTCCAAGCAACTCATTCCACTTTGTTAATGTGTATACCATTAATTTAAGTTGCCTACTAGAAGTTTTCACTTTAAAGTAGGTTTGCGTTCTTATAAATATTAGAATGATGAGGTAGAATCATCCCCAAATTATTATGATATTATCTCTTAGTCTTAATTTGATTTTGGTTTGATGATAACGATCTCAAACTTTTTATCAAAATAAATTAAAGATAATAATCTCAAATTAACTTTAACAAAAAAGACGTCAATTTGTTGATTAATTTTGAAGGAAAGTGGGAATGTACTTTTGGAAGACAAGAATGCATGCAACATACAAATAAAATTTGTGAATTTCTAGATAAATATTTGTTTCTTGAAAGGAAACAAAGTCTTGTTCAACGACTTTAGAAAATGTAGTTTTCTTTTAATATTTTTAGAAATAGACTTTATTTTCCATGGTACCACAAAAAATATTGAAATAGATAAGTTATGTGTTTACATACCCAAGAAATATCAAAACATACGTTTGGGAAATAGATGATACTCTGACTTAGTTCTTAAACTTTTGAGAGTGGTAGGTAACTGATTACTCTTGAAATTTGAGATTCGTAAGTAAGTCTCACACACGGCTACACTTTGTTGAGTTAAAGTAGACCAGAGACTGGTTTTGAAGTCATGTAAACCAAATCAATACCCATTAAATACAAGCAAGGCCAACTCAAAAATAGTAAAATGATTATGGTCCCCTTCAGTTTTTGTAATATGGATCTTAATTCATTATATGTAAGAGAATTTTGAGATATTTTTTTTTCTTGAACTCTTAAATTACACTAATTTTTATGTTGGTTCAACAAGGCACTTCGATCTTGCATATGCCTAAAGACAGGCTCTGAAAACAAGTAGAGCAAATACTAGCTTTGAAGTCATATATATAACATATCGAATCAATGCTCATAAACTTAAGACTAGTTTTCATCATGTTTTAGTAAACTAAGATGTGAACATTTTTTTTTCTAATCAAGTTTCTCAATTTATGTTGTATTTTCTCAATGTTTTTGTTTCTTCTTTTTCTTTTTATTGGCATTAATCTGAAATTTTCTTTTACGTATATTTTCTCTTATGGTTCTGTCGTGTATCAGGAGGAGAGGAGTAATGCACGATTTAACATCTCGATTTAAATACCTTATCCCAGTCCATGAGAAGTAATTGTGTTGTGCGTATTGGTTTGAAGCAGTCCACCAAAAGAACAATAATTGCAAAGCTCGTAATTATGTTTGACCTATTTTTTGTCTTATTACACTGTTGATTGTTTCTTTCTCTTTTTTTTTTTTTTTTTTTGTTATGTTTATAGTTTATACAATATTATTTATCTCATTTTTTTCAATATTAAACTATACTTAGGGGAAGAGCACGTGGGCTAGTGGTCCCATCTCTCTTGCTAATTATCCACCATATCCCTGATTCGATTCTTGTTACTGTCTCAAATATGACACTCCCATTTTGGCTATTAGACCACTGACAAATAAGGAACTATACTTAAAACACCAAGAGCATCTAAGCGAGAAGGGCCTTCTCAGAAGGATATAGCCATCAGCGATCTTCTCTTTGGAATCATGAGTTCGAATCATCTGGGGTTAATTAACTAGGCCATTAGGTTTAGCTAGTAGAATATTACAAGTTGTTAACAAAATAAGAATTTGTCTAAAAAGCAAACAGTTTCTCTAGGACCTTGATATACTATATGGAAATCTCTAGAATCTCAAAACGAGCAGCCATAGTCTGGAATTTAAACGTTCAGCTCTGCGTCAGCAGTTTTTTCTTTCTTATTTCCCTTTCGTGTATTCATTTTCAAGTGGTGGGTAATTCAAAGGAATATGTTCTTAACAACTATACGACTATAACCACAATATTTAAACGAACACTAAACGTTTAATATATAGTGTACGTACCTGGCAACCTAAAACTTATCTTAACCTTAGCTTTTTCAGGCTCAAGCTTGTTGTTGACTTGATAACATACTTTAATAAGTGTGTATATATGACTTACGTTACAGCCAAGGTTTGGTCCTTTAACTTCTACCATGACTGTTGTTTCCAATGAATATGCTTAGAATCCCGTACGTTGACATATATATCCGAATAAA